CTACTTGCGAAGGAGTTTTTTTCAGAATGGTATTTCTTCTATGTTAAATATTTGAAAGGAATCACAGGCCTTCTGGGATTAAAGATTACATTATGGGAAGGCTTATAATTACACATTAATTTTCTTCAATAACCTTAAAAATATCCAGGCTTATTTATGAGTTTATCTATTTTAAATCTCTTTAGAATATCAATTGGCTTGTTGATTTTCTCTCTTGATGTCTACTTTCTATTTTATTCATTTATGCACTCATCTTCATAAATTCCTTCTTTATGCTTTTTTAGTTTAAGTTTCTATTCTTTCTGTAATATCTTGAATTGGAAACTTAACTTGTTGATTTTAAACTTTCTTTTCTAACATATGCATCTAAACTCATAAATGCCCCTCTAAGCATTTGCCTTATCTATATCCCACACATTTGGATTTCTTAATTTTAATTTTCATTCAGTTCAAAATATTTCCAAACATCTCCTGTAATTCCTTATTTGGAGATTTTTCTAGTTTAATTATGCGATCATACTTATATCTGAGAATATTATCAATTTAGATAAATATTTTATGTATGCTTGAAATAGATTAAATTCTGCAGTTGTTGGCTGTAATGTTCTATATTTGTCTATCAGGTCAATTCAGCTAGTATAGTTACTCAAACTTTCTATATTCTCACTGGATATTTTTGTCCACTTAATAGTCAGTAAGAGATGTGTTAAAATTTCCAATGCTGGAAATAGATTTAAATGCTATCAATTTTGTGATAAAATTCTGAAACTATGTTTCAAAAAATTAGAAATATTATGTCTTTCTATTAAAGACATAATTCACCATTTAACTTATAAAATGTCCCCTTCCCTCTCATATTTCTTTCTTTCAATATTCTTGAAGAAGAAAGTTTAATCTGTTATTAATATAACTATATCACATTTTCTTTATAAATATTTGCGTGGCATATTTTTCCTTTCTTTACCTTTTAACTTTTCTGCATTTTTATATTTAATGTGTTTATTTTATTATACAATATAACAATCTTTCTAAATTAAATTTATATCTTTTCATGAATAATCTCAAGATAGAGAGACTGTACCACTAGCACTACTAGGCTTCATAAATGCTTTTCCTCAGACAAGTGATATTGCTAATTATCAGTGAAAAGAAATTCGCATAATTGTCATTATTTTACAGAGCATTTAACCAGACATTAGTTCATCTAAACACAAATACCCTGTAAGGCATGTATTTCTGATTGTTTTGTAGCAGATTAAATTGGGATTCCTTAGAGGCGAAATGAGCTACCTGAGGTTACATAGCTGATGTGGAGCAGAGCAGTGACTCTAACTTAAATTATCTGTTTCTTAAGCCTGTGGCCTTTTCACTATGCTTAGGGATTATATTCAACAACTGTTACTATAATCTCCATGTCCGACAGATTTATTAGAAGGTAATGAAATGACCATACTGAAAATGAAAACTTTTCCAAACAGTTAAGCCTAGAGATTTGTTATACAGTAGCACGATCTAAGCTGGTGTAAAATTCAACAGTTTCCATCATCAAAAATACTATAGAAACTCAATAAAAATCTATTTTCTTGACATTATAACTCTGTGATCTGAACTTGGGAGTTCAAAATTATAGGAGAAACAAAAACCAAAAAGTGACAGTACAACCTGAAATAGCAGTTGAGTGAAGTCGTCATTCAAAATTAGCATCCTTGGAGTCTTCAAAATACACTAGTTATTGAAATTTGTAAACCAATTCAATGAAACTTCTTTGTATAAGTTATAAACTAGAAGTTGGCTTTACACAACCAAATCTGTTTTCCTCTAAAACAGTATCTCAAGTTTATTCAATTTGTGATAAATACTAACTACACTGCTACTAAAGATACATGTATTTCAGCATGTTACTTTCAGGGTAAATAAATATAAGTCATATTTGGAATGTCTTTCATGTCCATGGATAATCTCTTGATTTATAACAGACTGATTCAGAGAACAGAATATCTATTCACAGTTTCAGTCATTCTCAATCATATTATTCTGAACTAAGTCTGAATGTGGGTAAACCTAGATATAAGTGTGGGTCATATCTATCAGAATTTTCTCATCTTCCTTCAATAAACTCATGTTAACACTTTTTAAAGTACCAGTTTTAGTTAGCTTTTTCTGTCCCTGTGACAAAAGGCCTGAGAAGAAGAAGTTAAAGGAAAATTTCTTTTTGGCTCATGGTTTCAGAGATTCAGTCCGTAGTGGGCCAACTCCACTCCTCCTGAGTGAGGCAGAACATCCTGGAAGAAGGATGTGGCAGAGGAAAGAAGATCAGGACATTGCAACTAGGAAGCAGAGAGAAGTCTATTCACAAGGCACAAGTTATAGTTACCCTAAGGCACACCCCCAGTGACCTATCTTCAACCAAACCCTATATGCCTACAGCTAACACTCTTATCAGTCCATATCAATGGCTTAATCCACTGATTAGTTTATACTTCTCATAATCGAATTATTTTGCCACTGAATGTTCTTGCACTTCCTCACACATGGGATTTGGGGGAATACCTAACATTTAAACTATAACATTCTGTCTCTGGTCTCCAAAAGTTAATGACCATCTCACAGCGCAAAATACATTGAGTCCATTTCCAGGAGTCTCTGTAGTCTTAAAATTCCATCATTGCCCCAAATTTGAAGTCCAAAATCTCATCTAAAACTCAAGGCAAACTCTTAGCTGTGTGAATAAAGAGCAAAACCAAATTACAGCTGGACACAGTTGTATAAGCCTAAAATCCAGCAACTTGGGAGGCTGATACAGGAGGATTGCAAGATGAAGGCTACCATCCTTAGCAACTTAGCAAGGCATTAGACAATTTAGTGAGACCCTGTCTTAAAATGAAAAATAAAAAGTTCTAGAAATATAACTAAAAATGAAAAATAAAAAGAGCTAGAAATATAACTCCTGGGTTAAATCCCCAGTGCCAAAAAAAGCAAGTTACATATATCCTGTATACAATGGCATAGAGTAAACATTTCCCTTCCTCAAAGGAGAAATAGGGGCAGAGGAAGAAAGGATGAGACTAAAGCAAGACGAAAATCCAGTTGGACAAACAAGTCCTGTCTACATGTCCAGCACCTGGGGTGCATGGCATTTTGAAGATCTCTCCAAAGGGCTTATGTAGTTTCACTCCTGTAGCCTTGCTGGTTGCATACCATACAACTTCTCTCTTAGATTGTTTTTGCTCAATTTCTGCAACTTTCCTCAGCTTATATCCCAAGGTACAGGCATCTCTTAATGTTGGGGGTCTCCATTGCAGCCTCAGCTTCTTGCATATCTATCTTCATGCACCACCCTCTCAGGGAAAGGCTACAGGTATTCCAACTACTCCTCCTACACCTTATCTGGCCTTCCAGGTCTTCCTTTGAAAGCTCAGTGCAATCTCCATGACCTCCTAATTCCAGCATTCTGCATTCCTGCAGAACCAGCACCACGTGGTTGATGCCAAGGTTTACTATTATCTAGAGCAGTAACCAAGCCTCTATATACCATGGCTGCAGTAGCCTCTGAGTGCCTGACTAACTGAGCACAGTGGAAAAACTTCTTAGGCCTCCCTCTCAAGCAGAGTGACCCCATGGTCTCTTCTCAAAGTCTTTAAGCCTGAGATAAGTGTGGTCTTGCCAATTCTGGAGAAGCCCACAAGCCATCTTTCCTATTATCTCCATCCAAAGTACTTAGCCTCTCTTTGTGGCTGTAATGTCTTTAATAGTCACAACTTCCTTAGTCTGTTTACTTGCACATTTCTGGCCAAACCACAAGTTTTTCACATTTTCCCACTTTGTTTTCTGCTCCTGATTATCACAGTAAACTTGGCGAAAAGTCACCAGCAAAACCCATGCCAACTCCTGAATGTTGTGCTACCTTCTGCCGGATTAATTAGTCTACTACCTTTAAATTGAGCCTCATAGAAAGTCTTAGGAAATGGGCAAAATGTAAACAACTTCTTTGCCAGTGTATTACATGAATGACCTCTAGTCCAATTTGTAATAAAGTCCTCTGAAATTTCATGTGCCCAGTCTTTATTGTCAACAGTCCAATCAGCATTTTGGTCTTCTCATCCCCCACCAGAACATTAAACTCCACTTACAACATTCTAAAGCTTTTCCGTCCTGCATTTCTAAAATTTTCAAAATTCTTCCCCAAAAGTTTACAAAGCTCCAAAAGCCTCTGAACCACATGGTCAGTTTAGTCACCTCAATGGTCCCACTCATTGCACTAATTTTTTGTTTTAGTTAGTTGTGTTTTTTTTTTTTTTCCACTGTGATAAAATACCTGGCAAGAACAACTTAAAGAAGAAAGTTTATTCTGGCTCCATTTCAAAGGCTCAGTTCATAGTTAGCTGACTTCATTGCTCTAAGCCTGAGGTGGGGCAGAACATCTTGGCAGAATGGTGTGACAGATCAGTATACGGCAACTAAGGAGCTGAGAGAGTTCCACTCAAAAGGGGCAAAATATATTTACCATAAAGACACAACCCCAGTGATCTGCCTTCCCCAGCCACACCCTGCTTGTCTATGGTTACCACCACTTAATCCACATTGATGGACTAATGCCCTGATTAGATCATGCCTCTCATAATCTGATCATATTATCACTCAACATTCTTGCATTATCTCATCCATGAACTTTTGGGGAACATTTCATATCTACACTATAGCAATACCTTATGCTTCAAGAAAACATATGTGGTTCAAAATATGAGGTATTTTATAAAAATCTAAGGTGACTTTCTAAATACTTAGAAGCAAATGAGTCTACGACTCCCGTGTTCCTCCTAAGATTTTCATTTTATATGCCAGCAAAGTAAAAAGATTCCTGTTTTCATTATGTCCGCTGACAGCCAAATTTCTCCCTCAACAACATCCTTGCCTCTAACATTTTTGTCTTTTGAAACCAAAAAAAAAAAATTATTTTTGTAAAAATTGAAAAATAGAGTGATCTTTTATTTACGCTCTAGGAGGTGTTTGGTTACCACACCCAGCATCTTCGGAGAGCCCTCTGCCTTATCGCATCCGTGCTGACTGGTGGGGTCCTTCAGCTGCTGTTCTACTGGAGGCCAGAGTGGAGGGTGTGGGCCAACTGCACCCCATGCCCCTTACAAGAAGCAGACACCGTTTTGCTGAGGACAACAGTACGTAACCTTCAGTTATCTAGTTGAAATGCCATGATCATCACAGAAAGACAAATACTGCATGTTCTCACCATAGGTGGGAGCTAAAAAGTAGATCTGATAAAAGTACAGAACAAAATAGTGATTATCAGAACCTGAGAAGGGTTTGGGGAGGGAGGGATGGAGAGGAGGTACCGGGGAGCAGTTGAGAGGAGGAATAACCTCTAATGTTCTGTTACACTGTAGACATCATGGTTGAAAATAATTGACTATGAAAATAGCTAACAGAAAGAATTTTTAATACTCTCAACATGAAGAAATGATAAATGTCTGAGGTGATGGGTGGACCGATTACCCTGACCTGATCATTGTAGACTGTATGCATGAATTGAAAAGTCTCACCGTACCCCCAAGATAAGCACAACTATTATGTGTCAATTAAAAATTTATTCAAAACAAGGAAAGTCATGATCATGTCTTCAATGTGGCATCTGTGAACCAATAAATGATGAACCAGAGTTCTCAGGGCAGATCTTCCTCTACTTAAAGAATTCCCCTAAATGAAAAAAGGCAATGGCAAAATACCTCTCCAATATGTATACTGTCTCTTTTTGAGCCCAGGAATAAAGAACACCTCTTTCACATGAGCCTGAGGAAATGTCTAGCATGTTAGACTAATGGGCAGAGTGCCTAGTGATTATAGTATTAGCAGCTCTGAGGTTACAACACTTAGAGACCATAACCTGGGAACGATCATTCACTTTTTCACAAATAAGTATTTTGGAAGATATTAGACCTTTTAAACATCTAGATGTCATTTAAAAATAGCTAAAACACATTTTTTTAGACATAAATCTTCCTGCAAAGTATTTTTTTTCTCTTTTTTCCCACTGGTTCTCAAATGTTTGTGCAAATCCAAATTCTCTGGAGGGATCATTACAACACAGATGGCTGACCCCTCCACCAGTTTCTGGCTCAGGAGGACTGGGGTGGGGCTGAGAATCTGCCTTTCTAGTAAGTTCTAAGATAATACTGAGGATCTTGTTTGAGAAAAAGTTTTGCCCCAAACTTTGGGAAACACTGGTCTAGCATATGGTAGGTGTTTGGTTAATTGAGCACTTTAGTAAATTACAATTGAGAATTTTATGGATTGTATTAACTATTCTAGGATGAATTTCAAAGATATATTAGAAAGAAGGTGCTCTGCCTCCACTTATCTACCCTGAAGTTTCCTATAAGCAAGAACCCAAAAGACCCTTTGGTGGCTGACCACCACTCTGTCATAAACCAAGCAGTAATGAAGCCGGATTTAAAAGTAAGTGATTTTAAGAATGCAAGGTGATGGCATGTTTGCAAAGAAAGAATAAAATAAATGTTTATCCATGAGAGTTCTGGGAATGACAGCTATCTATTAGGCTGGGGATAACAGTTATCTATCAAAGAAAGGGAGACACACATGGGGATCTGTATTGAACACAAGCCTTTCATGTGTCTTATGAATCATACTTGTTCCAACACATTTGTGATTGCAGCTGCGATGCATCCAAGTGCAGAAAATCAGGTATGTTTGGGATTACTTGGAGAAGCGCTTCCAGAAAGTTGGGTAAGTACAACTTTTTCCACCGCTGCATCAGGATGTGGGGGAAGAACGCTGACATGTTGAGTGTTGTGAGCCGATTGTGGTTCTGCTTCACCATGTCCTAGGTTGCTGGAAGACAGCAACTCCTGCTATGACATCCATCAAACGTTTGGATTGGGTCTGACCAACGAAGAGCAAGAAGTCAGGTAGGGTGTACAATACTTCCTGAGAGTAAACTCCACTGGCAGAAAAGTGAAGTACCAAATGGGTCACCATTAGTGTACTGTTGGCACAATGCTTTATCAAACCTGATATAGTCCTAATTCACTTACTGGAAGGATAGGGAGAGTCTAAATTAGTCTCAGATGCAAAATTATTTTTTGAAAAAGACTAAGTGCAATGCAATCAAAAAAAAATTTGATTGTTCTCTCAGGTTTATAGAACAGTATCTTTGTGTTCCCTTTTTTAATTCTCGCCTTTAAAAAATCTTGAGTTATTCCGTAAACATCAGTTTCCTAATCCTCCAAAGCTTCTGAGGACCAAGAAGGCACTATTAAAAATGCATTCTACTATGAACAAACAGCTCTGCGATGGCATGTTTGCTGAGAAAGAATAAAATAAGTATTTATTGATGAAAGTTCTGATTATTACACTGGAACTGCCAACCATGTATCAGGCTGTCAGGAGACAGTTTTGTCTGGTTAGTTGTGCTATTCATTGTGGCATCTCCAGCACCTAGAACAGTTCCTTATTCTTGGTAGGAGCTTAATAGCTATTTGTAGAATAAATGAATGCATTCATTGATTTGTTAACTACATGCTTCTAATTATGCCAGGCACTTTGCAAGGAACCAGCAATCTGAAAGGAAAGGATTAGTTGTAGTCCCAGAGACATTTACTGACTAGAGATAGAGAGACAAAAAGAATGACACAATCATGGGACTGGTACTGTGGCATAGATTAGGAACTGCTCACACAGCCCGTTGATTCGCACTGATATAGAGTCCCTGCTTTCTTAACTACACTTGAAACTGCCAATCCTGGTGAGTCTGAAGGAATCCATTGCAAGACTTCCCCACAGAGTTCCTAGTCTCCTTCATTTCTCAGTCATTTGATGGACATTACCTACCTAACTTTGCAGTCAGCCAGAAACCCCAATTCTCAAGCTAAGCAGAAATCTGGTACCTAAAATATTGGTTTGGGACTCTACCCCCAAACAATTCTGATGATTCTGTAGGAGAAAGTAGTACTAATAATAGAAGGAACTATGCATTTTAGGCAAGCAACTTCCATAATTCTCACATAAACTGAGGGAAGAATTACTGATTTGTTGTTTTTAAGTTTTCCCCCTGCAAAAGCACTATGAAAAATAGTGCATCTAGACCAGGACAGCATTGCAAAATGCCTTAGAAATGGTATCATTATATAAGATTTCAGATGTAATGCTTAGTACATTGAAACACAGAAAGTTTTCAAAGTTATGAAAAACCTATGGTTTAATAGCATAAGCACAGATGTTTAAAGGATTGATCTAGAGCATTTAAGAAATCTCATTGATACATGTAGATATTCTCTGCCTAGGAAGCCATTTCTACCAGAAAGATTTCCCATCAGTGTAGCTACCTCCCATTTGTCCTTATTTATAAAGTGCCACGCTTTAATAAGCATCATACATAATTAAATTTAAGTCTGGTCCACACAATAAAGAACTTGACAATCTAATAAGCAAGACAGAGTATAGTTTCCCAAATATGAAAAATAGAGGAGATAATCTTATAAACATAGGCATATTTTATTTTATGGGCATGTCTGAATGGAGGGTGAAAAAAGAGTAAGTAGAATGTGGAGCATTTTTCCCATTTCTTAAGGTAAGACTAAGGTTTTCTTTTTTAAATTTAAATATGATTGATGGATTGGTTAAGAGACAGCTTACCAATTTTCTAAATGAACTTGAGCCTGCCTGCATTTAAAACTAAGATCACTGGACTGGGAATATAGCTCAGTGGTAGAGTTGTTGTCTAGCATGTGCAAGGTCCTAGGGTTTGATCTCCAGTACCCACCTACTGTTGCCCCCTACACAAGCACAAACAAGAATGTAATGTGAGAAATGAAAAAAGGGGGAGGGACATGCAAGAATCTCAGATGATGATGATAAAAAGCTACAGAGTCTAACTATAAAGTTCTTTATAGGCTTCCAAGCAGCCAGGAAAAGAGGAAAAATGCATATACATGCTTTTCAATTTTTATGTAGCATACCAGGACATCAGAAGAGTTAATTTTTCCTTGGAGAGAAATTGCCAGAAGGTATCAGGAAGAGAGCAAGTAAGTTGTCATAGGGGCTCCTGTTCCAGTCTGCACCCATAAACTCAAACTTCCCTCTAAGTATCTGACTGAGACAGATTCATAGAGACCTTAGGTGATTTTTTTACTTCACAAGAATGGGGTTCTATGAAACCAATAAACCTACTGGATTCCTATCTAGGCAGGTGGACTATTAGGATAATTTTAAAGTTGAGGATTTTTTTTACTTTCTTTTTCACCCAGTCTATCTTGCTACATCCCTGGAAATAGAAATAGACTGGCAGGCTCCCTTCTGGGGTTAACTACAAACTATTCACCTTGTTGATGACTTGTTGTCTGAAAGAAAGTAATAATAATAATAATAAAGCTTTGAAGGGCAGAGTTTGCCAGTTTCTGTGGTGGAAATAGTCCAGCCAAGGCTGAGTTAAGGCACCAATATGACATCACAGGACAAGAAGTGGGAAGAGACATAGTCAACTCAGGGATTCTGCAGGGCCAGAGTTAATTCCCAGCATTTGCTATACTATTGAGGGGGGTTAGTGGGGGCGGGGAGGCATGCCGCTCAGTACCAGAGGAAAACAATCCAAAGCACAGGCAGCAAAAGAAGGGTAGGTTTGCTATCAAGGTATAGCTCTAAGCTGGCAGAAGCTGTTTCATGAGAAGACAGAACTTAAGAAAAGAAAGAAAGAAGACAGAAAAAGGAGGAGGGAGGAAGGGACAGAGGTTGCATCTACCATGAAACTACTCCCCTACTCCTCAGGTATTGAGGGGACAAAACTCAGAAAAGAAATCATGCTTATGTACCATGACCTTTATGCCCTTTGAAAGTTACACTTCTGGAAAGCATCCTGATCACAGATCTTCAACCATCAGATCAGCTCCTCAGGAAGGAGCAAGGAAAGGCTGGCTGGAAGAGGGGACAGGCAGAAGCCAATAGCTGAAATCTCAAGTCTTAACATTCAATCAGAAGTTAATAAGTCACTTTAAAATATTATTATGTATTTTTCTTTAAAATATAATGCAAAAGGCATTGAATAAAAATTAAATAAACTGAAATCAATATTCCCATTTTAATAAATTTAAATTCTCAGACCCATGGTTCTATGGGTTTAGGTCCACTGGAAGTGTGAAATCACTTATCTCCAAAGCTTGTTTCAGAGCAAAATCCTGTGGAGGAGGGATCAGTAAGTTGAAGTCCTGAATCCTAAATCCTGGCAAGATCCTGTCCTGGGCTTTTTTGCACCTCAACCTCAATTCCCCATCCCCTTCTGATTCTTTTTCTCTTCCAGATTTTCATGTCTAGGAATGCTCAGGATACTTCCTCAAGAAAAGCTGACTGGAAGTGTCTCATTTAGCTCACACAGAGGCATGGGATCCTGGAAGAGCCCAGCTCTTCCTGAGGTCTTCTGGAAATGCCTAATTAAATGAAAGAAATGGATAGTTCGCAGATGAGCATTAATGTGAAAAACTAAAGTAACTTTTGTGTCATTTGTAAAATGGAGCTTTTTTTTATCAATATTTCATGAAAGTGTTTAAGCATTTCAAAGCATTGCTAAAATTGAGCTCCTCCAACACATACAAAGAAAGAATTTTTAAAAAATATACCAATTTTCTTATTAACTTTTAAAATGGGAGTGCTCTGTGACCAACACATCTGTTACACTATACAACCATACCCAAATTTCAAAGGTTGGGTGCCATACTCTGCATCTGTGAAGGTCTGTGGTCTCCCTCCCTTTAAGAAATAGTTTTAAGCCGGTGAAGGATTGGCTAGCAGAACCACCAGAGAGCTTTTTCAGACTCCAGATGCTTGCTCCCTAAATTCTCAAGTTCCTGCAGTGGGTCATGCTAGAATCTCTTGGCCTGGCATGGACTGTTTGGAAAGCTGCAGGTATCCCTCCCTCCCTGCCAGCAACCATGGGAGGCTTATCAGAGGAGAATCTTTGAGCAAAATAGCAGAATGGTCATGTGAAGAAGCTCACCAGTCACTCTAACTGGCTCCTGCCTCCCCAGTACTCCACTCTAGTCCACACCACACCACTTGGTGCCTATAGTGCACCAGTAAACCACACAAAGTATTTCCAACAATTCTTTGGTGGATAAATGGGTAAATGAATGAATAAAGTAAAATTAGGCACCATGAAACACCCCCATAGAAAGTACTCCCAGTCATTCACATTGGGTGTTTCAGAATTAAAGCAATCCAGCAGATTTACTAATATGTCGGAGTTAAAGGAAATCTTAGTGGTCTTTCAAGTGCTGCCCTAGTTAGCATAGAAATTCCTTTCACAAGTCCCTGCTGTGAAATTCAACTTCTTCACTCTACAGCTACTCTTCCTTTGATGGATTGTTAGAAATGCCAGGCAAGATTATTTAGTTGTTTTTGGCTTATGTTGTTCAGAGAAGACACTTGGAACAATTTCAGGGCCTCATTTCCCTGCCAGCTCATCAGATTTTTAGTTAGCAAATATAATATTGGACCTTTACTCATGTGACCCAACTTCAGGCCTCATATTCCTCTTGTTGTTTAATCTTTGGTCAGCATTTCCTGAAAACTTGGCTTACACTGAGATTGAGATGAGCACATGTTCCCTAAACAGACTATATTTTTTTTGGCAAGAGACAGCAGAAAGGACAGCAACAAGGGGCATAACAGGCTATGATTTAAACATGTCCCAGATGAGCCCTAAATATCACTATCTACAGGCAAGTGTTGATCCACTGGTTCCCTGTCCTCTTTGTGTCTAAGCTCTTCATTTAATGGTGATATCAGAAACCATCTCACCAAACAGGAAGAGTCAAAACATACTGACCTTTGGTTAGCTTTCTACATTGACTTTCCACAGTCTGGTTCTATCTTAGTTGTGCATCTGGGTTTTGAGTCTTTTCAGGGGAGACAGTATTCTAGATATGGACCATAGTGTTTTTTGTTAATTAACTACAGTATTCAGGAACATCTGTGTCAGATACTGTGTCCTTAGATACCAGAAAAATCGAGTTGAAAAAGTTCCATTCCTGCCTTTAAAGAGAGGCTAGACAATCAGAGGAGAAAAAAGGCATAAAAATACATGTTACAATTCAATGAAGTCTGCACTGTGACTGAAAAAGAGAATGTTGTTGAAAGAGAGAAAAATACAGTTAATTTTGCCAAAGGAATTCAGACTTCAAAGATGGCTGCCGTTTACTGAGAGCTTGTCCTGCCCTGGCACCTTTGCTAAAAGCTTTTCATATCTATTGCGCTATGATGCTGATAACAATTTTATTAGGCATATTTTACCAAACTCATTTTATAGATATGGGAACCAAGACTCATGCCTCACTCAACCCTCCAACCATTCATTCAACGCATAATGCTCCAATGTGTTATGTGTATCAGCTCCTGTTTTAGGCCTTTGTGAGCTGTCCTAGAAGCTTATATGATAATATAACACCTGTCCTAGAAGCTTATATGATAATAGAGGATACAGTCTATCATTTGCATGCTCATTATCATGTTAAAAATAAGGTGTAATTCCAAGTAATCATATGCATTATAAAGTAAAATAAGGTAGGTTAAGAATATAAGGAGAATCTTTGAATAGTTCTTTTATTCCCCCAGTACTGGGGATTGAACCCAGTGCCTTGTGCTTGCTAAGTTAGGCAAGTGCTCTACCATTACACTACACCTATTTTAAATAGAATGATTTGAGAAGGTCCACATAAGAAGGTATCATTTGAAAAGTAATCTGAACACAACAAGAGAGCAAGCTATGCAAAGACACAGGGAAACGGATTCCAGGTAGAGGGAACAGCAAGTATAAAGGCCTAGCTAGAGGCAAAGCCAGGTCTATTCTAGCTCACATTTCTCAACCACTAGGCTCAATGTCAGATTTGGCTCTTTCAATCTGAGGAGGCATTTACAGAGTGAAGAATTGAAGACAGATAGGGACTGTTTGGGGGCTCAAATTTGGAGTCCTGAGAAGTTCTGACAATAGACCCATAATTTATTATTGCTATGGATTTGGTACCAAAGTTGATTGAGTTGTGGTCTTTCCCAGTGTGAAGTTTAGGGAGTCATGAAGCTATATAGCAGCATGGGTATTTGGCCTGCTTGTCTCTTAACTCCCCCAAGCCCCAGTATTTCTCTAGTATGGAACCATAAGACCTTGGTATGAGTCCTCTCTGTCCCTTGCAAGCAATAATTATGCACTTGCAAAAGCTTGGCTTCAAATCAGAAGAAATTGGGCTCAGCTCTCAGTTATATCTCAATGATATCAAGGATATTTCATGTAGATTCTCTCCTTTTGGTACTTGCTGAGGCAGAGTTGTAGAGTCAAGGTAAGAAGTCCAGCTCTGTCTCTTTCTAGCTTTGGTATCCTGAGATAGTTACTTAATCTATCCAAGAAAACTTCAGTTTTCTTTATAGTAGGTTATAATATGGAATCTGATGGGGATAATGTGATGATTAAAGTAGTTAATGGCTTTAAAAGGATAAGTGAAGTTTCTGGCACTGTTATCTGTGCTTGAAAGTTATATTGTCATGATTAATATTAGATGTGTGCACCTTTGGTTAAACACCCACACCAAGCAATTTATCTCATTGGCTAATGGAGCTACTCACTCTTGCCTTTGGACTATCATGAGGATCAAATGAGTCTTTTGTAAGAACTTCGTAAAATACTATACATACATGAAATCTTCTTTTTATAATGAACACATGTATTATATCTTGTTTTCAAAGTATAAGTTTCCAAGGTGAAGACCTTCTGTCATCTTCCAGAGCATTCGTTTATTCATTGCCATATTCATTCAGTTCACATACTAAGGGCCTGTCCTGGGTGCTGGAGAGACCAATGTGAGACAGATGTGACCATTCACATCAAGAACAGCCTAAAATGCCTGCCAGATCTAGAGGCATCTTCATATCTGTGTCCTTTTGCTGCCTTTAAAATATAATCAAATTATTAAAAAAAAACTCAAAATGACTTTCTAACTTCATTTGGACACATTGAGTTGTAGTGGTGACATCTGTAAACCAGAAAAGCAACTTTGTTCATCATACATTGACATTCACTTCAAAAACATATTAGTAATTTAGTATTATATTTCAAAAATACTTGCATATTATTGTTCAACTGAAGCCAGAAAATCTCCAAAGAGCAGAGATGTGGTTTGTACTTAGACTGTACTCACTTGTCACTGAGCTCATAGGTGTGACACTAATGGATGATCCATCTCCTACAGAAGATTAGTGTGTGGGCCCAATGCCATTGAGGTTGAAATCCAACCCATATGGAAGCTGCTTGTTAAACAGGTAACTGGCTATTTTCTTTTCTTTTTGAGGAAAAAAAAAGATAATTTCTGTCCCTTATTTTGTACTTAGTACTAGGAGAAAACTTGAATAGCATATGAATACTTCTATGTAAATGAAATCTGTATTTCATGCAACTTTTTTTCTGTTTCTATCCTTTTGACTTGAGTCTATACTTTTTCTATTGAGGGTTTTTCAAAACATTTGATAAATGTTATTATCATTTTTTTCTCTAGGCTGTCTAAATGATGTTTGCAAAAACCACTTATTTTAAGTTCAAATCCACTTTAAAATTCCTTCCCACTGTGAGAGACAGATTACCATTTCATAATCTCTTGTTTCTTTTGTTACATTTTTGATGGTAGAGGAAGTGTCTTAGTTCAGTCTACTATAATAAAATGTAGACTGGAGGCTTAAAGAGCAAATGCTTATTTTTCAGTTTTGGAGGCTGGAAAGTCCTGTGTACTCAGTTCTTACAGACATCTTCTCATTGTGTCCTCACATGGTTAAAAAGAAGAGAGCTCTGATCTTTTCCTTTTCTTGTGAAGACACTAATCCCATCATGGCAGCCCCACCCTCATGGCCTCATGTGAACCTTCCTACCTACTAGTCCCCTCAAGCCCCACGTTATACCATCACTCTGAGTGTTAGGGCTTCAACACAGGACTTTTTTGGTGGGGGCTGGGCACAAACATGCAGTCCATTCCATGAGGCAATGTGATTACTTCTATAATTTCTGAGGAATTAAAATGAATTAATTCAGTCTTTTTCTAATTGCTTAACAATTTTCTTAAGAGTGACTTCTTTCAGAGATAGTTTTTTTTCTTAAACAAAATTTTCTTTGTTGTGTTTTGAATTTATTATTTTTTTTAAAGTTCCCATTAAATGGGACATTGGGTTCCTTCCATTTTCTCATTTCTCCCTGTGATTGCTGTCCCTATTTGATGGTTCTGTTTGGGGCTCCAGTTGGTTCCCATTAGATCCCACTTCAAAACCAGGTCCACATTGGAGATGCGAGTGTCTGTTCTCAGGAATCTGTCAGATAATCAGCCCTGTAGGGCTTGGTCGAGTTCATGGCTGTATCATGGACAGTTTTTCTCTCCTGTTGCAGACCTCAGCTGTGAGCCATCTCTGCTTGTGACTTTTTTCAACCTCCAAGCTGGGACAGGAAATCCCCAGGTGTCAATCTGGGATTGAAAGGAGCACTAGTATTTTTTTTAGCACCTATTTACTAGGACTTTATAGAAAAAAATGCAAATCAAACTACTTCTTCACATTTAGTTTCAAAAGAATATTAGATGAAGGAGACAAATCATCGTTGTGTTGTTTCATTCTCTGAGAAGTATTTAACCAGTTTTGTACTGGATTTCAATAAACTCAAAACCATGTTATCATTAGTGCATAATCTATAATTAGAAAATTTTATGCCAAGCAAACACAAGAGCTGTAATTTGTAAGTAAAGTAGTTGAGATGGAAATAATAAGAAACATTAAGAAACAAAAGCTTTTTCAATGTTACACAATATATCCCAGGGCTTAAGAAACCCTCAAGATCAGCCTATTAACATATTAACCCGATACCATTTCATTTTTAGGATTAAAAATAAAATTTTATTTAATATATTAGGAAATTATAGAAAGTGGAGGCAAAACAAAAGAGTACCACTGGTTCCAGACCGTATTTCATCTAATTTATGAAAATCATACAGGGAACTTCCCCAAGAAATGAATCCTGGCCTTGTCCCAGTGGGCTCTTTAATTTTCATATGTCTGGACATCCTGTGGTCTTTCTCTAACTACTCAGGTATTTCCTCCCTAATATAATTACAAAAAATAGAGCCAGTAGGACCAAAATGGAAATTTGAAGGAATAAAGAAAGTTTAAAGATATCATCAAGAGACCAGAAAGGTATGTGCTTGGTTGACCGGTGCTGGGGCTGGTGATGTCTGGTGTCCAAGATTTTCTCTGCAGCCTTGGCTGTGTTCTTTCTTTTCAGGATCACTCTTTTTGAAGGGAAGGGCCATTCTAATTCCACTGACTCTCAGAGTATCTTGCCATGGCCTGTGACATGACAGATATTTTAAATGACCTGGATAAAAGTAGAATCTCTCATTTTCATTGCACAACTTGACAGAATTTGCAGCATGTGATTACATGAAAATAAACTTTAAAAAAAAACTGTTAAAAGGGCTGGGGATATAGCTCAGTTGGTAGGGTGCTTGCCTCCCATGCACAAGGCCCTTGTTTCAATCCCCAGCTCCCCCCTCCACCAAGAAAAAAAAATCTGTTTGAAGGTCCTTTTAAAAGGAGACTGAATCATATATCTTCTTTATTATGGGCAAATCTGTTGAAGAAGGTAAATTGTTAGATTTTATTACTGGAAATAAAGTCTTAAAAGTTCAAAATAATTAAGAATTACCAATTTGTGGACATGGCTTTCAGTACTTAAAGTCATTTTGCTTTCACCATATCACATTCTATGGGCTTGACATTGTCTCTACCCAAATTAATGAAGTTCTAAGTAAGTTCTTAAACATTAGAGGTTACTGTATGTTGTCAAAAATGGAAGAGCCAGGCGCGGTGGTGCACTCCTGTAATCCCAGCGGATTAGGAGGCTAAGGCAGGAGGATGGCAAATTCAAAGCAACTCAGTGAGACTCTGTCTCTAAATAAAATACAAAATAGGGATAGGGATGTGGCTCAGTGGTTGAGTGCCCCTGAGTTCAATCCCTGGTACAAAAAAAAAAAAAAAGGAAGAAATATTCTATAAAGAAATGGTATCATGGTATCATCTTGATTGCTACCAAGGTCCATTCAAGTGACTCTAGTGCTATTTTTGTACCTGCAGGTTTTAAATCCATTCTATGTGTTCCAAGCCTTCACCCTAACTTTGTGGCTGTCTCAAGGTTACATAGAGTACTCTGTGGCTATCATCATTTTGACCATTATCTCCATTGTCTTAAGTGTGTATGATTTGAGACAGGTAAGAGCTGAAATTATATTGGATTCCACATAACCTCTGGCTAAAGAGGCAGAGCCTTAGAATTTTCACCAATAACAAGGAGTTGCTTTGTCAAACATAAGATATAGCAAAGCAATAAACAAGAGCTTACCAATTGTGGGATCTCAGGAAGAGGGCTTTAGGAATGCCAGGTAGATTTAAATAATAAATGTCTTTGCGAACTCTGATTATCAGCTAAAGATTTTGTTGAATGTTGGGTTTAGAAGGACTCTGAGGCTTCCTCTGAGCCTGGTGGGAAAGAATTCTGTGGTGGAGTAATGATGTCAGTCATGGTTTCAGGAGAAAGGGAGGAGGAGCAGCTCAACTGTGCATATTAGTCAGGAAGACACTATGTCTCCTAGGATGATTCGATGGCGTATTTTCCCCAACTTATATACTGTGCTTTCTTCACATTTCTCATCTAAGTGTTTATAACGAATTTTAGACTTAAGATTCCTTTAACATGTTTGTTTCTTCATGTGGAATTCAAGATTAATTTTTTTTTTAAGAAAACCCAAAACAAATACAGAAATTCCTGTGTGGGAGTTAGGGAAGTTGCTAAAAAACTCAGTTTTGATCTTCCCCTCAACACAGCAGTGTTTCAGCAAGAGACTTACATGAAATTCCTGAGCTGCTGACCTATTAAGTCGAAATATCCAGGGTAATATCAAGAATCTGCATTTCTGGCCGTTTTCTATCAGGTGATGGTCAGACAATCTGAAGGCTAAAGCACTGTTGTTATCAGGGAAATCTAATGAAGTTGAATTTGCACACCAAGATCCCAAATACGTGTTTTTATTCATTTATTAATGTTGTCATCAGCTGAACATATTTATTCACTCTTTTCATGCTATTAGGTGCATATATATACAATTTTATGTGGAGATTTGTATATTTATTAAGTTTTTAATTGAAATAGAATCTTACTATGCACATTAATTTGCATCTTTAATTTTCACTTTATTGTATATATAATGGCAATTTACCAAGCAAATAAATAATTGTAATTCATGTTTAAAAGTATTGCTATGATATCTTATGGAATATCATAATCTGCTCGCTATTTTTATGTATGTAAAATAATATCATTTCTCCAATTTTTGCCAACACAAATAATGTTGAATTAAACATAACTACAATATAGTCATGAGTGTTTGGAATTTTTTTAACATAGGAGCCAAAAGTCAGATTATTGGATCAAAGGATACATATAATTTGAATTTTAATAGATTCTGCTATATATTTCTCATGAAATGAAATAATTTCTTCTCTCCCGCAACACAAAAGAGTATCATTTTCCAGATCCTCATTTTCCGGATCCTCATCAGCATTGGGTGTTATATGTTGATATTTGAAAAGTTCTATTTAATATTTTTTAATATACTTTGCCCTGATTAGTAGACACACTTCCATTTGAGTTTTGCACTTTTTATTTTATATTAATAGACTCTTTATGTCCATCACATGTGTGACTAAGTTTTATTTTTAGTCTATCTTTTCTCTCTTGACCTTGACTCTTACCATATGTTAGAAATTATGTAGTCACTTGTATTTCTCATTTCCTTTATGGGTTCTGGTTTTCTTGTTTTGCACATAAAGATCTTCCTTTTGTAAGTTAGGTCATTTCTGTTCTTTGCATTTGCAATTTGCTTAATATTTATTTTTAAATCCTAATGGATTTTAAACATTCAGGTCCTGCATCTTAGCAAAAATCTCTAAATTCCTTTGCCCAAAATAGTGACTGACATGGGAACTTCAGACTTGATGGCAAAGGATTTCTTCAAAAAGAAGAAAAGGAATTAGAAGACAAGAGCTAATCCTATTAGCAACTGTTTTTTTTTTTTTATGCTTACCTGACCCAACCTGTAAGGCATCTTTTAAAACCATATAAAACAAGCCAGTTTCCTGAAACTGTATCCTTGCAGTTTAAATCACAGATCCTCCATGATCACATTTATTTAGTATTTTAGAGTTTACAACAATACCCACATGCCTAACATACACATGTGTTTGTATGGAGCAGGATAACATAATAAAGTGAGACACACACAGGTGTCATACACTCCTACCACCTGACAGTAAAAGACATGACAATCAGGAAGGTGAGAGACTTGCTCACACACACTCAAGGAATGGTGGCTGTAGACCCTTATGCCCAGGTTTCCTGACTCTGAATCAAGTACTACCCACTGTCCTGTTGAGCACATTCTCAAAGTGACCCAAGGACTTGGTTGTAATGGTGGGCAGGAGGTTGGCAGGAATGCAGAAAGGAACATCTACTGCTATCTCCAAATCATTCTATCGACCTACATTGAAGTTCATCATGTAACAGAATTTAAAGACTTAGCTAAATCAACACAGGCTTTTAAAAATTGAAAGAAGAAAGGTGTTTGCAGAAGTACAAGAAGATATCTTCCTGCACTTCTTCTAGACTCAACTAATGGTACACATTTTACCTAATCAAAGCCCAGGATCACTCTTGCAGCAGTTCCTTCCTGACAAGTTCCTTGCAGTTCTGAGTGCAAACCTTGGGACCCACCTGCATTTACATTGTACTGTATCCACATGCCCTGTCACTGGGCTGTGCCATGGTAACTGCTAGATATAGCTCCGAGTAGCTGGCCCCATAGTGCTTTGCCTTCAGTCAAGACTGAGCTGGACTCAAGAGGCATCTGAGTCCTGGTTGCTCATCTCTGGAGGAAATCCAGCCACAGCTAATACAAGTGCATGCAGCAACAGATGCTGAATAATAATAGTATGCAAATTAGTCTTGGAAACTGATCCTGGTCCCACTGAAGAGGAACTGGAGAAACCAGAGGGGGCCTAATGAAAATCAGGCAACGAGCTTCACAATCATGGCAGGCATCACAGCATTCGCCTTCTCCTGGCTGGTTGGTTGTCATAGAAACCTGGGCTTGTAGAGCCTCTGAGTACATTAACTCAAAGAAGATGCCTGCATTATCTTACTCCAGTGTCATTGGGAGAAGTAGAATGATTCAGTTCAGTTAAATACATATTTGCTGAGAGCCTACTATGTGATAGACTCTGGGGGATGCTGAGATGAATACATGGCCCCTTTCTTCTGCAAACTGCCTGCCTTACTGGGGAGACCTGACAAGACAACAGGTAGTTGTGGTTAATACCCCAACACAGGTGGAGACACAGGGAATAGAACAATGCGTTCTTCCTGGGGATGGAGACTTATGGGGTGGAGGTGACATTTAAATAGGAATTTATCTGAAGGATTAGAAAGAGTTCACTAGTAGAAAACTAGGCTGAACATTCTAGGGAATAGCCTGAGCAAAGGCAGGCAAGCATGGCAGGTTATGCAGAATGCTAAGTCTGATAAACAAATCCAGCTTTACAGCATAATGAGGTTTGAAAATTACAGTCAAGCATTATTAACTCATACTTCACCACTTGCAAATGTGTCGATTACCATCCTCTTCAGCTAGGCTGAAGTCATCGTGGCATTGACTGAAAGAGTTTTCTGGGCAAAAAAAAAAAAAGAAAGAAATTTGGAAGTGAGGATATTTATCTTCTAATAGAAGAAAAAGCCCTTTCTTTTGAAGCACTAGAAGAATATACTCACCAGGAGATAATGCTTTAGAGTCAGATAAACCTGGGTTTGACCTTCAAGTTTAGCAAGTAAACAATTATGGGGAAGTGACTTCAACATTTTTTAACCTCAGTGTTTTGCTTTTTGTTTTTGTTATTTATATGTATGTTGGAGACAACATTTTCGTCATAAAATTATTTCAAAGATTAAAAAATATATATATTCCAAGTACTTACAGCAGTGCTTGATACATAGTAGCTGCATAATGTTTCAACTGTTTTAAAAATAATAACTTGAATTATTTATATACCTCATGTATTTCTTCTATGAAGTCTTGAGTGTTTCAGATAAATCCCTAACATGTAAAACAAATCTGCCGCATACTATGTTTGATCTTGAAAGTAACTTTAAATTGGTCAAATTCAATGTTATTTGTTTACAAAGGAAACAATTAACTTATAAGGTGAAATTTCTTATGCACCATACATGGCTGGTTAGTGGGTGAGCCAGACCTACAGCTCAGGAATCCTGAGCAACTCCAGTGTTCTTGCCACAGAATCAGAGCTGACTTTCTCACTCCTACCTGTCATTCAAAGGCATGCCCCAACAGTCAAGCCCCAGGAAGTCACCTTAGGACAATGGAATATGTATCCAACAGTATTATCACTTCTTCTACTCAATTGGTCCAAATTAGTGAAGTTTAGCTTTTTATGCAAAACTGAAATAAATAATCAAATTTTCCATATAAATATTAACACTAAATGCATTATGTTCTCTGAAGGGGAAAGTTGCGTAATTTTGTGTAATGTTTGTCTTAGCCTGGTGACATTTCTGTAACATTTAAAAAAAGTACCAATGGAACAGAAAAAGATCATTTAATAGCTAAAAATAAATGTTTCATGTTTGAACTAGGTTAAGCTGCATTTGAGTACTGTCCACAGTATTCAAACCCTCTTCTATTTAATGGCATCCAAGTCATTGATATTCATACCAATGGGGCAGTGCCTTCTACAGCTGCTCAGCCCTGCTCAGCCATCTCTCTGGCTGATGGTGCCCCAATGGTCACTCTGGGGAAGTTGTGTGGATGAAATCCCCTCTCACCTCTGTCTTCCCATGCTCGCCATTATGCTAGGAGATGTTTAGAGATGCTGCTTCCATTACCCCAGGCTCCTTCCATTTCCTCCACATTTTACAGAGACCTATCTCAGTGAGTTCTACCTCAGGCAAGCCTTTCCAGCTGGTGGACTCTCACAACTCTTTTCCCTTCAGCAACTTTCTTATTCTTCACTAACACATTTGAACCCTCAGCATAGTACTGAGTACTATGCAAAGGGCTTTATGAACATTGGTTTAAAACTGACAACAGCCCTAGAAAAACAGAGATGGCTATTCTTTCTCCTTTCAGATGAGCAAAAGGGAGTCAAACAGGTAAATAACTTGTAAGTGATAGCACCAGGATTCAAAACTGAGCCATATGACACCATGCTACAGACTCATCTGACATGAAAACCCCCCATTTATAGCAGAGGGGGTGACTGTTCACTTTTGATCAAGCACAACTTAAATACTCACGGGCTTTTACAAGTGGAAATCTGCTTAGTGAACAACTTGAGCTTTGTTGTTTTACAGACAGGGGAGCGGAGGCTTAGAGTGGGAGGTAACCCATCCAGTCTCAGTCTTTCTCTTTTTACTTGTGCATTCTCAACATGTTGATAAAGTCTTGCTTCCCTGGCATAGTCTTTTGAGACAGTGGCTCTGCATCATTTTTCCTGGGAGGGAAATAGCATTATTTCTATTTCATTCGAACTCTTAAGCGTGGTCACTTCTGCAAGGAGTGGGGCAGGTGGGGCAGAGGTTGGGGCAGTGCAGCTGAAGCATGGAGTTGTTTGGCTGTGACAGCAGGTTGGCATTTGCACTGTGGAGATCAGGTGGCTTTCAGGACGTGGACTGATACTGAAACTTTGACTTTACATTGATAGCAATCAGTGAAGCTGCACAACCTTGTGGAGGATCACAACAAAGTCCAAGTTACAATCCTTGTGAAAGACAAAGGTAGGTGATACTGTTCTGCTTCTTGGGCATGCTACTGTTGCAGGGTGGAATCTGACTCATTCATCCTTGATTACTTACTCGTCAAAGAGAAAAAGTCTTTTCTGATTGAACTCAGGACTGGAACTAGGATGAGAACAGAGCATCTAAGACATGAAATCCAAGGAAGCAAGGATGTACAAACACTAATCCTGCCTCCACAGGGCTGGAGAGGGAGTGCCCTGTTAAACCGCAACCTGGGCTCCTCTCTTGCCCTAGTCCTGATTGAACCATTCCTACTCAATGTCTGGATTACTTCAAATTCCCTCTGTCCTCCATATTTCATTCATGTGGATATTACTGGAGAACCCTTTTAAGGTTCTTTTATATTCTTCAACTAGCCATCCCAAATACATCCCATCAAGTATTTCAAACTATCATCTGGAACCTAGACCTGCATAGGTCTTTTTGATGCTGGCTGGACACTGGCATTTGCTCTGAGTTAGTCTGGGTCAGGTAGCCAAGGCTGTCTGCAAGGAGTGAAGAGCTACACTCAAAGCAGCAGAAGCTCTCTGGACAATTTTCCTAAGGCCCTAATCCAAGGAGAGAAAGCTTGTCACGGGGGGGGGGGGGGGGGGATGCAAACAACAGCCGAAGGATCTTTCTTCATTGACAAGTGCTGTTGAATATTCCCTGTGGGCCAAGCACTGAGTACTAGGATCCAAATGGGATCTTGTTGCTGAACTAATCCTTTGCCGATTCCCTAATTCTGGTTCTCTTGGAAGTTTCAGTTGAGTGGAAAGGGCTTAAACAGGTAGGATAGCTCTTGGCAAACAGGTCAGTAAGGGTTCTTAGTTGCTTTAATTCATAAGTAAAACTAAGAAAACTTTGTTCTTATATAGGTTTGCAGGAGCTGGAATCTCGCCTCTTGGTTCCCGGAGATATTCTTATTCTTCCAGGAAAATTATCATTGCCTTGTGATGCTGTTTTGATCGATGGGAGCTGTGTGGTGAACGAGGGCATGCTCACAGGTAGACAGCTTGCCTCAAGCTAGTCATCCCTGTCCAACAGCTAAGCCAACACTTAGCAAATCAGATCACCATACATCTACCCTGCCCCAGGCTCCATTTCCATATTGACAGATAAGGGAGATAAATTTGGCCTTTTCATTCAAGTAGAGGCACAAAACACTCCAGCAGGCTGTGTTGAACAATGAGAAGAACTAATTCACTATAAATTCAAAATATTTAATACCATATGTATTAAATGAAGAAACACTTAATATCATATGTCATTAATTGCCTGATGGGTGGGGAGGCTTCAGTAGGTGAACAGGTTGAAAGACAATCTGTTCATAAATATGAGAGTGGCTCATGCCCATATTCAAGCAAAACACAACCCACAAAACCCAGCAATGCCCACAATTGGAAGGGTGTAGAGATATTTTTCCTAGCCTTGCATTGTACGGATGGAAAACTACTTCCAGGTTTCAATGGAAAGTTTGAGTTAAACCTTAGGGTAGAAACAGTACAACAGCTCTGTTCTCCTTTGGACTCATAATTCCAGTTGATCTCACTGTGCAGAAAGATCTAGTTTTCGTTTACAGTTCATTAGGTTTACTTACATTTGTATAATTAGTAAGGCACTATTTATGAAATATTCTTTAGTTCGAAAAATAGTTGTCATAAGAGATACTATAAAACAACACAAACATAGAAACTACTTTTCTTTTGTGCTTGCAGATTGTCAAGTTTTTCTATTTCCAAATGGTGTAAAGACAGGGAGGAAAAAACCTTAATACAACCTAAATGTAATGGGAGTTCATTATCCCTAAATTGTTCCACATAAGCAGATTTCACATTAAAAATGAGTCTGCTTAATTTAAAATTGAGACAAGAAAATGTAGTAAACATAAATATGTTTGGTATAATTACAAAATACCCCTTTAATGTGTTGAAATCTAACTGCCTTATAATGACAGTGATGAGGATTTGCATACTGATCATATCTTTTATCCAGAATGTTGCCATAGTACCCAACACGAAAACCTCAAGCTCAACAAAAACTGTCCTTCTCCCTCCAATGCAGCCGCTGTCTCCCAGCTGCTTGTGAGGCAGAATGGCTGCTCTCACTGGCAACAGAAAGGCTGTGCCCTTGGTCTGTTCTTTCTCCTCTCCCTGACTGGACTGTACAGTGCTGCCCTTGATTCTCAGGAAAACTCAGAGAGTTCCAGAGAATTAGAAGTGACGAACAATGCTGCCTTTCAAGAAATGGGTAAAATCGACCTAAAATGACCTAAAATGATAAGTGGCTTTTTCTAATGTTCATTCTGGGAAAAATTAAGGGGACAGTATTACTATCTATGTAACCTAAGTACCGTAAAAGGCAACTAAGGTGACAGACACATGAAATAGAGACATATATACTTCTTTCTCGTTAATTTCTTCACAAACTTTTAAGTCCCAGCATGCTCTAAATACTTTTTATACAGCCTACACCCCACCTCCCACCATGTTCATATTTGTGCAAAGGATCCTGTTTGAACAATCAGAAGATTAGGGTTAGATTACTGAAACTGCAATTGTGTTCCTAGGGTATTTGTCCACAAATGCGATTCAGATTCTGGTGGGGGAAAAAAAAACACAAAAATCTTTATTGATGTAATAATAAATATGGCAAATACTCTTAGCATCACTATTGCAACATATTTTATAAATAACTTTTACATCTCACTTCTTTGTGGCACAAAACAGATTAGATTGGGAGTTATTATCATACCAGTTTACAAGTAGAAGAATTGGAATTGGAGGTGACCTTTGTTCCTGAACACAAGGACCGTGGTAGGGAGGAAGATGATCCACAGCGGGTACAGCTGCCCTCTCCTTGTCAGGTCCTATCTCCTTTGACTCTTGTTTTCCCACCTACCACACCTCCCCCAGGGCGGGCTCTTCCTCCTTGCCATCTGGCCTCTCCTCTTGGCACAAACTCAGCTATGCAGGATATTCAACTCTATCTTACACCTACATTTCATTGTACTGTTGGCTTCAAATGTTGCCATTCTTGAAAGCGTCAGGTGTGAATTACCTGGCATGAGCCAGTCGTCCCCTTAGATTAGCTGTCCTCCAGACCCTTATCTGGCTACCCAGAGTTGTATAGTGAGCAGGTGGGTGTGGTCTAGAGAAGGTCTTCTTCCTAGTCTACCCTGAACCTGGGAGACTGATGGAGGCTTGCCTACCTGGAAAGGGAGGCAGACCCAGATGCCAGTTAGTTTCCACAAAGTTAGTGCAGGTCCCTTTTCTTAGGGACATGTGACATGTAAGTCTCTTTTTAATTTGATTTACTTCCACCTATACGTGCTAGATTCTATATGTTTTATCTATTCCAATTTACATAGAAATGCAGTCGAGGGAAGGCATGGTGAACAAAAAAGATTTGTTTTCACTCTCAGGCAGTCCCTAAAATTCATGATCAAATTTATGACTGACTTTTAAAACTCAAAAACCAGTGATTACCTCCTTGTCCTTTTTTCTGCCTCCTTTTCTGAGGGAATTGATCCCCTTTAGTATCCAGCTCCCTTGGAAGGAGAGGAATCAAGAATCAAAAGGGAATATCATGGGAAGGAGAATCTATTAACATTTTGAATTCTTCTCATCGTAGCTCATTTGTTTTGCTCTCATATGTATTAGGTTCTGTACTAACTTTTTACATCAGTTACTTCCTCCAAATCAGATCACCATACATCTGCCCTGCCCCAGGCTCCATGCTATGACATTGACAGATAAGGGAGATAAATCTGGCCTTTTCATTCAAATAGAGGCACAAAATACTCCAGCAGGCTGTGTTGAACAATGAGAAGAACTAAATCACTGTAAATACAAAAATCTGAAACCCAGATTAGGTAAATAATCTGCCTATAATCACAGAACTTACAAGTGGTGCTGATGAGATTTGGATTCATTTGGTTATACATTCATTCACTTACTTCACAAATGTTTATTAACGAGCAGTGAACAGGCAGATAAGATTTCTTTCCTTAAGGAGGTAACATCTTGGGTGGAAAAAACAGAAAGCACGAGAGTACACACATGATATAAATTCCCAACAAGTATGTTTTATGAAGAAAATAAAACACCTAAATCCAGGCATTTTGTCCCCAGAGCCTATGCTTATAAGCAGTGCTTCCTCCTTCTCTTAGAAATAACTGTGTGGGAGAGGGTGGCATTCATTCTGTCACAATCTCCTGCCCGCTCCCTCCATTCATTAAATTACTCTTGTTTACAAATTTAAAACTTGCACAGGAAGTGTGCCGGGACCCAGGAGTTCCCTCAGTGTTTGCATATTGCCGTCCTGCCAGACTAGCTTCTCACCAGTCCATAAGCTAGATGGTTCCCTCTCTTCCTTTCTTGCTGCCTTTCCCTTGCTCTTGCTTATTCATCCTGTGTTTAATACAAGTTCAGAGATGCCTGCTCTGTGCCAGGCTCTGTGTTGTGTGCTGAAGTTACCAAGATGAATGGGAAATGTTTCCTGTTCTCAAATTGCTAAAAGTCAAATGGTTCCAGAGATGTTAATAAACAAGGACATGGATGTTTCCAATATGTCACCAAATGCAGGCACCTGGCTTCTTGGGGACAGGGGAGAGTATCTCCTTTTGACTGCATGAGGGGTCTCCAGATGCTGGGAGCCAATTCTACAGTTAACAGGGAGCAATGCTGGCACTTCCTTCTGAAACCTTGTTTTAGACTCTTTAGTCTCCCAGTCTTTTGTAGGTGAATCCTTCTTTTTTGTGGCAGGGGAAGAGGGGGAGTGTTCTCAAGAAAGACTAAAGCATTAGATTTCTTATTAATGTAGGAATAATATAAAAGAGACTTGGAGATCATTTCTGTGTAATATCATCAGATTTGAGCTTCTATCTGGAGCACATCATTGCCAGATGGCTTTCATCTTTGATTGATCAATACCTGCCTGCCTCCAATTTCATTGGCTGTGTGTGTGTGTGTGTGAAACTGTTCACTAGTACTGTATTAACCAAAGTATCAATTGTGGATGACTATTCTTGAAGCCAAGGCAGAAAAACCTTGGCAAGTATTTGCCTGTTATAAAGGCTGATTTCAAAAAACAATGTGGTACAAGGATTTGGAGACATGTCAAAAGGTTCTGTCTCTTTTACAAAGTCATGTAGAATGCAATTGGCAAATTCACACAACAGATGTATATCATAATTGTTTTTTAAAAAAATGTTATGGGGACGATGCTATTCAAGATTACTAATAAAAAAATTATAGTTTTTTATACCTTATTATGTAAAATATGTACCATGCTAGGAAACTAGTTTTTGGGAAAAAAACTAGTTTTTTGAAAAAAACTAGTTTTTTGAAAAAAACTAGTTAAAAAAACAATAATAGAAAAACAATAAAGGCCTCAGTAATTGCCTTTATTTAATTCATCCATGCATTTTAACAAAAAAATATATTTGAACCTATTATATACTACCAGGGAAAATGAGGAGCATATAAAGTTATATATGTTAAAGTCCTAACCTTGGTTATTACCTAGAAAGAGAGATAAGACCCAAATTTGTATAACTATAATCAATATAATACTATTTCCAAATTGGAAATATGACATATTATCTTGCTAACTGAACATTTAGCAAAAGACTGATGGAATTTTAAATTCACTTTAGTGCCCTTTAAATCTGGGAGCCAGGAAGTGTTATTAACATTTTTATTTTGTCTCTGAAATTTATCATTTTTGAACTCCGAGCAAAATTTCTTTTTTACCTTAAGTATCTTGTCTTGCAGCCATCAAGGAAAGGGAGATAATTGGTACCAGCAAAGAATGGGAGTCAATAAAGGGAAATGAAAGGGCCTCGTTCAGCTGGAGCGTGGATGAGGAGAACCGGCCAACAGTGCCTGAATAATGCTGGGCTTTGACAAGCTAGGAAGAGGGTTTGGGCTTTATTTAGTAGTGGCAGTGGATAAAACTAAGGGTTTGGGGGGGAAATGGAATAATAATAAAAAGGAGAGTTTGATAGAATTTACTGGAAATGGTGTAGGAAGACCTCTATTTTCTGGCCTGGCTCCCTGAGCTTTAGGAGGGCAGAATGTCTGTCTTGTATATCGCTATGTTCCTAGCATTCAACACAGTTCCTGGCACAGCATACGCACTTACAAAATATTTGTTGACTGATTAGGTAAAAGAATAGATGAATGAATAAATGAAGGAATGAAAGGCAAATAGTATCTGTGTGTTTTACGACTCCTCTATCCCTTGTAGTGGTTCTGGGCTTGCTGAACATTTGGAGAATGGTAAGTACAACTCAGTCAACATAGGTTTCTTTAAAAATCATGAGGACAAACCATACAGACCAGGTATAGGAAGACAGGCAGATCTTAAGTAACTATTTGAAATCCAATCAAGTCTACCATTGCTTGTACCACCAGCATCCCTAAGAACTGTTATCTGACTCATGGGAGGGGCATTAGGACCCGATAAGTTGTGGTTGTCTCATTTCTTGAAACTGGCAAGTAACAGTTTTAAATACTGTTGTGGTTTTATGTAGAATCAACAAAATACTATCTTCCTTAGGAGAAAGTATACCTGTCACAAAGACACCACTGCCCGGAACAGAGAACACCATGCCTTGGAAATGCCACAGCTTGGAGGACTATCGGAAACACGTGCTCTTCTGTGGGACAGAAGTTATCCAGGTCAAGCCTTCTGGGCAGGGACCCATAAGAGCAGTCGTTTTGCAGACAGGTTAGTGGATTCCACTCTTGTCACTGTAGTCTATACCTGGAGGTGAGCAGAATGAGAACAGGGAAGGTTTGTTTAGGATTTTGGAGTTTACCACATTCTAGTAATAACAGTCACACTCTTTTCTATCAAGATCCCCTATTCTAAATCGCCACTATTCTGACTTATTTTTTGTTAAACCCCTGTGTGTGATGAAAGATACACAGAGATAATGCATATTTCCTTCAAGGCCAAACTATATTCTTGGATTGACTAATGTCCATAGGTTTCTTCTCTTTTCCTTCCATTTTATGAGCACTTGCCAAAAAAAAAAAAAAAATGTGTCAACCATAATGACTGTCAAGTCTTTTTTCCTTTAAAGGGGTTGCTTGTGAGGCTGTACATCAGACTCCCTGCTGGCTACCTCCACCTGCACACTCTACAGACTCTTCAAAATCAAGCATCAAAAAGTGAACTTATCCTCCTGCAATGCCTCTCTGTTAACAGCCTCTCCATCAAGCTAGTTTCTTAATGGCATCTTTAACTCCTTACTTTCCTTCATTCCAAAAGGGCACCAGTGATTCCACTATGGCCTCAGAGGGCTGTCCCTCTTTTCTGAGTCCTGTACCTTCCTCTTCATTCCCATAGTCACTGTTTAGTGCAGGCTTTCATCACACCATGTTTACTTTATTATAAGAAAAATGGTCTGGACTCTTTACTTTCAACTTTTGCCCTAATCTTTCTCTGATCTTGAACTCAAATCACACTTCAAACACACATTCTAGAATAGCCCAGGCATATCACACCTAAAGTTTTGCATGCCTAGCCACATGAGCTTCAAACTTCCACATGCCATTCACAACCAATGCCTTTCACAACCTGGTCCCAACTCCTAGTCCTTAACCCTGATCTGTGTTTCTGTCACCTCACATATTCATGGACACAAAGCATGCCTTGCACTTTGATGCCAATATGCTTTAGTTTGATGTTTTATTCAATTGTTCTGGATGAATTAGTTTTTTTTTTGTTTGTTTGTTTTTGTTTTTAGTTAAAACATGACTTTGTTTTTTTTACTAAAACTAGCTAGTGGGTTTTAGAGCATCCTCAGCCTTCTGTCTAAACAAAAACAAATAGTTGAAGACCATGGAAACCACCATAAACCACTGTAAAATTCTTACAAAGCAAGTTAGAGAAAAGTCTACTCCTGTTCTCCAAAGGTAATAAAGCCATGTTTAAGGAGACCAGGTATCCATATAGCAGAGGAGATAAGGCAAATTTTGTACTTAAAATACTGGTGTTCCTGTCTAGACTATATAATAGTTAATCATTTTAGCCACTAATTCAGATATTAATGGGTATTTGCCATGTGCTATGCACTGAGGGCTAAAGAAATAATTTGTGAGCTACACCTTTCCTGGAAGGAAGGTCATGATACTCTGTTGTAGGAGACAGATTAACTTATAGTTAACTAAAACATGCAGTGATGATGGGTGTCATATGACCAAGTGTTGCAGCGACCCCAAAGAGTGAGATATATTATTCTTGGTATGAAGTATGAGAATAGAATTCTAGAAACACTTCTATGATGAGGTGGCATTTTAACATAGCTGATAGGATGGGGACGGTTTAGTCAACCACATCAGCGCTATTAAAATAGTCTGATTTGTGTTTACAAAATACAAGAAAATATACAAGGTGTCTTCTAAAATCAGTAAATAGTTGGGATCAGTCCAGCAAGATAGGAGTAAATCAAATTGAAGGTGACCTCAAATCCATGCCTAGAAAATTTAATTTTATTCTAAGAAAGTGGTAATATTTGGAGCAAAAGAATGATATGATTAAAGGCAGATGCATATGTGTATATATATATATATATATATATATATATATATATATATACACACGCATATATATATATATACACACATACATATACACATATATATATACACACATACATATGCATATATATATTAGGATATTACTTGCACTTTCCCTTTTTCTTAATTTTCAATTTTTTGAATATCTGTTTTCAACACATGTCTACTTTAAAGTGTCTTTCTGCAGCATCTCATTTTCTCTAGTTAACACATTCTTCAGTTCCTTAGTCCGGTTTTTCTCAGCCCTCATGTGGAATGGGGAGCTGCACTGCAGGAGCCATGGAAACACTGATTCCCAGAACAATAGAAATGGAGCAGGCCTAAGTGAAGGCCACTGACTGCTCTGCTGACTCCTAACAAGGAAAGCAAATACAGTGTGAAGTCAGAGCAATGCTGCTCTCATTCCAAGCTCCAATGACTCTACCACTTTGGGTTTGGAAAGTGTATTCAAGGGCCTTACTCCACCTGTGATTGTCTCCATGTAGGTTACAATACAGCAAAAGGGGATTTGGTGAGATCCATCCTCTACCCCCGGCCTCTGAACTTCAAACTATACAGCGATGCCTTCAAGTTCCTTGTGTTCCTGGCCTGTCTTGGGGTTGTAGGATTTTTCTATGCCCTAGGAATATATATGTACCATGAAGTAAGTACTGGAGGGTAAGGTTTTTCAGTAGCTTAGCTTTTTTAACAGCTCGGCCTAACACAAGAAATTTAGGTTAGTTTGCTTCTTGGTTCTATCATTCTGTAAATCGGCTCTGTATTTACACTGTTTAATATGAGAACACAGAGCCACCTGTACTTATGGAGCACTTAAAATATAGCTAATATAAATGAGGAAATGAAATTTCAATTTATTTCATTTTAATTAATTTAAGTTGAATAGCTGTATATGGTTAGTGGCCATCTAATCATATTGGATAGTGCAGTTATGAAAAGTTGCCAAGGGGTCCCTCCCAGTGTGACATGTGTAACATCCAAGCCCAAAAAGCCTTAAAGGAAATACATGTTTCTCAAGTCTGATAAAATGAGAGAGATTTTGTCAATCAGGTCAGAGAGCAGGAAGGGCACACTAATTTGAGTGAGCAAAACAAAAAGAAAGGATGTCCAAGGGTCTTCTAGAACCAGCCATCAGAAAAGAGAGAAATCTAGCAAGGTAGTAGATTTAATTGAAAAGGATCTTAGACTTTTTCCTGACGTATTTGAAAGTATCCCCAGTAATCCCCAACACTTATGTGTTTTGCTTGGGCTCTTAAATTAAGAATTTAATTTTATAGCACTGGTAACTCCTGGGATCCCTTCAAGCTGCAGAGTATCAGGTTTCATTTGGATGCCTCTCTTCCTAGGTGTGGTCAGGAGGGCAGGTTTTCACTTATGACCCTGAGGTCCTTTCTAGTCCTCAGAGTCTGGTCCGGTGTGTACCATACAGTCTCTACATAGACATGCAGGGTGGGATCATAAGTGTATAGGTGGGTAGGAAAAAGATGTAAATATAGCATCCAAACACAGGTGCGAAACTCAGCTTGAATGACCTCATTATGGTGTCCAAAGTGGTGGCATCAGTGAATTCTGCATGTTTGTGGAGTGGAGTCAGGGCCAGGGAATGCATATTGGTGGACAAAGACATAACTCGAGTTCATACTCAAACTTAACCTCTGCATAGTCATTTCAATTGGAAAAAAAAGCCTCCAGGAAACATTTCTAGGACAAGGGATAGCAGGGAAGGCCACTTTACTACACTTTACTAGTAGAATGGAGCCTGAGAAGAACTAGGTGGATGAAATGTTAAGGCCACTGGGTGTAGAACGTGAGGCAGTGTGCCAGTTCCAGCTGGGAACAAGAACATTGAGCCGAAATGCAAAATCAAAGCCCTGGTACAGACAGAGAATGGAGGTTTCCTGGCAGCACTCAACATCCAGTACCTCCAGAGCAGCAAACTGAACCCCAGACCTTGTCTTTTTATGGGTCTGAACCTGGCCCCTGTGATAGGCTGCTCTGATTCAGGATTAAGCAAGCTGAGTTCTCAGGATCAAAACTACGGTAGATATAGCTGGGGAAAGCAGTCGTTGTGAGGAGAATTAAATAATGTACGGAGCCTAACACAGTGCCTGCTCCAGTGAGAGCAAGCTCATTTTAATTCTGCTTCCCTATAGCTAATAATATATGCTCAGATCTTGGCGAGCCCTAAGGGAGAGCCTTACTAATCCACCACTCCTTCACCATTCTCGACTGGGCCCCTCCTTTGTATCAGATCCTAGTGCTGGGCCAACAATCAAGCTGTTGCATGAAATGTAACCAGACTAGTCCTGGTGTCCTGGGAGCCCAAGGGGGCATGGAGGTCTGATGAGTGGAGAAGGTGGGCGCCTGGGTGCAGGGGATGTTAGGAGAAAACCAAGACCTGGAATAAGGATTGAAGTTCTCCTTTGTTCTGTAGTGAGAGATAATGTCTCCATTTTTTAGGGACAGAAAAAAGAATACTCGCCCCCAGAGAACTGACTCTAGGAAGGTTCTGAGCCAAAGTCACCAGGGCCCGCATGATGTTGTAGGAGGCAGTTGTTAAGAAGGTGCTGACCTACCGTGCTGGGCTAACTGTGTGGATGTCTTTCCCTTCCCCAGATCCCCCCAAGAGACACCGCCACCATGGCCCTGATCCTCCTCACGGTGACTGTCCCTCCCGTGCTGCCCGCTGCCCTGACCATAGGCATTGTGTATGCCCAGAAGAGACTGAAGAAAAAGAAAATCTTCTGTATCTCTCCACAGAGAATCAACATGTGTGGGCAAATAAACCTCGTGTGCTTTGACAAAGTAAGACCCAAACTTCCCAGGTTGAGGGTTGATGGTTTTGAGGATAGCAGAGCTGCAGAGTGGTCGGGGGAATGGTCTTCCAGGGAGAACACTGAGGCCAGAGGAGACCACACGGTGAGCTAGAGTGAGATCACCTTCTGGCCGCTACTCCAGTGACTCTAAAGGTTGCAATTTAGTCATCATATCATGAAATTTTTCCCTGTGAAATTTAATGTTTTTTGGTGCAGTGTGTGTGTATGTGTGTGTGTGTGTGTGTGTGTTTTAATCTTTTACTCTGATAACTTCCCTGCTGGACTTTTTCAGGCAAAAATGTGAGAAACATTTCTGTTTCTTGAAGTGCCTTGTCTATAGCTCAAGTAACAATTCCTCTTTGTCCTCTGCTTTTTGTAAGGAAAGAGAGGGCAGGGACAGTGGCCTGTGTCTAGACATTCCTGCCACTCTTCTCTCCTTAGAGATCAGGGCTCCAGGCTAGAGCAGGTGGTCTCTGTGCTTAGGGGCCTGGAAAAGTGGCAGAGGGGGAGTATGTGCCAGATGGGAACACTGCTGCCCAGGGGCAGGTCCCTAGACCTTCTCTTCTTTGGAGACTTGAGGAACTTCAGCACCAGCTGCCCACTGGTTCAGATCCTGCCCTCAGTATTGCCAGGAAACTTGGCTTGTGTAGTACAGTGAGCCTGGGTTTGTCCATCCCTGTCTTTAGTTCATTTGCATTTAGATAATTGATCAAGGCTTTGGCCATGCTTAATTAACCCACCAATGCTGTCCACGGTGCTCTTCCATTAAAGAGAGATAGACCTAGGTCAGGGAGTGTAGACAATGATCATGTTGTGTGATGTGTGCTTGGTGAAGGTCTGAGCAAAGTGTCGGGCATGATGAAGTAGGTCCAGAGTCAGAGGCAAGTTGTTAAGAGCACAGCGGTGTGGGAGGCAGGAACATTCCAGAACAGAGGACAATAGGCTGTTTGGAGAGAACAGCACTGGGGGCTGACACACAAGCTGAGAGGCGGGGCCTCATCTGGAAGGAGAATGGGAGTCCTTATCAATTTTTTTTTTTAGAAGATAAGTGACATTTCTATAGGTACTTTATTTATCCCATCTGAAGGAATTGGTGAGAAGAGGTGGAAGAAGAGAGATAGGACAGAGGAGGAGGCCACCTGTGAACAACTGAAGAAAGAGATCATTCCTAGTTCTAGGAGAGTCAAAACAGAGAGTTGAAAATAAACTGGAAAAGCCCCAGGAGACCTGACCCGTGTATCGCTTTAGATTATTTTAGTTTCCTATCTCTTTGTGTTTTATTTGACAAAGGAAGTCCTCAATTGCCATCAGTCAGAACCCTTAGGGTTAATTTAGCAGCAGCTTCATTTGGGATTTGGGGCCAGATAACAACTCCTTGGAAGTTTTCTAACAGGGATTCTCATTACTTACCCACCAGCCTCACTAGTGTCTAGAATACAGGAGGACCACTGGTAAAATATGTGCATTATATATTCATTCATTTCAATGGCCAATTTTTTCCCAAAGCTGCTCATTTTACTTCCTGTATAAAACTCCTTCCTTTTCATCGTCCTGTCATCTGCTAGTGTGTCTGGGGGACTGCTCCCAGGCTTACTTGGCCAAATTCCATATGGCATGACAGCATGCTGTAGTGCAAAGACCTCCCAACTAGGAATTGGCAAAATGAGAAATATAATCCTGGATGGGATACCAAGTTTCTGCATGGCCTTATTTAGATAGAAGGATTGGACTAGAATTGTTGCCAAGATATTTTTTTTCCAAATTTTACATTATAAAACTCTGTCAACGTGATGTTGAAATAAACACGCTTTACAATGAATTGAATTTTCAACCAGTGTTATTTCAACTTAGAAGATACCTATCACTGGGCCTCTGTGTATATATGTCCCCATATATATTTCTATTTTTATTGGTTTGTTAGAAGTTCTCTAAGACAAGTTTCTTTTCTTTTTGTCCAATTTATCCCAAGCCTGGGCTTATATTCATGCTAACAGTGCTTTTGCTTTGTTTTTTGTTTGTTTGTTTTTCCTATCTTATTCCTTTTAGAAATTCAAATATAATTGAGCTTTCTGTTTATTATTAGCTTATTGTAAAAGGGTCATTTTCACATAGAGAAGCAGCACAGTCTCATTTCAGTCTTGCTTCAGCACTATCTCTGTTTTCATGTTCAAAATATTAATGTTTAAAAACATAATCTAGTCATCAGGAAAACATTTCGGTTTGAATTAACTTGCTAACTCTTTGAAATCGAACAACCCAAGGGGATTTGGAAAACAAACACACAGGTTGGGCCTTTGTAAAACGCAGGAGGGAAATGAAGCAAGTAACTGGTCTTGAAAAGTTTGTTTTTATTTCAAGGAATAACTCGATCAAGTTAGCTCTTTTGTGGAATCCAAATGAACGAGTGAAATAAAGATTCCTAATTCTTTAATTTGAAACCTCAGAAAGGGCTTTGTCTTTCCCCATGTCCCGTAGAATTTGCTTAACATTTCTAGTGGTGGAAGACTCCAGAAGGGCTGCTTCTGGTTCTGCCACTTCAACGAACAGGACACTGTCCCCTTAGGCTGTTCATTTCACCTTTAATCTATCTCTGCCCTTCTGCTCAGTTTAAGAATGAAAACCATCATAAGCCCTTCTCAGTAAACCGTTATGTTAAGGTGATGTGCTTGAATGATAACAGATATCATTTTGATAGGAAACTACAAAATTCAGTGTCTTATGCAGAGATGGCATTAAGAAACTCATGTCAGAGGCCCAGAACTCAGTGCTGAAATAGGATATTCTGCAGTGCTTGGAAATGCTTTGCTCTGCTTTGGAAGTGCCAAAGCAGCTGTGGGGGGCTGCACTCTGTCTGGGTGTTAAGCAGGACTGATGCTGTTAGCTGACTGCAGCAAGACACCAGGGTCTGCAATTAATGAATGACTGGGAAACAACAAAAAAATTAAGTGCTGTGACAGAACTCGGTTCCATTTTGCTTTCTCGGTTACATTATATGACAAACACTTTCCCATAGTACTGCAAATCATATCTCCTGAGCCTTTTCCTCTTGTTCTCACAATAAAACCCATTCATGGACATTAATTAATATCTATTATTAGCACTTAGTTTCTCTCCGTAGTTTCAAAGCCCTTTACCAACATTTCATTATCAATCTGGACAGTCACTGTCACCCATATTTTTAGAAAATTACTGTGAACCAGATGGCAAATTGTGAACTAAACAGTCTTGGAAAGAAAGAAAAAAGAAATCTTGAGCTCTGCTTTGGAAAGACAGCAGATGCCAACTGAAGAGTCAACTCACACTGGTTCTTGTTGGATTTTCACTTACTGAGCTTCTCCAATAATAACAGCAATAGACACAACAACAAACAAAACCAAAACAAAGCACTTGTATTTTATCATCATAGTAACTTGAATCACCTGATTATCAACATAGTCTTAAGGACTCACATGTCAGCATATTTAAAATTTGACACTTACAAAGGATTTGGACAATTGAATCTGTGATAATTTCTTGGAAGCTTCAGTTTCATTTAAATCACATCATAATTAAATGCTTTAAATCTTACACTAATACCAATTTTAATTTTTTTTTCAGACAGGCACTCTTACAGAAGATGGGCTGGACCTCTGGGGGACTGTTCCTACTGCCAACAACTGGTAGGTCCCTTAAAGGAAGATGAAATGTGATGGTGTGCTTGCCTTGGTGGTACTCAAATCCATCCTTCCAGTATTGAAGGATGAGAATCACATCAAATATATATAGTAATGGGCTGGAATCAGCTCCCAATTTTTCTGACTTGTTTAATTGAGTGAGTCCTAAGTTCTGATCCAGACCGGGAAAGTAGGTCTTCAAATTGCACCCTCAAAAAATGGAATAGAATAAGGTGAATGATTGAGGAATGGAATGAAAAAAACACAAAAGCAGTGTGAAATCAAAATCAGGCTTGATTAATAGCTGCAAAGTCTTTCTGATGCAAGTAGTTGTAGTGAAGAGGTCGAAAATAAGGCTCCTTATTTTATATGACAGAGGTCTCCTCCCTCATAGAGTTCACAATCAAGTGGGATCAAAACGTACAAAGATACTCATCCCCAAAGTACAACACAGGCCAAGAAAATTGTTACTATTAAGGCAGGAAATCAGAATAGAGAAGAAGCAATAAAGATGAGGAAGCATGACACACAGTCTTGGTTTATATAATAACATGGTGGGTGGATGTAGAAAATGTTTTGAAATTTGGTGGATCAATGAAAGCAAATAGAAAGAGATGGCACCTGAGATAAGTTTTGGAGGACCTCTGTGTGCAGCCATGGCCAGATGCCACTCTTTGATACTTCTTGATGGGACCATCCAGGGAGACCCTCTGGACCTCAAAATTATATAAACATGGGCTAAAAGGTAGCTCTAGAGAGAGTAGAAAGTAATCACTTACACACCTACCTCAGAACAAAACTGGAGAGGGGAGGAGGGCCCTCCACAGAGAGTACCCCTAGTCTCCTAGCTCCATCCCTGTAGGGCTAAGGCTTGTCTTCTCAATCTGAGTGGTAATGACTTCTGCTCTTTGGCTCTGATTACCCAATTTTGGCTTCAAACTGTGGCTGAGGCAGCTGATGGTCAGTGAAGTCATATAGGGGCCCTCCAAGATGGTATTGGGGCAGGTACAGTGCAGGCACAAGATAATAGCAGACAGGTGGTGTGACTCTTTAGAAGATAGTTGGTTTTTCAACTCTACTCATGTGTCTCTGCTCCTGACTGCCCAGTGTCCCAGCTGGCCTTCCTTTAGACAGACAGGGCCTCTGTCAGCCAGAACAGTGAACATGATGGAATGTGTGTCATTTCAGTCCTTCCATCTCCCTCCCACACTCTTGTACTCTGAAGCTTTTGAGGAAGTAGAGTCAACTAGACCCAATTGCCATTCAGCTCTGAGGTGGGAGGAGAGGAAGGGAAACCAAGCCATTCTATACTGTCAAAGAGGAAAACAGTCTTTAGAGGCAGGATGTATGGACTGGGGTTTTCAGGAAAACACAGCAAATTTGGAAGGGCTGGGTAGCAAGAAATACTGCCGAGCCAAGGCATGCTTTTACTTGCCTGAAACCACCAGGTAGGCTCCTTTCCTACCGTGCTACATCATGAAACTAGGACCTTCTGGCTTAGGGTATGTAGTTTTTGGAGCCAGCTCCACAGCGTTTGCAGGTATAGCTCAGAGTTGCCTGCTCACATGCTTTGCCACAGCAAGGCCATTATGTCAGATGGCTGCAAGTAATGTCACAAAAAACCCTGGAATTGTACCAAGCCCCCTGAAGTTACAGTTTAACTTGACCAGTGGCAATCTCTGATGAAGGAAATTCATCTCCAACTCAGAGAAAGGTTGTCTAAAGATCACTCTGCAGGCAGAGCAGTCTGTTTAAAAACTGAAGAAACTAAATGAAGAAGGGATTGAAGGCAGCTTAGTCCCTGGACAAGTATAGAAATAGCAAGAAATTGTGTCTGGGCCTAGAATCCAGGACATAAAGAACATCAGTAGGAGTAGCAGCTGTGAGGAGAGGCAGAACTGGGGCCCACAGGACCCTGACTACCAGTTTAGAGAGTCTGGATTTAGTCCTGTAGAGCAGGAGGAGCCATTGAAGGGCTTTGAGTATAAGGATAGGTGCCTGAATCTCTGCCTTCGCAAACTTTCAGGGGCAGAGTATGCAAAATGATTTTATTGAAGACCTTAACTTATTATCCTCTCTACCAGTTTTCAGAAAGTCCACAGCTTTGCCTCAGGCAAGGCTTTGCCATGGGGACCTCTGTGTGCAGCCATGGCCAGCTGCCACTCTCTGATACTTCTTGATGGGACCATCCAGGGAGACCCTCTGGACCTCAAAATGTTTGAAAGCACGGCCTGGGTAAGTTCATGGCTTATTTAATCAAATGAGGAGAATGTAAAGAGATCTGTGCTGGGAGTCCTGAAGGCTTTCCAACTGTGGTTAAAATGAATTCTGCTCTGATCCTGCCAGAATTTGCCAACCTCCGCTTCAGAAAACTCTGTCAAGGAGTGTAATGTGAAATAGGGCTCCATAGCAAATAAATTTGGAAACTGCTGTTTACACGAAGTTAAAAAGATTTTTCTTCAGGATTTCTTTAATATACCATGGTTGCAATGTGAATATTCAAGAGAGGACATGATATGCAACATTTAATAAAACTATTTGACCTCAAAACCTTCTTGACTGGCTATAGCATGGTGCAAATGTTCTCCAAACACCCTGGGAGAGAGAGTTCTATAAAGGTGGGTCTTTTGTGGCCATATATCACTTGACTGTGACAAGGTGACTGAAGAACTGAATTGATAATTTTAGTTTAAATTTAAATAGCAGCCAGGCACAGTGGCACACTCCTGTGATCCCAGCTACTAGGGAGGCTGAGGCCACAGGATAGCAAGTTTGAGACCAACCTCAACAACTTAATGAGGCCCTAAGGACTTAGTGAGACCCTGTCTCAAAATAAGAAATAAAAAGGGCTAGGGATGTGGCTTGGTGCTCCTCTAGGTTCAATCTCTGGTACCAAAAGATAATTTATTTTTTAAAACTAGCTTCAGTGGCTGGTAGTTACTGTATCATACAAATCAACCTGGAGGATCCTCATTCCAACCGATTCCAATGTCTGAGCTGAGTGCAAATGACAACTGAAAGCTGTGAGCCCATCCCGGAGACTCCCATGACATAGCAGGAAGAGCTCTGCCTTCCACCCGTCTCTGTCATGTATTCGCAAATCAGAGTCAAAACTCCAAGTCTGTCTCTCATATGTTCATTTGGGATAATTATATCTCATTCACAGACCTAATGAGCACCGAGATGATGAGCTCTGAGGAGCTTTGAACACTATCGTGTGCCAAATGAGTGGAGGGTGTTCATGAATGAGCTAGCTGATTAATTACATTCTGCTGCCCTGCAAATAAAGCATTCTAAAGCCACTTACAGAGATATATAAAGTATTAGAGAGCATTTATACTTGTAAAAAATGGATGGGGCTAGGGTTGTAGCTCAGTGGTGCAGCACTTGCCTAGCAGGTGTGAGGCCCTGGGTTCGAGTCTCAGCACCACATATAAATAAAACAATAAAGTTTTATCAACAACTTAAAAAATGGAGACAAATGTTTGTAGGGGCATGAAACATACCTTGTGAAGAATCTAATAGGAAATATGTGTGGTAGAGGCATTTTAGCTTCCTACAGGCCAAATGAATTAAAGGGGGAATCTGGTAGAGAGAGAAGTTTCTGAAGTCAGTTAAAAACCATTTTTTAAAAACTTTTTAAAAAAATATTTATTTATTTTTAGTTGTAGTTGGACACAATACTTTTATTTTATTTATTGTATGTGGTGCTGAGGATTGAACCCAGGGCCTTGCACGTGCTAGGCGAGCACTCTACCACTAAGCCACAACCCCAGACCTAAAAACCATTTTTGCTGTGGAGAAATTTTTGGCATAAAGACAAAACAGTAACCAGTTTACTGGATCTTAATGAGAAGAACCTGTATGTTACCATACAGCAATATCCTTACCAGCGTCATTGGAACAATGATGAGTGATTACTACATATGACTTGGATCCTGGTCCAGTAATGTCTCCTTCCCCATCAGAGGAGGGTCGGTTTGCCTACAAGTGACATACAAGTCGGGGTCATTTTGGAAACATAAATCTTGAGTATTATCTCTGTAAGAACTGTCAGAACAGTTGTATCCCCCCAACAAAGCATAAATATGCAAGATTATTCATTGGGCTTAAGGCTGAGTCAGAAGCAGATTTGAGTTAAATATCAAAATTGGAGTTTGTTAGTTAGGAAGCCTCCACTGAGTTTAAGGAGGAATCCTTATAGATTCTTAAGAATTTTAGCTCTAGAAGGAATGTAAGAATATTTTTCAGAATAAATTAAAATCTGAGATATGAAGTGATATCCCCAAGATCAAACAACTAAGTGGCATAGTAGAGAAGAGATGCTATCTTTATTTTTCCTCCCCTGCTCTTTCTATCTAATTGCCTTTCCCATATTTTAGTATTGGTTTCTCAGTGGTATAGATTGCTACCATTGTAGCATTTAAAGAATACTAACCATTTTCAAATGTGATTTCTAATTGGCTAATAGCTAACTTGCTAACTCCCTAGTTAAATAAATTAGGTTAGTAGCACAGATATAGTATAAAGAAACAGTCTCAGTTTTATCTCAGGACATAATTCTAACCCATCTAAAAGCTATTGTGCTCCACAATATTGAAGACTATATCTCTACTTAATCTCTCCTCCAATTACTAGACATAACCATTTAGGAAGAGTCCTTGATCTGCAGCCAACACTTTTTCATCAATTACAACTTAAAATATATTCACAATATTTCTGGCTTTTTGACATTCTACAAAAAGGTCTTAAATATAAATCAACACAATAGAAATTTGACAATGACAATATTAAGATAATTATCCTAGAAGAGAAAACTATGTGAGAAGGACTTTGAAAAGATTAAAGTGTTATTAAAATGAGAGATATTTCTTTTGTATTATTTTTCTCCAAGGCATCTTATAAATGTTTTCATTTTACAATAGAAAATGGAAGATTGTAATGTGAACGCCTACAAATTTGGCATGTCAGACTCAAACACAATAATAAAACCAGGACCAGAAGCCAGCCAGGTATGATTTGCTTCTTTAAATCCTATAGCTCTTTTCCCTTAAGACGAGTGAAACTTCTCAGACTTTCACCTATTTTTATGTTCCCGGTTTTAAGCTTTATCTTAACAAACCCCATAGTTGCCTTGGTCATTCTTTTAGTCGTAAATCCATCCATTCGTTTGTTCAGCACTTGCTTGCTGACTACTGGGGAATGCCAGGCCGTATGCTAGGATTCAAACTAAGACATGCTGGGCTTGTGTTGGAAGAGCCCAAAGACTGGGAAAAAATCAATACAGGTGCAAATAAGTGTGATATGATGTGCCAACAACTCCAACAAAAGCAGAAGAATGAGCCACGGGAGTCCAGAGACAGGAGCCGTGTGCTGTTTCTGGGGGAGGGAAGCATCTCACAGGAAGTGAGCTTAGCTGTAAGGTTATTAGGATTCTCCAGACACTCAAGGGGACAGGACTTGCAGATCAGACAACTTGTCGAGGAAGTCACCTTAGAAGGGAGCCAGGAAAGTATCCGTATTGTGACAAATACACTACTGTATGAAGTGCTAGGCTAATGGAGGAGGAAACTATTTTGTTGACATGCATCTGGGAAATAGCTCTTGTGGTCTTTCTAAGCTCCCTTTTGTGGATGCCTCTGCAGAGTCCTGTAGAAGCCATTGCCATCTTGCGCCAGTTTCCATTTTCATCAAGCCTGCAGAGGATGTCTGTGATCGCTCAGCTGGCCGGGGAGCATCACTTCCGTGCCTACATGAAGGGTGCCCCAGAGATGGTGGCCAGGTTCTGCAGACCCGAAACAGGTACCGACATTTTTCTCTTTCAAGAGGTGAAATCAGACCGGCAGAATAGGAGCAGCGGCCTGCTGAGAGGCTGAGCCACCCCCTCCCCCTGCGCCGGCAAAGTAGAGGGAACTGTGACCACCCACAGAGCAAACCCAGTGGCCTGCTGAGGGGCAGAGCCGCCCCCGACCCCCCGCGCCTGCCAGGTAGGTGGAACTCTGACCACCGACAGAAAAGGCCCAGTGGCCCGCGGCGGGACAGAGCTTCCAATCACTCCTGCAAGGTAGGCGGGCCTGCGACCCACCGGCAGAAGAGGAGCAGCGGCCTGCTGAGAGGCAGAGCCGCCCCCTCCCCCTGCGCCGGCAAGGTAGAGGGAACTGTGACCACCCACAGAACAGGCCCAGCGGCCTGCTGAGGGGCAGAGCCGCCCCCCACCCCCCGCGCCTGCCAGGTAGGCGGAACTGTGACCACCGACAGAAAAGGCCCAGTGGCCCGCGGAGGGGCAGAGCTTCCAATCACTCCTGCAAGGTAGGCGGGCCTGCGACCCACCGGCAGAACAGGAGCAGCGGCCTGCTGAGAGGCAGAGCCGCCCCCTCCCCCCGCGCCTGCAAGGTAGACAGAACTGTGACCACCATCAGAACAGGCCAGACCTGCAACCAACAGACAGAACAGGCCCAGTGGCCTGAGGAAGGGTAGAGCCGCCCCCCCCCCCGCGCCTGCAAGGTAGGCGGACCTGCGACCCACTGGCAGAACAGCCCCAGAGGCCTGCAGAGGGGCAGTGCCGCTGCCTGCGCCTGCAAAGTAGGCAGAACTGTGACCACCGACAGAACAAGCCTAGCGGCCAGCAGAGGGACAGAGCCGCCGACCGCGCCTGCAAGGTAGGCGGACCTGCTACCGACCGGCAGAGCAGGCCCAGCGGCCTGCCGGCGTGGTAGGCACATTGCCCGAATTGGAGGAGGGGCAGAGCCGCCGCCCGTGCCTGCGAGGGAGACTTTGCAACTATACAAGACCAATATAAATATATAGGGGGAAAATTCAATAGCACAACAGTTTCACCAAGTAGAAAGGAACGCGAACAGTATGAAGAGACAAGGAAAGAAAGGACCACAAGCAATGCAGGTCAACTCAACGTTAGAAGAGGTAATAGCTGCAGCAGATGGAATGTCAGATAAAGAATTCAGGATATACATGCTTCAGACATCAGACATCAGACAGCAAAATCAGACAATGAAAGATCACTTCAACAATGAATTACATAAACAAATCCAAGAAGCAAAAGATCAACTATACAGGGAGATAGAGGTTATAAAAAACAAACAAACAGAAATCCTAGAAATGCAGGAAGCAATAAACCAACTTAAAAACTCAATTGAGAATACTACCAGCAGAGTAGAACACTTAGAAGATAGAACATCAGACAATGAAGATAAAGTATTTCAACTTGAAAAGAACATAGACAGCTCAGCAAGACTGTTAAGAAACCATGAGCAGAACATCCAAGAAATATGGGATAACATCAAGAGACCAAATTTAAGAGTCATTGGGATACAGGAAGGGACAGAGTTTCAAACCAAAGGAATGAACAATCTATTCAATGAAATAATACAAGAAAACTTCCCAGACTTGAAGAATGAGACAGAATCCCAAATCCTAGAAGCCTACAGGACGCCAAATGTGCAAAATCATAAGAGACCCACACCTAGACACATTATAATGAAGATGCCCAACATACAGAATAAGGAGAGAATTTTAAAAGCTACAAGAGAAAGGAAGCAGATCACATTTAGGGGTAAGCCAATCAGGATAACAGCTGATCTTTCAACACAGACTCTGAAAGCTAGAAGATCCTGGAATAACATATTTCAAACACTGAAAGAAAATGGGTTCCAACCAAGAATTGTGTATCCAGCGAAATTAAGCTTCAGGATGGAAGATGAAATTAAAACCTTCCACGATAAACAAAAGTTAAAAGAATTTGCAGCTAGAAAACCATCTCTTCAAAACATCCTTGGCAAAACATTACAGGAAGAGGAAATGGAAAATAACAATGAAAACCAACAGTGGGAGGTAGGACACTAAAGGGGGGAAAATAATCAAAGAGGAAAACAAACCATGTTTAGTAACATAAATAAACAAATATGGCTGGAAGAACAACCCATATCTCAATAATAACCCTAAATGTTAATGGCTTAAACTCACCAATCAAGAGACACAGGCTAGTAGAATGGATCACAAAACAAGACCCAACAATATGCTGCCTACAGGAGACGCATTTGATAGGAAAAGACATACATAGGCTGAAGGTGAAAGGTTAGGAAAAATCATATCACTCATATGGACTTCGGAAACAAGCAGGCATGTCCATACTCATATCAAATAAAATAGATTTCAAGCCAAAGTTAATCAAAAGGGATAAAGAGGGACACTACATACTGCTCAAGGGAACCATACACCAACAAGACATAACAATCATAAATATATATGCCCCAAACAATGGTGCAGCTATGTTCATCAAACAAACTCTTCTCAAGTTCAAGAGTCTAATAGACCACCATACAATAATCATGGGAGACTTCAACACACCTCTCTCGCCACTGGACAGATCTTCCAAACAAAAGTTGAATAAGGAAACTATAGAACTCAATAACACAATTAATAACCTAGACTTAATTGACATATATAGAATATACCACCCAACATCAAACAGTTACACTTTTTTCTCAGCAGCACATGGATCCTTCTCAAAAATAGATCATATATTATGTCACAGGGAAACTCTTAGACAATATAAAGGAGTAGAGATAATACCATGCATCCTATCTGATCATAATGGAATGGAACTGAAAATCAACGATAAAAGAAGGAAGGAAAAGAATACATCACTTGGAGAATGAACAATAGGTTACTGAATGATCAATGGGTTATAGAAGACATCAAGGAGGAAATTAAAAAATTCTTAGAGATTAATGAAAACACAGACACAACATATCGGAATCTATGGGACACATTGAAAGCAGTTCTAAGAGGAAAATTCATTGCTTGGAGTTCATTCCTTAAAAAAAGAAAAAACCAACAAATAAATGATCTCATACTTCATCTCAAAATCCTAGAAAAAGAAGAGCAAAACAGCAGCAAAAGAAGTAGAAGGCAAGAAATAATGAAAATCAGAGCTGAAATTAATGAAATCGAAACAAAAGAAACAATTGAAAAAATTGACAAAACTAAAAGTTGGTTCTTTGAAAAAATAAACAAAATCGACAGACCCTTAGCCATGCTAGCAAAGAGAAGAAGAGAGAGAACTCAAATTACTAGCATACGGGATGAAAAAGGCAATATCACAACAGACACTTCAGAAATACAGAAGATAATCAAAAATTATTTTGAATCCTTATACTCCAATAAATTAGAAGATAGTGAAGGCATAGATAAATTTCTTAAGTCATATGATCTGCCCAGATTGAGTCAGGAGGATATAGACAACCTAAACAGACCAATATCAATTGAGGAAATAGAAGAAACCATCAAAAGACTACCAACTAAGAAAAGCCCAGGACCGGATGGGTATACAGCAGAGTTTTACAAAACCTTTAAAGAGGAACTAATACCAATACTTTTCAAGCTACTTCGGGAAATAGAAAAAGAGGGAGAACTTCCAAATTCATTCTATGAGGCCAACATCACCCTGATACCTAAACCAGACAAAGACACTTCAAAGAAAGAAAACGACAGACCAATATCTCTAATGAACCTAGATGCAAAAATCCTCAATAAAATTCTGGCAAATCGGATACAAAAACATATCAAAAAAATTGTGCACCATGATCAAGTAGGATTCATCCCTGGGATGCAAGGCTGGTTCAATATACGGAAATCAATAAATGTTATTCACCACATCAATAGACTTAAAAATAAGAACCATATGATCATCTCGATAGATGCGGAAAAAGCATTCGACAAACTACAGCATCCCTTTATGTTCAAAACTCTAGAAAAAGTAGGGATAACAGGAACATACCTCAATATTGTAAAAGCAATCTATGCTAAGCCTCAGGCTAGCATCATTCTGAATGGAGAAAAATTGAAGGCATTCCCTCTAAAATCTGGAACAAGACAGGGATGCTCTCTCTCACCACTTCTGTTCAACATAGTTCTCGAAACACTGGCCAGAGCAATTAGACAGACGAAAGAAATTAAAGGCATCAAAATAGGAAAAGAAGAACTTAAATTATCACTATTTGCAGGTGACATGATTCTATACCTAGCAGACCCAAAAGGCTCTACAAAGAAACTATTAGAGCTAATAAATGAATTCAGCAAAGTGGCAGGATATAAAATCAACATGCATAAATCAAAGGCATTCCTGTATATCAGCAACAAATCCTCTGAAATGGAAATGAGGACAACCACTCCATTCACAATATCTCCAAACAAAATAAAATACTTGGGAATCAACCTAACAAAAGAGGTGAAAGACTTATACAATGAAAACTACAGAACCCTAAAGAGAGAAATAGAAGATCTTAGAAGATGGAAAAATATACCCTGTTCATGGATAGGCAGAACTAACATCATCAAAATGGCGATATTACCAAAAGTTCTCTATAGGTTTAATGCAATGCCAATCAAAATCCCAACGGCATTTCTTGTAGAAATAGAGAAAGCAATCATGAAATTCATATGGAAAAATAAACGACCCAGAATAGCAAAAACAACTCTAAGCAGGAAATGTGAATCAGGTGGTATAGCGATACCAGACTTCAAACTATACTACAGAGCAATAGTAACAAAAACAGCATGGTACTGGTACCAAAACAGGCAGGTGGACCAATGGTACAGAATAGAGGACACAGAAACCAATCCACAAAACTACAACTATCTTATATTTGATAAAGGGGCTAAAAGCATGCAATGGAGGAAGGATAGCATCTTCAACAAATGGTGCTGGGAAAACTGGAAATCCATATGCAACAAAATGAAACTGAATCCCTTTCTCTCGCCATGCACAAAAGTTAATTCAAAATGGATCAAGGAGCTTGATATCAAACCAGAGACACGCCGTCTGATAGAAGAAAAAGTTGGCTACGATCTACATACTGTGGGGTCGGGCTCCAAATTCCTCAATAGGACACCCATAGCACAAAAGTTAATAACTAGAATCAACAAATGGGACTTACTCAAACTAAAAAGTTTTTTCTCAGCAAAAGAAACAATAAGAGAGGTAAATAGAGAGCCTACATCCTGGGAACAAATCTTTACTCCTCACACTTCAGATAGAGCCCTAATATCCAGAGTATACAAAGAACTCCAAAAATTAGACAATAAGAGAACAAACAACCCAATCAACAAATGGGCCAAGGACCTGAACAGACACTTCTCAGAGGAGGACATACAATCAATCAACAAGTACATGAAAAAATGCTCACCATCTCTAGCAGTCAGAGAAATGCAAATCAAAACCACCCTAAGATACCATCTCACTCCAGTAAGATTGGCAGCCATTATGAAGTCAAACAACAACAAGTGCTGGCGAGGATGTGGGGAAAAGGGTACACTTGTACATTGCTGGTGGGACTGCAAATTGGTGCAGCCAATTTGGAAAGCAGTATGGAGATTTCTTGGAAAGCTGGGAATGGAGCCACCATTTGACCCAGCTATTCCCCTTCTCGGTCTATTCCCTAAAGACCTAAAAAGAGCATGCTACAGGGACACTGCTACATCGATGTTCATAGCAGCACAATTCACAATAGCAAGACTGTGGAACCAACCTAGATGCCCTTCAATAGATGAATGGATAAAAAAAATGTGGCATTTATACACAATGGAGTATTACTCTGCATTAAAAAATGACAAAATCATAGAATTTGCAGGGAAATGGATGGCATTAGAGCAGATTACGCTAAGTGAAGCTAGCCAATCCCTAAAAAACAAATGCCAAATGTCTTCTTTGATATAAGGAGAGTAACTAAGATCAGAGTAGGGACGAAGAGCAGGAGAAGAAGATTAACATTAAACAGGGATGAGAGGTGGGAGGGAAAGGGAGAGAGAAGGGAAATTGCATGGAAATGGAAGCAGACCCTCAGAGTTATACAAAAGTACATACAAGAGGAAGTGAGGGGAAGGGGGAAAATAATACAAGGGGGACAAATGAATGTCAGTAGAGGGGGCAGAGAGAGAATAGGGGAGGGGAGGGGAGGGGAAGGGGGATAGTAGAGGATAGGAAAGGCAGCAGAACACAACAGACACGAGTATGGCAATATGTAAATCAATGGATGTGTAACTGATGTGATTCTGCAATCTGTATATGGGGTAAAAATGGGAGCTCATAACCCACTTGAATCAAATTGTGAAATATGATATATCAAGAACTATGTAATGTTTTGAACAGCCAACAATAAAAAATTAAAAAAAAAGAGGTGAAATCATTTAAAAGGCTAAACACAAAAGCAAAAAAGCAGCCCTGAAAACACACACAAATGCAAAAAGCTCCACAATCAATGAATGGGGAGTAGGTTGATTTTTGGATGGGTGGAAAGTGGGTTTAGAAGATTCCATAATGCAGGGTATAATTTCAAAGTATAGAGGCCAAGAATAAAGAACCTGCCATGGTCCAGCCAGAAAAGCACAACCACAATGAGGTACCAGGGAAGGAAATGTAAGACAAAGCATCAGGAGTCAGAAGAGGAAGCCACTTGGGTCAGAGAACCAGAGAGGGAGGGTGAGAATGAGAGGTATTCAGAAGGAACCAAAGGGTGAGGTCTGAACACTAGTCTGGTTCTGCAAACAGGTCTCTGTCACCTCTGGGAAGGAGGAGTGGTTCCAGTTTTGAGGGCTCAGACAAATCAATGGAAGGAGAATATAGGAAAGATAAATCTTTTAGAAAAAAGGGTGATTGAAGTAAATTAGATATCAGAGTAAGATAACCGATCATTTTTACAACCATTTTATTATTCTGGACCAGACTTCGATATGATTTGTATTATTTCTTAGTCTTATAAACATATGTACTTTCTAAGCAACAGTCAGGTTTATAAGAATATTGTTGCATTCAAAGGAGTTCATTGGACAAAATCGGACTTTTTTCTCCTGATTTTCATCTTTTCTCCTTATGAGTGCTGATAGCCATCAATTTGTGCATAGAACTCTAGATTTTGCAAATGCTGGCTCTAGTTTCTCTATTTGGAGTCTTTTTTTTTTTTGACCTTAGAAGTGACCCTTTCTTTTCTGCCTTTGATCTTCCTCATAGCTCCCGTTAACTGTCTTTCACAGATGACCGCCTATCTTTGGCTTTGTCTTGTGTTTTCAGCCACACTGAGACAGTGAGCATCTTCGGGGCATTCTGCTGGTATCTACTGCCCTTGTTCTATTGGAAGAGTCGGACCTGTCACCTGCCACTTCCTGTTCTCATGGCAGCCCTTCCAGTTATTTCTGTTGTCCAAATTCCTGATCTTTCCCATAGGCGAACACCATCTTCTGTGACCCCCACCTCTCTCTCTTCAAGAAAAGTAAAATTAGGAACTTCTTTGAAAGTAGATCTCCACCTTCAGGAATATTCTAGAATTATTCTAGAAATTCTGACATAAATGGGGGCATAGGGATCTGCAACCGTCTCATTTTATGGATGAGGAACTGAGGTGCAGAAGACAGGCGACTTGGCCTGGGTCAGGAAGCTAGTCAGGAGGGGAGTGGAAACTAGAACCCAGTTGTTTTTCCACCTCAGCTACCACATCCCCATTTGTGCCTTGCTTTCCTATGACCACACACACAGCTCATTATAAACCATGAAGAGTTCCTTATATTACATAGCATAGTCATCATGTCCAAATACAAAAATGTTGGCATAGTGTCATCTGTCATCTGAAGCAGGGATCGGCAAACTTTTCTGCAAACAGCAAGATGGTACATATTTTAGGACTTGCTGGTCACACAGTATCTGTGTTGACTACTCAACCCTGCCACCATAGCCCCAAAGCACACACAGACAATAAGCAAACCAGTAGGCACATCCATGGGTCAATAAAACTTTATTTACAAACCAAGCAGGAGGTCCTTGGCCTGTGTGCCATAGTTCATCAACCCCTATTCTGGAAGATCAGCTCTTTCTCTTACTCCATCCAAATACACATAGTGCTGAGGTCTGTCCTTATTGAACCCTGTCTTGACCAGTTTGGGCTGATATAACAAAACACCATAGATTAGGCATTTTAAACAGTGGAGACCTCTCACCATTCTGGAAGCCAGAACATTCAAGATCATGATGCTGGCCAGTTGGGTTCCTGGTGAGGGCTGCCATTCTGGTTTGCAGATGGCAGCCTTCTTGCTGAATCCTTGTAGGGTAACAAAAGAGATCATCTCTTATATGTCATCATTCTATTCATGATGGCTCCACCTTCATGACTCAATTACCTCCCAAAGGTAAATGCACTTCCAAATGCAGTCACATTTGGGGGGGAGTCTGTACATATGAATTTTGGGGCTTACAAACAATCAGTCCTTAGCACAGTCGATGACCAGCACACCTTTGACATTTATTTCCACCCAAATAAGAAGAACACACTGATAAACTTGTTTCTAACTTTTGGCTAAAGTTATAAGCTTTCTATTAAAACAGTTTTATGACGTGAAAATTAAAACCAGGTACAGCGACAGCATCCTGGAGTCTTGATCAGGATCTAAACAGCCAATGTGACCTTACATTTGCCTCTTTCTTCTCTTCTGACAGTGCCCAAGAATTTCCCACAGGAGCTGAGGAACTACACAGTGCAAGGCTTCCGTGTCATTGCCCTGGCTCACAAAGTTCTGAAGATGGGGAAGCTCTCAGATGTGCAGCGTTTAGCAAGGTAAGGAGTCAGAAATCAGCACGAGCACAGACTCCCTGTGCATGAGGTAAATGAGTCCTAGAAATGGATGGATGAGCAGCTCACATCACCAGGAAGACTCTTGGAGATGGACAACTGAACTCATCTGGTCCTCTGATGTGGAGATGAGCAATTGTAGGTGAGACTGGGGAAGATTTACTTAGGTCACAATGTTAGTTGGTGGGAGAACAACAGGATTGCCATTGAGATTTCTGACTCCTAAACAGCATATGCTATTCCGGCCCTGCATCACCTTAGTCTCAGCTCTCCTCCCACCTCTGAATGCTATGGGAACAATCTATTTGGGTGTCCCACATATAAAGAGGCTGAGAGAAGGGGACAGTTGCAAATTTGAAAGATTTACAAAATCACTTAGACTCATTTTTTTGTTGTTGTTGTTTTTTCAGGGCTGAATACTATACCTCTCTCAGATATGGGAAAGTAATGACTACAAACTGAATTCTTTCTAAGAAATAAAATTCAATATTCTTAATTACATTAAAGGGGAAAAATTGTCCTCATTAGATGGTAATCTATACACTATTGTTTCTTCTGATATTCTTTAGCTTTCAATGGTTGTTTTAAAATTATCTATGATAAAGGAGCAGAGAAATACTGTGGAAAATTGAATAGCTGATCAACTATGTATTACTTGTTTTAGAGATATTTGATTTATGTTGCTGATAGAGAGATCCTTATTCATATGTAATTTGCTCCTTCATATCAAATACTGATGTCCTGGGTTTAATATTATTACTTGCAGCCTAAGTCCATCTAAGATAATCAGTAATCATTGCCCTTTTCTTACTCTGTGCCTGTTTCCCCATCTACAAGCTCTAAGGAGCTTTTCAGCCATGACATTTTAATCCTTGAAATACAATCATAAAGTTCGTTTCGAAATATATGAGTGACATCTTCTGATTTAGCATTCCAGGTGTTTGCTATTCTTGAGCAATCACAAGGACTCATAACACATGGGACTTTGTAATTTTTCAAACACAAATTTGAATAAAAAACATTAAGGTTATATGTGAAGTCAAGATTTACATAGCTACTTCTGGAGTGTAACCACTGCCCAGCTGCCACGTACAAATGCAGCTGTTCCTATTTAAGAGTCACTAGTGGAACAGACAATGTTAGGAATATAACAAAATATTAAAATGTGCTAGATTTCCAACCATCTCAGGTTTCCCAGGGAATCTCAGGAGCCTATGAAATTCTTAGCATTTACTTACTATCTTCAGAAAGGGTAAAGAGATAAGTTTTTGATTTTTATTAGGATCAAATTACATTTAGCCAAGTTTTCCAATTAGGAAAATCAAAAACTTCTAAAAGATTAGAGTCATAAGAGGGGAAGTGAGTTTCTTGAGATAACTTGAAAAAAATATTACCTGAAACTAAAAAAAAAAAAAAAAACAGAAGAAATACTTCACTGAGATTTGCCTCTTCATTGATTCAGCAAATATCTCTTGACCTTTGCTATGTGTTAGATCCTCAAGGAACCGAGGATTCATTCAGAAGTAAGTAAAATGAAGTCCTTGCCTTAAGAACTTTATATACTAATTGAGGAAAACAGATAATAAAATCAATCTGTAAAATATTGTCTTGTTGGCAATTTTTAAATGTCCTGAAGGGGGAAAACGAAGCAGGTCAGGAGGGCTTTTCAGAAGACAGAGAGTGCCATTTTGCAGGGGGTGATCAGGGAGGCCTTCTGAGGAGCAACATTTGAATAGAGATCTGAGTAAAATATGAGGGCAAGCCTGCAGATTCCCAGAGGCCAGCATTGCAGGGAATAGGAACGGTGGGTGCAAAGATCTTGACGTAGTGATGTTGTTGGAAATGTGGAGAAGAAGGGCTACGTGCCTGAAGCTGCGAATGAGGGCAGGAGTCGTAAAACAGAAAACACGTGTCTGTCTCTGTTTTTGTTTTGTGCTTTGTGCATTGCAGCCAAGAAATCATTGGCCAGACCAATACCAAGAAAACGCTCCCCTATGTTTCCCTCCAGGAGCTTCCGTCTCCAGTCTTATGTTTTAGTCCTTGATCCGTTTCCAGTTGGTTTTTGTGTGTGGTGTAAGACAGAGTTCTCATTTCATTCTTTTGCATGTGGATATTAGACTAAAAATCTCCTGTACAGCAAAGGAAGCCATCCAGAGAGTGAAATAGAAAATTTGCAAACCATGTATCTGATAAGAAATCAATACCCCAAATGTATAAGGAGCATAACTCAATAACAACAAAATAAATAACCCAATTAAAAACTGATCAGAGCGTCTGAGCAGACATTTCTCCAAATAAGATTTATAAACGGCCAACGGGTACATGAAAAGGCACTAAACATCACTATCAGTGAAGTGCAAATCAAAACCTCATGGCTATTAGGATGACTGTTTAAGAAAATTAAAAACATCACAGGTGTTGGTGAGGATATGGAGAAATTGGAACCTATATACACTGTTAGTGGAAACACATGCAGGTGCAGTGGTCCAACTGCTATCCAAAATAGTAAGGGGTTTCCTCAAACAGTTAAAAGTAGAAGGACCATATGATCCCCCAGTGCCACAATCCCACTTCCAAGCATATGTCCAAAAGAATTGGAATCAGAATCTCAAAGGGATCTCTGCATTTCCATGTTCTTTGCAGCATGTGTGTGTGTATGTGTGTGTGTGTGTGTGTGTAATAGCCACAATAGGGAAATAGCCTAAATGTCCATCAGTGGATGAATAAATAAAGAAAATGTGGTACATACATACAATAGAACATTATTCAGCCTTAAAAAAGAAGGCTTAGGCCCAAAGTAACTTAGAAAGATCCTGTCTTAAAATAAAAAACAATAACAATAATAATAAAGGACTGGGAATGCAGCTCAGTGGTTGAAAACCCATGAGTTCATGTTCAAAGTACAAAAAAGAAGAAGAAAAAAGAAACTCTCATGCCATGTCAGACAACATAGATGCACCAGGATGTATGTCATGCTAACTGAAATAAACCAGTTGCAGAGAGACAAATACTGCACAATCCCACTTATACTATGTATCTATAACAATCAAACCCTTAGAAATAAAGAGTGAAATGACGATTACGAAGGAAAAGGGAGAGGGGAGCAGAAGCTGCTTAGTGGGTATAAACTTTTAGTTGTGCAAGATGAATAAGTTCTAGAGATCTGCTATACAACATGGTGCCTATAATTATCAATGCCATCCTGTACACTTTAAAATTTTGTTTGAAGGGTGATCTTAAGTGTTCTTATCACAAAGCAAAACAAAACAAAAAACGGGAGCAGGAGGAAACATTTGGGAGTGGTGGATATGTTTATTATTTTGATTATTATTATGATTATTTTGTTGCAGAAGTGTATACATATTGCTGAAACCATCAGATTGTATATATTACATATGTGTGGTTTTTATAGGACAATTACACCTCTGTAATACTGTTAAAAATAAAATTCTTTATGAATCTTAAACCCCCCAAAATTATTAAATTGGTGAGAAGATTTTGGTATCTTCCCTTTGGTTCCAGTCCACATAAAAATATTAATACAATTTATAATAAAGAAATGATAAAGTTAAATTTGACAAATTCCATGTTAGGTAGATTTTCTTTTATAGAATTTTCTGAACTCACTAAAACAGGAGTAATATTTGATTTTCTGAGTGTGCCAAAGTGCCTAATAAGAGAATTGAAGCAAAGTAGTTATTTAGTAAGTGGATTTTTCTTTAATGAATGATGGAGAAATTGTTACTCAATTCCAGAGAGAAATTTCTTCCCTGTGTTCTAAGTTTGAATGATTACTGCAGATGAGCTAGATCAACACACTTGTGCAGATTCAAAGTGGGTGGGAAGTGCTAGCTGAATTGACAGGGTAGAAGTAGGGTACAGGGACACCAGAGCCAGAGAGAGATGGCAAGAGCCTAGCTGGCTCATCATGTAGAGCCCCAGAAAGCTGAGAGTCTGCTACACCATGCACTGAGGAAATGGTGCTCAGACCCAAGGCGGAATGTGGATCCTTAGGGCTCCCTTTCCCTTCCCCTCCTCTCTTCCTGCTTGCTTACCCTTACTCTGCCCAGAAAAAAACAGAACAATGAAGGGTCAAGAAAGAGTCCTTGGCCCCAAATTTACATTTTAAGAATCCTGTTCCATTTCAGAGGAGCGGTCCTACATAACTTACAATCCACTTAGACACAAGTCTCCAGTCTCAAATTCTCAAAACTCCAAACCCTGGCCGAAGCCCTTCCGTCGTTACTGGTGGTAATAGATGCAGGCTAGAAAGAATGACCTCATGTTCCACAGTTATTATGGAACCTTGTATGTTGAGTGCACTGAATAAATGTTGAATAAATTATAATTTTGATTGCAAGCTAAAAAAAAGAGAAAGATGCAAATTGAAAAATATATATGTTTAACACAATTTTTAAAAACTGACAGAAAGGTTGGAAGATAAGAACATTGTTTAAAAATAAAAAACCTGGAGTTGAAAACCAAAAGTAGCTAAAAGATTTATAAGTGGTTGCCTCTGGAAATGGGAAAAGAAGTGAGGTTGTAGGGGCAGGAACTGTTGGTTTTCCTTGTAAACTCTTGGGTTCTTTTTTATTTTTTGTAACATGTGCATGTATTACATTAATAAAACATAGACATTTTAAAGAAAAGGAACAAAATTCAATGGTTGAATCTACATGGCTACACTTTAATATTGATTTTTTTCCCCTGAATCCAAAGGGAGAAAGTGGAATCTGAGTTAACATTTCTGGGACTTCTCATCATGGAGAATCGCTTGAAAAAGGAAACCAAACCAGTCTTGAAGGAGCTGAGTGAAGCCCGCATCAGGACCGTGATGATCACAGGTGTGTTGGTTTCTGAAGGCCTGACAAGGTGACTGTATCCTAGGCATAAGAAAAAGATGTGTGGGCTGAGTGAGTTCATGGAACAAATATGTCCTGTTGCTGAGGCTTCTACCCTGTGATCCAGTTACCTGTGTAGCTCCCCAGCAGGACCAGGAGTTTGGGAGGCAGAGACCATATCTCATTCTCTCTGTCTAAAACCCATTCCCTCTACCCAGGATCTGCACAGCGCTCAGAGACTCACAGCAAATGTTTAACATGAGAACAGATATGCTGTCATCAAGAATCCCAGTGAAACCTCTGTGTAAAGGACATGAGCTCTGGTTGACAGAGCCCAGGGCAGAAGGGCCAGGCTTGGAGAATGCCTCAATCATGGCCTGGCCCTGGGATTTCTATGGTTATGTGGAATCCAGATCCTGAGAATCACTTTGTGCTATCACACAAATCATATTATGTTCACAACTACACGCTATGTGTCACCTGAGGGTTAGTCAGTCAGAAGGTGCTTAAACACTTTTGGACACAATGCCAAGCAGCTGAAAGGAGATGTGAACCCAGTACTTGCCCACTCGGGGCAGACAGTTTTGGGTGGAGAGGAAAATGATTCACAAAGCAATAGATGCCCCCAAAAGTAAAGTGAAGGAGGAAGAACTCAATTCTGGTTGCTGATATAGGAGGTCTGAATTTAAAACAAGCAAAGTTTCTTTGCCTTTTAGGTGATAATCTTCAAACAGCCATTACTGTTGCAAAGAATTCTGAAATGATTCCTCCAAGCAGCCAGGTGATCATTGTTGAAGCCAGTGAACCAGAAGAGCATATTCCTGCTTCCGTGACCTGGCAACTCATGGAGAACCAAGAGATGGGATCTGGGAAGAAAGTGAGTGAATGTGAGAAGCCCCCTGGGCCTGGGCTGGTGGAGGACGGCCTGACACCACACAGCCTCATCAGCTCCGGAAGTCATCTCAGTAATGGTCCCTCGCATTGACCAAACTGTGACAGTTGGCGAAGTATTTCCAGCAGTACTCCTGCATAACATAGTCACCTGGGGGAGTTTTCAATCTTCCCGATGCAGGAGACACCAGTTAAATCAGAATGCCTGGGGTGGGAGCCTACACCAGTCCTCTTTCCTGGAGATTCCCATGTGCAGTCATGGCTGAGAACTACTGATTTATGCCCGTTATTTCCCATTTGGTCCTCACCATAACTGTGTGCATTTGGGAAAACTATGTATTTTACAAATGAGAAAACAGGCAGAGAAAAGTAAGCTTGTCAAGGCACACACTGTAAGTGGCAGAGCAGAAACTGGAGCCAGGTCTGTTTGATTCCACAGATCCCTGCCATGTCAATTGTGCCTGTGACATGGAGTTGAACAGGTGCTGGGTTTCTGTAGATGGCAAACTTCCTGTGCATTTGCACAACAGAAGAGCTCTTCCTGTGATGAGAATGAGCTTTAGCTTGCATTCTGTCTCTAAAGGGAGCACCTATGCTTTTGTGTGACTTCAAAGAGATGGCCCTCCAGGTGATGAATTATAAAAATGCTCCCTTGCTCTGGCCTTTCGGGTTGTAAGGTATAGAGTGGGCCTTTGTGTAGTACGCAAACTGCACAACTGTACAGAGTGACCCTGTCCCTAGGAAGAGGTGGGTTAGTTTGGCTCAATGAATGTCGTCCATGTCAGAGTTCAGGACCTTCATTAATTTTAACCATCTGTCCACTCACCTGCTCATTCATGAGTTTAATACCTTTACCGAAGTTTAGGTCATCTGAGGGGGAAGTTACATCACAGCACCGTCCTCCTCCCAGGCACTCTCCAACACACTTCCTCTCCCATCCTTTCTAGTAGAAGCAGAGGGATTCCTGTCCTTGTCCCATGTGGATGGCTTCAGAGCATGTCTTTTGTTAGTTGTTTTGCAATTGGTGCTAGAAGAGGAAAGTTATCTTTACCTTGTCTCCCAATGATAAAGCTTTCCCTGACATGAATTTCTCTAATGGATAAAATGTTGTCATCTCCTCTGCTATTTGAATTCAGAGTCCTACATAAATATGAGGCCCTCTGAGAAATGTGGCATGAAAAAAACATTTTCAGCTGTGACCTGATGAGCTCAGAGGCATCAAATGCTTCCTCCCCATTGGGGAGCAGTGGGGCTAGAACACCCCCAGAGTAAGGCTCTGACAGATGAGAGACGGGAGGGAAGGACTTTGGAGAAGACAAATGGGCTGGCACAATGGGACGTGGAGTGTGGAAGAGGGTGCGAGTGCCATGAAGAAAGGGGTCACCTGTTTTGGTCGGTCAAAGAGGTCAGATGCTGAAAGGAATGAGGGACCTAAAAGGATTCTTTACACTGAAGTAATTGAACAAATGAACAGTAAGAGATCTTAGGACATTAGCGTTTGCACGAGGAGGAGAGGTATGGAGCGTTCTTCCTTCTAATTACTAGCTGGTACCTTGGAATGATTTCCACGGGAGACTGATGTCACGAGTTTTCTCTCTGGGGAAAGGGTCCAGAACACCGTGGTGTCAAAGCACGTAGGTGCATACACTTTGGGGAGGGGACAGTTTGCGTGTCTTCTTCCCCTGGATCAAAGTTCCATGGGCAAGTTACACGTCCTACATTTGCTAACCCTGACAGTTCCTTCCCCAAAATATAGGAAAGCAGAGACATTCCTCAAGCACCCATGTAAAAAACGATGCCCTTTTGGTTTTAGGAAGCTTATGTTAATATTGGAAACAGTTCCGGGCCTGATGGGGAAACAGGGAGCAGTTACCATTTTGCAATGAGTGGGAAATCATACCAAGTGATATTTCAGCATTTCAACAGCTTGCTTCCAAAAGTAAGTACTGGGAAAAAGAAGTTTTTGTTTTGCTTTTCAAATTAGTAGGGCAAAAGTGGGAAGAGAGTAATGAGAGCGATGATGACCGCTGAGGTTGTCACAGAGTTAAGGAATAAGCATCTTCAGAGGGGCTGCCCTTGCAGAAGTTTCCAGGTCCTGGACACGCACACAGCCTCCTCTCCAGGGGTTGAGTTCTGGGGTCTCCCCTCATCCCTGTGGTCAATTCCTTCTCAGCTTCCATCCTTCATTCCCTCCCCACCTTGGAGAATTTCCCAGATAGGTTCAAACACAATGCCTTTTGGAAACCAAGGCTCTCCTCTGAAAGCCACCAACTCCTGTCAGGCTGGGCTGTATTCCCCTTCCTGTCTTGATTCCTAAATTACAGTGGGAGGGAACAAAGGCCCCACAGTTTATTTTCAAAATCATTTGTTACCTTGTCCTCTATGTGTCCTATTTTAAAATAGTGCTGTGCAGGGTTGTGCTGTCAAAGTGGAGGAGATAAATGGAGCACATGCTTAAGGCAGCAACCATCTGTTAGCAGTTCCTTAAAAATTCTGTCATCTCACCAGTCAAGGATGGTAGAATCTAGATCCCTAAGGTGTCTAGAAAGCCATTAGTTTGGTTCCATCTCATAGACATAGGAAGCTCTGACTCGGAGAGGTTAAGTCCCTTGCCTAAGGTCTGCATAGCTCATTGGAACACAGCTGAGGACAGAACTTTGTTTCTCAGCTTCTGGTCTATTGCTCTTTTCTCTGCCTGTGCTGCACCTCAGAGACAGTGTGTAGTAAAAAGAGCTGCATTTCCTTAAGCATTTTTTTTCTATGCTCTGCTGCTTCTTAGTTATTATTATTAATTAGAGGTCATCTCATCTTGGAAAAATGGTCTGGAAAAAACATAATAGAGTTGTGATGAAAGACTCAAGTGAAAGTTCAATGTTAAAGTATTAAATCCCTTGATTCTCTTTCCTGACATTAGCTCTAATGACATACCACCCAATGCTATATTAAATCAGTGGCCAGGAAGGATTTTTCAGGACTTCTATTTTTATAATGTTCTTCCTAATCGTATTTGCAATGGTTATTTTTTTTCTTTAGATTCTGGTGAATGGAACCATTTTTGCAAGAATGTCTCCTGGGCAGAAATCAAGCCTTATTGAAGAATTTCAGAAATTAAAGTAGGTGGTACGCATGAAAGGAGAATGTATTTGTTACTTATTGCTGCATAACAAATTCCCCTAATCCTTAGCTTAGAATAACACCATTTATTATTTTACCTTTCTGTGGGTGAGTAGTTCAGGTTTGGCTTAGTTAATTAAGTCTCTGGTTCAGGGTCTGTCACAAGGATGTCATCAGGTGTCTGTCAGGACTGCTGTCTTCTCAGTGCTCCATTAAAGAGAGATGTGCCATCAGCCTCTCTCTCATGTGTTGTTGGATGGATTCAGTGCCTTGTGGGCAGATGGACTAACAGCCTTAGCTCTTCACTGGCTGTTGGAAGAAGACACTCTCAGGTCCTTGACATGTGAGCCATTCATAAGAAAGCTCATAGTGTGGTAGCTAGCCTCCATAAAGTGAGAAAGTAGGAAGAATAAGAGAGATGGAGAAGGGGAGAGAGAGAATGTTGCTCATTCTCATACCTTAATCTCAGATGTGACTTCCAGGCATTTTTGCTGCCTTCTCCTCATTAGAAGCAAATCAGTGGGACCAGCCCACATTTAAGGGAATAGATTTCACAGCAGTGTGTCAGTGGGTGGCGACCACTGAGAGCCATTAAAGAGGCTACCTATCTCCAACAACGTTCATTTTGTGGCCCAAGATACACTTTAGTGTATCTTAGAGGAAGATCTTCTGCTGAGATGTGGAGAAAGGAAGCAATGGGGGGTTTGTATAGCTCAGAATGTGAAAGCATATGTGTTACCACCTGAAATCATCAGTTCCTCTAGAAGATGTGTAACCTTCTAGTCCTCATGGGAAAAAGCAAAATGGCACCTAGCAGGGATTAGATATAGAGGTCAAAGTCAAAGACAGATCTTTCCTTCTCTCCCTCAAAAACACAGATGAGGTAGGGATGGTGGCTCATTTCTTGAGCTCAGAAGGCTGAGGCAAGAGGGTTGTAAGTTCAAAGCCAACCTCAGCAACTTAGCAAGGTCCTAAGCAACTTAGTGAGACCCTGTCTTCAAATAAAATATAAAAAGGGCTGGGGTGTTGCTCAATGGTAAACGCCCCCTGGGTTCAATCCTGGTATAAAAAAAAGCATGACCAAATCACATTGATACCACCAGTTACCGGTGAGGAGTCCTACTTCCTCACATGTTGAAGTTTGAACATTAGAGAAGCACACTGAGGCAAGCATGTAAAGCAGGGTTTATTTAAAAAGGGGTAACAGACTTATCCCGGGAGGGAGAAGGGGGCCATATCTGGTATCCTGGTATCCCAAGAAGCAAGACGTTCTGCCCTTTTTATGTCCTAGGCTTCCTTTATTCTCCTGCCCTCTCTCCCTTATCTTTCTCCTTCCTGCATACAAGACTAGGCCTAGGAAATGCTGCTTGGTGGGAAAAGGTGGGAAACAGGTGGGCTGAAGGGCAGGGTGGAGCAGCCAAGGACACATTAATTAATAATCTTGTGGCTCCCTGTAGGGAGGGGCAATTCCTGAGACAGGTTACCTTGGCAACCGGTTGGAGCAGGGGCAGGTTCTTGATAAGGGTGGAGGAAGGGCTCTGAATGAATTAACATTTCAGTCCTTCAGGGGATGGTCTCCAACTTTCCGGACTCACTCAAAATTAGCCTCCTTAATCCAACCTGACTCCATTTACGGATCTGTACTGACTTCCTGTCTAATTCTGGCTTCAACATCAGAGCAGAATGTTTCTTGCTGAGACCAGATCCACCTGCTACTTGCTGGGAGTGTTTGTCTTTGGCTTATAGATTTTAAGAAGCAAAAGGAACAGAGAGTAGTTTAAACTTTAGATAATTGCTGATGAGTTCTCAGTGAAATCAGGAGACTGCCTTTCCCCTTGAATCTGGCTGCTACATATCCATAGGGAAGTCTCTAACACTGCCTATTAACTTCCATGTGGCTTTCAGGATGAATAACCAACCAGTGTCTAAAATAACTAGTCCATGATCATTCCGTGATGCTGGCTGAAGAAAGTAATTTTCTCTGCCTCAAATGTCTGAGAAATGTCGACTTAAATTCTCAACTCTGAAAAGCTATGCTCCCCTAAAACAAAATTCACTCAGAGAGACACTTGCTTCTTTGGAAAGAGCTGTCCTCTCAATTCCTCTTCCTCCTCTGTGCTTCTGTCGGTGTCCATGTGCACAGGGCTGTCTGGATCCTCCTTCTGAATTCAGGGAACACTGGAAAACGTAAGGCTGAACACACACTTTCAACCGGAAGAAAGGAAGGCAGTTGTGGACAGTCTTGTCACACATATGCAAATATTTATAGGGTGATTTTCTTCTAACTGGACTAAACACAGGTCCAACCATATGCTTTGTGTACTTTTGACCATTTTGGCATATAAAAAGGGTAATTTTTTATATTCTGACAATAAGAATATTTTTGAGGGGAAGATGGCCAGCATCTCATTGGTGGGTTTTTCTGCCCAGAAGAATCCAAGCCACCCTAAATAGCATCAAGAATCTGTGCACACATCTCCAGTTATATTTGTGAAACTATATACCAAATGTTTCTCATCCTAAATCTTAATATCTCAGATAATTAAGCCACACTAAATTTTAATACCTCCAATAATTAACCAATAATAAAATACAAACACTCAGAAATATATTTACACAAGCGAAGCCCCTGATAGATCTAGTCCACATGGGTTCTTGTACTAGACAAAGACAAAACGCCTCTGTGGTTTATTTAAGGGGGTACATCAAAGGCAGGGGTTAGGTTTCAAGGGCAGAGTCTTACTTCTTGATGTCTTGCAGTCAGCAGGTTGGTTGACATCTTGGCAGGTCACACCCGTCTCAGGTGCTGGGTGGGATCTTAGGCAGAGCTTGAGGGGAAGTTCACCTGCACAGGCCGGTCAATCCCTGTGGGGAGTGCCCCAAGGAGTTCCCACTAACAGACTTATCACTTCAGGAGGCTACCCACAGAGGGCTTGTGACAGAATATTATAAGGGAACTTGACTTTTCCCCTTTTGGACTTGCATAGTTTTATCTGTTTGTGGAAAAATGCCATTGTATCTCATTCAGCATTGCCATTTATCAATACCTATAATGTATTATTTAACTGATAATAAAGGGCAGACTGTGTCTTGTATCAGAGATTCCTTTTCCCTGGCAGCAGTTTTAATTTCTGTTCTTCTATTTATATCCTGTTTGCATATCAAACTGTCATAGATGGGAAGCATATTATCTCATTGTCACTGAGATGCATCAAGAATCTGTGCACATGTCTCCAGTTATATCTGTGAAACTCTATACCAAATGTTTCCCATCCTAATATCTGAACTCTTAAACTCTCAGTAGTAACCAAACCACAGCCAGCTGAGGCTGTGAGCTCTGTATTAAGTTGTGTAGAAAGTGTTACAATCATGACTGTGCACACTTAAGCTTGACTTTTGAGCCCATACTGCTATGGGACTAGAGGTTTTCTGGGCTAAAACCTAGAATGGCTATCCCTTCCTTTTAAAATCAAACAGGACTTCTTCTGAAGTGTGTGATTACTGTCTTTGCCAATGTTCTTGGTGCTATCACAACCATTTCTGTGATTGATTGAAACAATTTAAATAATGTAATGTCCTTCCCCCTCTGGGACTAAGTCTCTCCAGTCATTTTCCTTCATCCTGATTCCACATGTGTTTAGGATGTGGCACACATGTGCAAGGCACACATGCACACCCTACCCCATCCCCGCATGTGAGTTAGGTATGATTTCCATATGATTCGAGTGCCATGTTGAGCTATTGATTTCTCACATCCTTTTCCTTGCAGTTATTATGTGGGCATGTGCGGAGACGGAGCCAACGACTGTGGAGTGAGTAGAGATGCCCTTTGCCCATGCGGGCAGTTCCTCAGTGTCCCTTTAGAGGCCCCGAGGTCCCCTGGGGTTGTTTCCTCATCTTTCCACAGCAGCCACCTGATCATTTTGCTGTGGATGCCCTCTTCTACCCAAGTGTAGGTCAGAAGTGGAAAGAAGTAAAATGAGGAGTCCCTTTCACTGTTTTCTAGCAACTCCTGGAATGACAAAAACAAGGGAATGCTACCTACGCCTCCCCCCCATATTTCAGACTTATAAGGGACTTCACAGGAATTAGTTGGTTTAAATCTCACCTGTTATCAATAAGGAAATGACATCTCAGGGAAGTGGAGTGTTTTAGCTTGAGGGCATTTAGCTGAAAAAGTCTGAGCAAAGGAAAAGTTTGAAACTTTTAGTTTTGAGAAATGTGTAAATTATATTTATTCCTGACAAACTTCCACTCTGGGATTAATTTTTTTAGAGTTAGATTTATCAAAATTTATTAATCTCAGTGAAATCTTAGACCAATGTGTTTGGTCATCACATACGATGATAGCAAAATCCAAATTAGATGTTTCTGAGATTGTTTCTCATACATGATAAAAAGATAGTACACATTTGATATTTTGAGTTTTAAAGATACGATTGAAACAATAGTGTACCTTGAGAATTATGTACATAAGAAAATATTTTAGTAGCTAATTGCGGGTCAAGAAGTGCAAGAGAGGGCTGGAGGTACAGCTCAGTGGTAGCTTTCTTAGCAGGTGCCAGGCCTTGGGTTCAACTCCAGTACAACAGACAAAGAGGAAGAAGAAGAAGATTCCTTTGCATTTCCAAAGCTTACTAGGTATTTAAGATCCAGGTATTTGTTATACTTTCCTCTTAAATATTTTCTTCAAAGTTCTGTGAAAAAAAAAAAAAAAAACTATGTTTATCCTTGGAGATTCATTATGAATTTTTTAGCCTTATGTTTTATGAGCAGTACTTAGACTGCTCTTTAAAACCTTGAATGGATATCCCTTCCTCTTAATCTTGTGATGTTTAGAACAAAACAAAGATACCAAATGCTAAAAAAGACATAGTGTATCTTTCAAAGAGTCATTGTGTGAGGGAAAAAAGAATCATGGGTAAACTAACTCTAACATATGGTAGATGACCCCCAATTATATAATAGAGACAGAAAAATCATTGAGAGAGAAAAGAGGAAGAAGAAAATGTTCTTACATTTTCTTATAACTATTTGAACTTCAAACTAGTCAGTTATGGCACCAGGTACTTTGTGTTTCTATAAAACTATATAAATGCAAAATCTCCTTGTAAGCCCATACTGCTATGGGACTAGAAGTTTTCTGGGCTATTGACCAGTTTTCTCTGTGGGCCATTTGGACACTTTACAGTCTTTATGAGAAACAAATTAGCCCTTATTTCAATAAGACTACACATTTACTACATACTAATATTACATAAGTCTGTGTAAGTGTGACCTGATCTCTGTGTCCAGTGACAATGCTGTATGTCGCATCCCAGCAGTTACTTGGTTGGCTGGATCACTCAGAATAGGGAAAGGTGGAGATTTCATCTCTCCCTGCTTTTCATGAAGATGACCTGCTATGTGTAAGAACTGAAATGGTAATGGTCTCCAACCAAAGTCTATACAAATCTGTCATCCTTTTAATATACTTTCTATGATTTTTTTGGGGGGGTACTGGGATTGAACCTCAGGTCACTTGATCACTGAGCCACATTGCCAGCCCTTTTTATTTTTTATTTTGAGTCAGGGTCTCATTCACTTGCTGAGGCTGGCTTTGAATTTGCAATCCTCCTGCCTCAGCCTCCTACATCACTGGGATTACAGGCATGCACCAACACACCCAGCCCTGAATAGACTTTCTGAATGAGTGCTTCCATTTCTTCTGACATCTGCACCCCCACGGCTAACACATTATGTGAACATGTGTGCAGATGCATGCACACACCACCATACCACCGTTCTACCTCTGGATCACTGTTTAGGTGGTGCCTCTCATTGGTGACTATGGATCTAGGGAGGCACCACATGAACAGAGACCGGGAAATGAAGGTTATAGTGTTGTAAAGCTGGACTATGGAGAATAGCCTGGCCTGAACACTCCCAGGTATGACATGGTTGGATCATTCCAGGCTTTGAAAATGGCTCATGCAGGCATCTCGCTGTCAGAGCAGGAAGCATCAGTGGCTTCCCCCTTCACCTCGAAGATAGCCAACATTGAGTGTGTGCCTCATCTCATCAGGTAAACCACTTCTTCCTCTCCCACCCCCATTTGAAGCCCAAAGGGTTCATAGGCTGTCTTTGGAGACAGACAGAATTCAACTCTAACTCAGGGACATAAATGCCAGGACAGAGGTATGGGTGAAGTGCTGTTGGAGCACCAATGATAGGACAATTAACACTGCTTGAGAATGCTGGCAAACACCACCAAGAGAAATGACTTTTGCTGAGCTTTAAGAATAGGTGGGTGTGTTATGTGGGTGGTTGAAAGATTAACTTGCTACTTAAAATCTGGTCCTCCTTTCCCACTCCTGTAATTCCCATGCTGGATGCTTCCCAGCACATTATTCTCAAGAAAGCAGAAAGGGAATATGTCACTAGGTAGCTGGTGTATAAGAACTATGTGTAAGAACTGAAATGGTAACCGTCTCCAACCAAAGTTGGAGGTAGCTTCCCCAGACACTATTGTATGTCTCCAGAAAAAAAAAATTGATGAATATCCAAAATGCTTACATAAAAGATATTACAGTTGACTCAGGAAGGGGAAGGAGGCAAGGGTGGTTTATTTTTCCAGCATATCACCCTTACTCCACTCTCATTTCTGATTTTCTCTCTACTTATATTTTAAATGCGGTACAGAAAAAGACACTAGAATTCAGATTTTGTTCATAAATACTATTTCCTTGTTTTCTCTAGCATGAGGATGACTCTAGGCATCTTTGTGGTCTGTGGTCTGGGTGCCATTAACAGCTTTTTAGGTGTATATAAAAAAGACAACTGTGACATTCTTTAGCATGTCCCTGGGTGCATCAAAATGAGCAGGTCACTGGAGGGAAGGTGTCAGGTCCGAAGCTTCAGGCTACTGGGTGCACGTCAGCAAGGCAGCCTGATGTATCTCCCTAAACCCTGGACGTCTGTATCTGTATCCTTCCTCACCCACTAACACCATCACCTCTGCCACCAAAGCAGCTCCTCTTCCCAGCTCCTCATTTCTTGTTCCTGGGGTTGATTAGTCCTTATAGTCAGTCATTGAGTTCCATAATCTTAGAGGGCTTTTAACTCTAAGCCACAAGGGAAGGTTTCAGTGACTTGAAGGATGAGTAAGTCTTATGTAAACATAATGGAGGTGAGAGAGAATCCCAGTTGGGAGAAATGGGAGAGCCACTTTTGGAAACAGGGTTATAATTGGGAAGTATAGCAACAGGCAGAAATTCTTCTCAGATGGGAATTACGGAGGTAACTGGAGAGCCAGAGCTGGTGGACTTGTGCAGGGAGTTTGACCTCCTGGATAGCTGTTCAAAGTGCCTACCAGATCCATCCCAAATGGAGAATTTCTGATGTTCTTCCTCCCACATGTGGCCTAATGCATTTATGAATGCAACACACTGTGTTGAAATAGGAGTCATGATATAAAATTTCTATAGTGGCAGATAGCTTAGTAAGACTTCAGGGTAGAAACTCTTTTCTTTTGCATTTCATAGATCATAAAAATTAGGCTGGCTCAGCTCTGTTGGGCTCATTTTACCCTTGCTATCCTAGATGCTTGCTTATGCCTGAAAAAGCACTCCAGGAGGGCAATGAGGTACGATTTTAGATGCATAGGTACAGACCCACAGGCTTTCATATTGTGATCCTTTGAAGCATAATTCACTGATGGTTACAGTTCAAGTCAAGGGCAAGGACTGTGTCTTAATCATTTCTCTATCAAGTATCATGCCTAGTCCTAAGCTTAGTACATCAGAACATTCAATGGATGTTTCTGGAATGTGTGAACTACACAGAATTCATAATCATTAAGAATAGTTGTAATTTTGGAGGCTACCCTTCAGCCTTTACTCAGAATGGTTTTTGTATCTTCTTTTGAATCTGGGTGCCTTCATTTTTTCTGGAATTATATTCAACTGTAGAAAAAAGATGAAATCACAGTATTTACGTCAGTCTTGGGGAAAGCATCCAGGCTTCACATGCTTGCCTCTTCTCAGCTTGTCTTCTGCTCCATCATCTGTGTTGAAAACAAATGGTGGCAACTCACAGGCTGTTGGAAAACATCTGCCCAAAGCAACCTGGCCCATCTCCCACCCCAACTCTCTTGCTAGAGGCACAGTGACTAGTAGTTTGGCCTATATTTTCCTTTTCATGTCCTTGTTTTGTTAACAAAGTCTTTAAGCAGAGCAGGTGTCCAGTCACTGGGCCTAGAAACAAAGTAGATGTGGGTCTCTCTCCTACAGATTTGTTTCTGTCCTGACAAGAGGAGGGTGCAGGACTGTCATGTGCTATTGCCTCCTGTTGTCTTCTGTCCCATCATAATCCACCATCCAGCAAAACTTTGCTAAAGGAAAAACAGCTCAAGTGGAAACTTTTTTTTTTTTACAAGAGGAAGTATCTACTTTCTAAATTGCAATTTTAGCTGTAGTGTCAGTCTCTTGATCTCCAGGCCAGTTCAGATTATTACCCTAGGTTCTCCCTGGAACACTGAAGCCAGCAAAACTGATTCCATCTCAAAAATCAGAACCACATCCACACTTCCTACAATGTAAGAGCACCCATCCTTTAGCCTTATGTGTCTAAGGGCTTCTAGAACACTCACACAACCATTCCCAGGAAGCATGTGCTATTAAGATATAAAGAGTCACAATTAAGGGAGTATGTGAAATGCTATACCTAATCCTAATGTGGCACTGTGTGTTTTCTTTATGGGTGCATTATAATTAGACATGATAATGGATTCATTATGTCATATTCACACATGCCCATAATGTAATTTGATCAATCTTGCGTTGTGTTTTTAATGTATACGATAGCCTTCTTACTCCAAGGAAAGAACTGTGCCTGGTTCATTTTACATCCTCCATGACTCTCAGTAAATGCTTGTACCTCATAAGGCCTAAATAAATATGAGTCAAGAATCCACTAGTGTAATGACTAGAGGAAAGAATGAATGAATGAATGACTAAATATATGAGAGGATGAATCAGTGATTAAGTGAATATATATCAACAGGCTGTTAAAAATCAGACTCTTTTTGAAATATAAGAAAGGTGAGTAGTTGTGCCTCATACCTAATCCGCTAATTTTATTTATTTATTCTAAACAGAGAAGGCCGAGCTGCTCTGGTTTCATCCTTTGGAGTATTTAAATACTTGATCATGTATGGCATAATCCAGTTTATTGGAACATTGCTGCTCTATTGGGTATGAACAAAATCATTTCTTCCCAGTTCTAATGCATTTATATATCTGCATTTCTGGTTTTATTCTCTGAGGTGTAGCTCCTACACAGAATTCAATGTTTTATAAATAAATGACATCTTTTGAAGTATGTGCCTACAAACTTGGAGACCTGGTATAATGATGCATGAAATGTGGGCTAGAAATAAGTAGCCGTGGATCAGTTTTCTAGGGTGTTGTTTTTCTCCATATAACCTGAGACTTTTGACCTCTCCAAGCCCCTGTTTCTTTCTTTGGAGCATGAAGAGAGCTTCAGAGCAGCCTAAATATAACTCTGCAGGAAATGGATCAGTCTCCAACTGTGGAATATTTTTGGCAAGATTGAGACGAGATAAAAAGGAGAGAAGTTGTTGAATCAGATTTTGAAAGGCTAGAATGCTAAAAATTTCCCACACTGGAGTTTTAGTCCTACATCTACCCAGAACTTGCACAGTTAGACCTTAGCAACTCTTTAAAAGGTAAAAAAAAAAAAAAAAAAAAAAAACACCTCTTAAAATTAAATGGTAATAACCATTAAGATCAATTAATTCTAAGGAAGAACCATGTATAGGTTGAAAGTAATCTTCATTAGTCCAATTATAGTTTGCTCGACAGTTAAAGAATTATAACAGTCTCAAAGTACGCTTTGGGAAAAGAGCTATTTTATTGCTTTCCTGGGAGATTTAAGAGGTGAATCAGAAGACCACAAGCTATGTGGCATCTTGTGGGCTGTGTCACATGTGGAGGGCCAAAAGGCAGCCAGGCTGAGAGAACAAACAGACCGGAAGCCAGGAATCCTGGGTTCACATTTTGAATCCTGGGTTCAAAACACAGATTAGGACCAGGCATGGTGGCGCGCGCCTGTAATCCCAGCAGTTTTGGAGGCTGAGGCAGGAGAATCATGAGTTCAAAGCCAGCCTCAGCAAAAGCAAGGCACTAAGCAACTCAGGGAGACCCTGTCTCTAAATAAAGTACAAAAAGGGTTGGGGATGTGGCTTAGTGGTCGAGTGCCCCTGTTCAATATCTGGTACCAAATAACAAACAAACAAAAACAACACAGATTAGGTCTTATCCTTGGCAAATAGCTGCTTCTGAGCTGTTGTACTGGCTGATTTTCAAAGCCCTCCATAGAACTGCTTTTACAGTGAAAACTAAAGCTTCTGTTAAAAACTTTGCCCTGCTTCATCTTTTTTTTTTACCACTCAGGGGTGGGAAAGGGAAAGAAGAGAAAGACTATAAGAAAAAAGCTAAAGAAGACAGAAAGAACTAGAGTTTGGGGATAGGGTGAGACATTGAGGAACCAACTACCCCTTTTCCAAAAGGTGAAATCAGGACTTATCTCTACGGATGGAGTAGCAACCACAGTTCATACAGAAGTCGTTCACTCTGCTTATCTGGACCCAAGTAAGAGAGTCCTCCAAGGACCTTGACCCAGAAATCTTTGAGCCTTTGGTTCACTCTCTAAAAGGCCAGTCATATTTTTCATGTGCATAAATCTGGTCTGTAACGTGAGTAGGCTTTGATGTTGAAGTTTAGTGTTCTCAAGGAGGGGGTTTCAGGCTTTAAAATCTTCTACTGAGAATCCCATTGCTGAGAGGGCAGATGCCAGAATTAATGTGACCAATAGGAGTGTGATTCCATATGATGGACTCCCATTGCTAATGTGGAATTCAGTTAAAGGTCGGGAAAGTAATGGTCTGTCTCATTTCATCCCATGAGATGCTAATGGTTTTAGGTAAATCGTTTGATTCCTGAGGAGAGGAGAAAAATAACAATTGCCTCTTAAGAACTTTAGAAAGAGTGTTGGGAATGATACAGAAACTCTGTAATGACAGAAGCCACACTTACATTTACTTTTCCTTCTTTTTCAGCAGCTACAGATCTTTGGGAATTACCAGTATCTCATGCAGGATGTAGCCATTACTTTGATGGTCTGTTTAACAAGTAAGCTCTTTAGCAAAGTCAACTGCATTACTCATATTTATTTCTGAAATTCTAGAACTACCTACACAAGTAACAACTTCTGAGAAAGTGGCATCCTAATTACTCAGATCTTGTTGCCTATAATCTTTTCAAAGTGATGTTGGGCTGACTTGAGTCTTAAAGTACCGACTTGATAGTAAACTATTCTGATAGCAAATAGGTTTTAACTTTAAAAGTTCTGAGCTCTTTGTAGGTTTTTGTCTTAGAGAGAGAGAGAAATGAATAAGAAATCTAGAAAGGGAATTTTTAAAAACCCAAGGATCACTTTCCATTATTCAGCTTTCTCTTCATATTGACGTGAAACTAGGGTTTTTTAGGTCCATGACATGTGAGAACAAATGCTAGCATTTTATTCTGGTGGAATTCTCTCAAAAGCAAGGTGTGGCTTACAACAGCTATTATTCATTTCTTTCCTTTGAGGTGACGCTGATAAAGTGTTTCCGATCGAGGAACTCAGGGCCTGATACTAACTCTTAATAAGTGAGAAAGTAACTGCCACAACAGAGGGCAAAGAAAAAGAATGGCACTGTCATCCCGTTTTTTTGGTTCAACAATGGAGTACTATGAAAAATAACCAATAAAACATCAGATCATGCAGGATATTAATAACTTTGAGAATTTCACGTAGCATCTTGAAACATGAAACTGATATTGAAGTCATTTATTATATCAACCAAATGACAAAATTCACCAGTTTCAGAGACACAAGTGATATCAGTTTTGATGATTAGGGTTGAAGTGTCTATTCATAGCCCATTAAATATTTTTCTATATGCTATTAATATTCAGATGACTGAATAATTTTGAATCAATGCTATTGCTTCTATGATGTTGGGTATTTTAAGCAATTTGCATGATTTATTTATGAATGAAACTAAAAAAGGAAAGCTAAGAGTTTCCAAGAACTAATATGGCAGGCAGTGGGCGGGGGGGTCGAAGCCATGGACATCTTCTACCACTCTCTATCTGGACCCAAGTAAGAGAGTCCTCCAAGGACCTCTGTGACCATTGGCAACGTACTTAAGAAATAAATTATTTCCTCATGTGAAATGTCCTCAGGTATCCCTGAGGATACCTATGAAGTCTACATCATGGTGCACTGTGCACTAAACACTCACACAGAGCTCAATGATCTCACACTGCGCCTCTCCTATTTTTTCTTTTGACAAGACTGGCTGGCTTGTTGAGCGCTTAAAAAGAATCAGAATGAATTTAGGTAGACTTATGTCACTAGAAACCTTAAAATGTGGGCAGTAGTTCTAGTCTTGCCTCAGAATTGCTATATGACCTTGAGAAAGTTACTTTGAGACCTACCCACTAATTCCATGGTTGATTATGGAGGTGAGGCTTCTTACTCTTTCCAGTGACAATAGCCTAGTGATCATCATGCCAGTTGGTCACCCTGTGAAGCTCTCAGTCTCTCATTCCAGTGTGGGCTCAGTGGGGATGTTGGGATGACTCCAGGAAGGACCATGATTACCTCTAAGAGAAGACTGACTTGGAAGGGTGATAAATGGGAAGCATGATGCTCTATCAGAATGACAAACCGTGTCCAGTTATTATTCAACACACCTATAGCTGGTCTGGGAGATGGGCTGCCCTCTAGAAGACTGGTGAAGATGAGCGTGGAAACAAAACATGTATTTTCATTTACTTGCTCTTAACTCTCTGCCTTCAAACTTTCTGTTTTCCCCTCCCTGCAAGCTCCATCCTCCCACAGTCGGGTCATTTCCTGGTCAATTTCAAGTATTAAAATGACTTTCATCTTTAGATATGAAAAATCCAGGTATCATAAATTAATATTTCACATTTTTATCCAATTCAAAGCTTTTCTCCCCCTTGATCAAGTCTGACTTGTGGCTTGGAGCTAGCAGTGGGAGAGAAGGCCATGTCCTCTCTTTATTTGCCTTGTTTCACCCACTCTCCTCCCTTATTCAGGGAATAAGAGCTTCAAGAGCAGGGCTCTTCTTACTTAAGTGGAGGCATTGTAGTTCTGTCCTGTCAAATGCCTCTGACATAGCAGGCATCTAAACTCAGGCAATCTGTGTGGTGCTCACTTGTGAGTTCTTCGGAGATTCCCTGTGGATGGGTCTGGACTAGACCACTCCCTATCATGGAAGTAAATGAAAATACATGTTTTTTCTGACCCTTCAGAAATCTTTTCTGCTGCTATGCTCTAGTGGTACATGCCACAAAGACTTTAGCAGGCTGCACCATTGGGCAGATCCCTTTGGGGTTGCTCTTGCCAGGCTAAATTCCATGACGTCTACTTGACCTACCAGACAATAAGTGTATAGCTTGGTATCACTGTTTCCCTCCCTCCTTTATATGTTGCATAGAAAAGGAGTATGCACAGTCAAACCTCCTCTCAAAATCACTTCCAGTCTCTCCTAGAGTGGGTTTTATGACTTCTCCTTAGATTGTGGAGACCCTGAGGAGAAAAAGACAGTTCAAAGCCGGGTGTAGCGGCACATGACTATAATCCCAGTGGCTTGGGAGGCAGAGGCAGGAGGATCGCAAGTTCAAAGCCAATCTCAGCAAAAAGTCAGGCACTAAGCAACTCAGTGAGACCCTGTCTCTAAATAAAATACAAAATAGGGCTGGGATGTGGCTCAATGGTCAAGTGCCCAGAGTTCAATCCCTGGTACTCTCCCCCACCCCATCACTGCCAAAAAAAAAAAGAAAAAGAAAGAAGAAAGAAAGAAAGAAAGAGAGGAAGGAAGAAAGAGAGGAAGGAAGGAAGAAAATGACAGTTCATACTACTCCTAACAACTCCCCTTGATGAATCTCTTGATAATCTCTATGGTTTTCCCTTGCTAAATCAATACACAGAGCCAGGGAAGGGGATGCTTATAGTTGAAGGTCCAATATGGGTCTCCCTTACAAGGTGCTATGGAAACATTAGGATCTTATCTCTTCACACTGAGTTGGCACTTCCTAGTTATTGTCCTCATACAGACGGCTCACCCAAACTCTCCACACAAGAAAAGCACTACTCAACACTCTGATACACAAGCATTCTTGTCTTACTCCATGTAAAGGCACAAACAGGGGGACTTAAAAAGGATGATCTCTCAAGTTTAGAGTTTAGTGGGGGATTCACATGCGTGAAAAAATGAGATGCAAGTCAAAAGTAGTGAGTGGCAGAAAATAGCAGATCTTTGGGAGTTCAGAGAAAGGAGTGATTGTTTTTGATAATCTGGGTTTCTGGAGGAGAAAGCAACAGAGAAAGGAGAGAGATGCTAGGGATGACCTCATGGAACACGTAGTATTCACAACAACACAGTAGGGATGGATAGATTTCAAAAACATTTTGCTAAAAGGAGAGCATTTCAAATAGAAGGAAACAGCATGAGCAAGAGCTGATAAATATGGGGTAAGTGTTTTTCAATTTGACCATACTGTAGGGTACGTGAAAAGAAGCAGCAGGAGATAAAATTTGAAAAGGTGCGTTGGGCAGAAAACAGAAAATCTTGACGGCTGAGAAGGGTAGACATTCATCTGCAGCCCTTATGAGTCACTGACAATTGGATGCTATCAGTGTGAAATGACTCTTGTCAAGGCTCCTTACATTTCCAAGGAAGCAGTTTAAGGCTTGATACTGAGAAAAGACAATGCCATGGTGTGTTTAATTAGTTTATTTACTTACTTATGTATACTCTTGTTGAGTTCCTGTAGGATTTTAAGGCAAAATACAAAAACAGCCAATAAGACAAGAAATGATACATAAAGAGAAAATCAAGGAGAAAAATAAGATGAAGTCAGGAGGGGAAGTCAATTAGGGAAGAGCATGTCTCAAAGGCCATTTGGACCCTAATCTGTGTAGCAACTCCCTTAAAGAAAATTTCAATTAGCCACATCTCTTTTGTCTTCCACAAGATTCATTCACACGCTATCAAGAAGATAGAGAAGGGAGGTGATGAGGAACATAACTACCCAAAAGCCACCTGAGAACAAAAACTCTGAAGCTCATGGGCCTGAGGGAGGCTAGAACACTGAAAATTCAAAAATGGGCTCACTTCCTTTATTTCCAAACAGCCATCTTCTCTCTCTTAATTTTTCCAATCTGACTGTTTCTTACTGGCTTCTACTCATTGACCTTGCAAATGTTCCCCGAAGGGTGGCAATAGGGCTGAATCTCCATAGCCTTTCTGCTTCTTTTCCCAAGGTGATGAGCTCAGTCTCTCATTGCCACAGCTGCAAACCTTTTAGAGAGGAAATTTATTGACCCACTTGGGTAAAATGTCCACCATGAGGCCAATCATTTTCTGTGAGTGAAGGTGGGGCCATATAACTGAGCTCCATGTAGGCCAAATACTCCAGCAGACGAGAGGAAGCAGTATCTAGAGAAGTGGATGAGGGAGGGAATTTCTCCATGACATATATTTCTTCCAAAAACCCCACCAGTGCTTTGCTGAGCACCTTTTCTGGGATGTGATCCTCTTGGAGAAGCTGGTGGGAGATAAAAATCTTTTCACCTTTGACATGTCATGAGGTTGGAGCTCCAGGGGCACAGTTGGTTAGCAAATGGTACTTATGAGCAATGTCATGAGATACACTCAGAATTTTGCATGCAGTTCAGATGGGTTTATGAGTCTCTGGAAATCTGACTTGCATGTTTTGAAATATTTGTAAAGCAGATCAACTACATGACATCCAAAGGATGCCGAACAATTAAAGATTACCTTTTGATACTAGAACATGAAGTGATAGAATCATCCCTTGTAGCAGGCTCTATGCCAGAGTTAGTAAGGGATGAAACTAATGAAGCAGGGTTTCTTCCCTCAGGGAGCTCACAGGCTGCTGAGTACATAGGTAAACAACTGAATTTAATGCAAGACACCCTCCATCATAGCAGCATTGTGAGTAATGTGCTGTGGGAACTCATGGATGGGGTGATTAATTCTGAGTAAAATGTATGATTTTGTAAGCTTGCATTCCTCTGCACACTGTCCGATAGCATATGTCATCATCATTTTAAGGAAATCTGGACAATTCAGAACAGTTTCTCTGCCTAGGGATGAACAGCACTACTATCCAAGTTGGTATTTCAGGGCTTCTCATTGTGTTCATTTTAATTTATGAAACCCACCATACCGCAATGTGCTGCAGAGCAGAGAACATGAGGCTTTACAGTCAGACAGACCTGAGTTCACATCTTCACCCTGTCACTCACTAACCTTCTTTAAGCAAGGGGTTCTACTTCTTTAAACCTCATTTTCATCATCTGTAGAATTTATCTGTTTTATGTTGCTTGTTCAGGGAATAAAGATGATATTTATAAAACACTTGGCACAATCTCTAGAACCTAGTAAGTGTCCCAAGATGGTATTTATTCTTTTTGTTGTTATTTATACTCAGGAAAACAGATTCCCTGTTAGAAATATTAGAATTCTCTAATATGGAAAAAATCAAAATACTCTATGTAAGTTTATTCAATGCTCTGTATGTTGTTTTAGTCAGCTTTTTTCTCCTGCTGCAACTGAAAGACCTGACCAGAACAATTGTAGAGGAGGAAAAGTTTATTCAGGGGCTCATGGTTTCAGAGGTCTCAATCCATAGACAGATGGCTCCATTCCTTGGGGCTTGAGGTGAGGCAGAACAGCATGGCAGAAGAGTGTAGTGGAGAGAAGCTGCTCACATGATGATCAGAAAGCAGAGAGACTCCACTCCCTAGACACAAAATATATTCCTAAGAGGCACACCCCCTCTTACCCACCTCCTCCAGCCACACCCTACCTACCTTTAGCTACCACTTAGTAAATCCCATCAGGGGATCAGTTCACTGATTGGGTTAAGGCTCATAACCCAATCATTTCTCTTACAAATCCTCTTGCAGCATGAAGCTTTGGAGGGGCAGGGGGCAAAAGCTTTGGGAGGAAACCTCACATCATATAGTAACAGATATCAACCAGTTATTGCTACAAGAATGCCAAATAAAACCTACCCCCAACATTCAGGGGCTTATGCCCCCCAAGCAGTTATTCTCCCGCTAATGGGTTTATAGCCTGACTATCATTCAGAGGATCTAGGTTGCTCAGCACAACCATGATGCTTTAGAATGTAGATGGGTTGATTTTGGTCATGCTTTGGGGTTTGATTCAGTTCTTTACATTCTCCATTTAGGGACAACCTGAAAGGACAGACAGTGTATATTCTCCCTGAGAGTCACAGAGAGCAAAAGCAGAGCAAGGTGAACCAGGCAAGAATGCTTAAAACCAATGTTAACATCTCTTTGGCTACACAATGTCACACAGTGAAGCCCCAAATTAACTCCACCTCTATGAAGCCAATAATTCAATCTACCACAATTCTTTTATTAAAAAAATAAGATTAAAAGACCAGAAACTATAATGAGCATGTGTAAGAGAATTGACCAAAGAGGTAGAGGCCAAATGCACAGAGATGTCACTATCCTTCTCTCCAATACCCTCTTTATGAATTGTGCAATCACATTCCATCTTGGATACTGGAGGGCAGAGAGAATGCCAAACAGTTCAGCCTCTGCCTCTGTGACCTGGGAATATGGTCTCTTCCAGCCCTGACTTCAGCCCACACTGTGTATCCAAGCAATGACTTCTGACAGCAACCACCTAGAGTTAGGCCAGATATTGCAGGTGAGGTGCTCAGCCTCCACAAGTCTGCCGAGTTCAGCCTCAAGTCTGGGGTTCATCTGACCACTTGGCTGCAAATTTAAGGGTTCCCACTACCTTCTCAGATACAATAATTTGCTATGGCAACTCACAGAATTCAGAGAAGCACTATGCTTATAATGGCACTTTTATTTATAGCAAGAAGATACAGCTCAGAACTAGCCAAAGAGAGAGACACAGGGGGCAAAGTCTGGAAGGAGACCTGAATGTGACTTCCATTGTCCTTTCCCCATGGGGTCAGGATGCCTCACCATCCTGACACACAGATGTATGACAATGTGCAGGGTACTGCTAACCAGGGAAGTTCAAATGAATGTCAGAGTCTAGAGTTTTTATTGAAGGTTTCATTATTAAACATGGCTGATTGAATCATTGACCAAAGGCTGAGCTCAATTTCCAGCCACCTCTTACAGATCATGCTGATATGTGGCTCAAAAACTTAGATCTAATCCCACAGTTGGTCTTTCGGTATGGCCAACCCCATTCCTGAGTAATGTTGTTAATATAATATTCTCCTCAAAGGTACCATCAGTCATCTTATTAGCATAAACTATCACCATGAAAAAGAGAGATTCTCCCGGCACCCAGGGATGTGAAGGAAACATCCCAGAAAGTGAGGACAAAGGCCCATCAAATTCTTTTTTTTTTTTTTTTTTTTTTTTTTTAAAAGCCAGAAGAGTTTTATTATCTAGAATTATAGATGTTTTTTTTTTTTTTCTTTTTTTTTTTTTTATTGTTGGTTGTTCAAAACATTACATAGTTCTTGATATATCATCTTTCACACTTTGCTTCAAGTGAGTTATGAACTCCCATTTTTAGCCCATATACAGATTGCAGAATCACATCAATTACACATCCATTGATTTACATATTGCCATACTAGTGTCTGTTGTGTTCTTTACTATGCAATTTATTCACATCTTCCCTTGGTCTTCAAATTGTCTGAGGAGATGTCTCTCTCCCCCCTGCACACTCCACAGGCCCTAGCCTGCCACCCTGCTTGGGAATCACTGATGGAACTGCTAATGGCGAGAGTGTGGACAGTCATAGAGCTTTGGAATAAATGTGTTGAAAGGCGTTTTGGATACCATTTAAACATTTCAACAAGCTCATTTTGAAAAAAGTGAAGAATCAGAGAGTTTAATGGCTAACCCAGGACACACAATGAACCAATGAAGACCTGCTTCAGAGTTTTGTTATCCCAAACTGAACATCAGTCCCTACCACCCTGTCTCTACGTGCACAAATGCAAACATAAGCATCCACCTTCTACCTTCTGTTTATCAGACAAACCCGAGATAAGCTGTGAAAAGGGAAGGAAAACAAAAACTGAAACATGATTATTTTAAAATTTTTATTAATACATATTAATTGTACAGATTAATGGGATTCAGTGCGATTGTTCCATAATACAGTGCACATAGATCAGATCTAACCACCCCTCTCCCACCCTCACATCCCCCACCCCCAGCCTTCTGGTCTCCAGTTATCACTATTCAGGTTGATTTTTTTTTCCCCAGTTTTCACATTTGAAAGAGACCGGGCAGTGCTTGTATTTCTACATTTGGCTTATTTCATTTAATAAAATGTCTTCCGGTTTCATCTATCTAAAGAAGAATGACAGGATTTCATTCTTCTTTATGGCTGAATAATGCTCGTGTGTGTGTGTGTGTGTGTGTGTGTGTGTGTCCGTTTCTTTGTTGATAGGCACCTAGCCTGATTCCATACTTTAGCTATCATGAATAGCACCCCCATAAACATGGGCTATCAGTTCTCTCTGATGCTTTTATTTCCTTTGTATATATGCCTAGAAGTATCATGGTAGTTCTAGTTTTAGTTTTTTGAAGAACCTCCGTATTCTCCATAGTAGCTATGCTAAGTTACAGCTCTAATAACTTAAGTTCCTTTTCTCCATACCCTTATCAGCATTTGCGGTTTTTGTTGTTATTGGATGTTTTAGATCATAGTAGTCAAAGTGGTGTGGGACAGTATGTCATGTATTTTTTATTTGCATTTTCTTGGTGACTAATAATTTTTAAATGTGAAGTTTCTAATTCCTAATGTCTCCACACTTCTTATCTGCTCTGTCTTGAAAATGCATTTCATTTTCATCAGCTTGGTAGAGTATATGACTTCTAAGAAGGATGTAGTCATCTTTTTAGAAAATAATTGTTCTTTTTAATTGCCCATTTCCAATCCCTAAATTTAAAAAAAAAAAGCCCTAGGGTCAAAAACACAATACACCACTCTTATCTAGAAGCAAGGTTTTTCTTTGGGTTTTTTTCCCCCCTAACTGAATGGAATGTGCATTAAAAAAACTCCCGTTTATGTGTGTATCCAGGAAGAAACAGAACACACTCCTGGCACAGTTCCTGGCACGCTGAATTGCTCAGAGAATGCTGGTTGAATGACTAATAGATGGAGTGCTTTCTTTAATTACCAAGCATATACAGATTAGTCTAGCCAAATGCCTATTTATTCTAATTCTCCACTTTCCTGTCATCACTGGGAGATAATATTTGTGTTGCATACCCCATGTGGAAGGCCATCTTCCTCTTTTACATACCATCTCTGGTTTGTTTGCTTGTGGAAAAAAATGTGTGTGCCATGTGGTATGGTAAATGTAATAATTCCAGGCTTTTTAATGCATTACTTTTCATTTCTAAAGGTAAAGCAAGGAAGAGAGAAAGCTTGTATAGAATTATGCTTATGCAGTTGTAAACCTTAAACTCATGTCTGCTGAATCTGAATTCTAGTACAAGACACAAGATAATGTGTATCTCAATTTTTTATTCTTAATGATGAAATTGTAAAGGAAAAAAATATGCTTGTGTTTCAGTGAGTTCAACACATGCCTACCCAAAGCTGGCTCCATTTCGACCAGCCGGACAGCTCCTCTCTCCGCCTTTGCTGCTCTCGGTCTTCTTGCATTCCTGTTTCACCTGCATTGTGCAGGTCTGTGCATTTCTCTATGTGAAGCAACAACCCTGGTATTGTGAGGTCTACCGAGACGCGTGAGTTCATTTTCTTAGCTTTCCATTCTGATGATGTAATTAGATATAGCTTGGTTCAAACATATATCCTAAAATTTTAATAAACAAAAATTGAGTCTCCATGCTTCAAAACACAAATGATAAAACAGAAAACAGTTAATAGTGGAGTTCTGGATGAGCCATGTGGAGAGGGTGTGGAAGATCTGTCACACTGCTGATTGATGTGTACATCTCTCAGCGGGTTGACTGTGTGAATTATCCATTCCTTAGTAGTTTGAATTTCCCATAGACCAAGGGCTGGGAAACATTTCCTGTAGATGAGCCAGACAGTAGATATTTTAGGTTTTGTGATCTGGATGGTCTCTGTTGCAATTAGTCAATTCCACTGTTACAGTACAAAAGCAGCCATAGACAATATGTAAATAAGTGGGCGTGGCCATGTTCCAATAAAGCTTTGTTTATAAAAACAGGTGGTACATTGGATTGGCCTGTGGGCTATAGTTTGCTGGTCCCTGAAACAGCCATACAGAGAGATTAGCTTAAATTAATTTGGATTTTTCCAATGAACATTACAATTAAATGTTAGTTGATGGTATTGTTGCTCTGATGGAATTGGAACATTAGACTGAAGAAAAGTCTCTTTACCTCCTAGGCTTTCTTTGTTTAACTATATAAATCAAAGGTAAGATGAAGTAAACTTTATCATAGATGCGAAAACTTTAATTTTTCTGAGGAAGCCTCCTTGACCCTAAAAGAAAACAGGAAAAGAGCTTTCTGGAAAAGTGCATGCACACATATTACACCCCGTCCTCCCACCACTGTGAGAGTGAAGGCATCAGAAACCCAGAAATCAGTGAAACTCATATGGAAAACTATCAAATGATGTCTAAGGTTGTTGTTTAGATCTCAAATTCAGCAATTTGAGTATTACTTGAAGTACAGAACCTTGTTTAGACTCAAAACCAGATTCCCCTCTCCCCCAAATTGGAGTGCATACACTCACTCTATCAGTCAAATTCTGATAGAAACCACAGTGTGGTGAATAGGGAATGGAGAAGAAATAGGGATAGTTCTGCTTCTATCCCTAACTGGCTGTACAATACTGGTCAACTGTAATTCAGCCCATCTAATCTATTTGTCTATTTGCTATTTGTCTATTTGTGTGTGTGTGTGCAAGAATGTGAGTTCTGATCCTTTGTTCCAAGGGTTTATTTTGCAAACATTAACTGGACATCTACTATATCAAAGCACATTTCTGGGCCCTAGGGAGCCCAGGATAGTGATTTTAAGTCTTGCATTTGAATTTACAATTGGAGAATTAATCTTATCAATAAAGTTATAATAGTAATTATAAACTTTCAAGCTGAAGAAGAAAGCTAATAGAAAATAATGTATAGGTTTTATTATTGGGGGGAGAACAAAAAAGAAGAGGATGAAAAAAAAAAGTCAGGACTGGGAAATCCTGAATCTTATGCAAGCATTTTTCTGAGTAAATATTATATGACCCCACTGTACTGTGCCTAAGGATTTCTTATAAATTTAAGTAAAACAAAACAAATCAAAATCAAAAGAAAAATTCCATATTCAAGGAAATCGTACCCCTCAGGTGGAAAATAATAATATATCAACAAAATCACTGCAAAATAATGAGCTAAATGAGCAATAGAGGGAAGAATAGAATGTGTTAGGTTCACTTCCCAGTAAAAGTAATGTTAAATATAATGATATTTGAAAGGTAAGTGCTACTTCAGTTAAAGGGAACATGCCAATTTGATCAGTTTGCAAACTGTGGCATTTTAGGAACAGGGGATAATCCCATCTGTCAGGAGTGTAAGGAGAGTGAGAGAAGTGACAAAAGATGACAACGAAATTGGGGGTCGAAAAGGGATGTGAAGGTCTCCTAGATCGGTCTGAAAAATTTCCTTAATTTATTGGCAAAATGGCGTATAAATTACGTACCTCATCATAGGAAGCACATCATGTTCAGGAAGACTTTTTTCTATATAAGGAGAGAGGATTAGAGTAGGGAGATTCAAACTCAGGACATAGGAGGCTCCCCGTAGTGCATGAAGAAGAACACACACACACACACACACACATCCAATTCACATGGTATATTTACTCTTTGAATTGAAAGAAATTTCTTAGAAAATTGTCATCCAAGCCCTTTCAAGACTTGCCCTTAATGTAATGCCACAGACCGATCCTGACATCCTCTGAATTTTATTTCTTCTTTGTCATTGCAACAAGTTAACAGAATGTCTTGGTAGTTACCAACTGGAACAGGTTGAAACCTGAGGTCCCAGGGTAGTGATTAACTTTTTTTTTTCATCTAATGTATTAAAAATAGAATTGAAAGTTCCATAACTGCTGGCAATTCCTTTGTAGTGAGTGCTTCCTGGCCAACCCAAGTAATTTCTCATCCAATGTGAGTTTGGAAAGAAACTGGACTAGAAATGCAACTCTGATTCCTGGTTCAATTTTAAGTTTTGAGACTACCACACTGTGGCCCATTGTCACCTTCAACTGCATCACAGTAGCATTCATCTTTTCTAAGGGAAAACCATTTCGAAAACCTATCTACACAAACTGTAAGTATATAAAATTTAATTATTTTTTTGGTTCTGAATACTTATCTCCTCCCCACCCTTCCCAGAATTTTAAGTTACTAATGAAGAAGAAAATAATTGCATTATTTCAGAATGAATATTGGATGTGATGGTCATGGGTGGTAGAACCCCAGGCAAAACTTGCACATCTGCAGATGAACACAGACACTGTTCAACGGTCACATGAGTCCTTTTCTATTGGAAGCCACCAAGAATCATTTTAAGCACAAGCATATATGCCACAGTGTTTTTGGAAAAGGGTTTGAACCAATTCAACTACAAGTTGACCCCTTGGTAACTTCAGAATATTGAAGAAATTATCGTAACCATTCATTCTGGGCCCCTATTTCCTCATCTGTAGAAAGTGAGTCCTCAGGGAAAACTGCATGAGGAATTTCATGTGAAAGGGTCCAGCGCTTTTATTAGGGACTCAAAAATTCTTATTTACTTCCCTAGTATGTTCATCTAAGTGAATAAAAAATGAGCACCCCCGCCCCCCCCCCAAAAAAAAACTTTTCAAAGCTACAATCAAGACCTTTACGCAGAAAAGCCAGAGAATATTTTCTGTTCCAAAAGACAGAGACACTGTTGAGAGTTAAAAGAAAACCATGATTGATAATCATGCCAGGCTCAAACACCAAATGGCTGAGCAAAAGAGGACTCATGGTCACCCTGTTGATGACCATGCAACTGTTCCAATAGTTCGGTATTATAAATATGGTATAAAACTTACATTGCTTTTCATAAAGTTTGTACCAATTTCAGTCCAATCATTCCTTTGGAAAGAGTTTGCTTCAGGCAGCATATCCAACATGGGAAATAAAAAAGAAAATTCTTGTCAAGTCAAATAAGACTTTTTAAACATAATCTCTCATTTGGTTTTATTTGCAATTTTTGATTTTCAGTGAGGATTAAATACATTTTCACATCCCTAGCCATCTCTTCTGTGAAATGTCTAGGTACATTTTTACATCTATTTATTTCTTCTATTGGATTACTGTTACTTTCCTTATTACCTGTGTAAGCTATTTATTCTTTTATGGGTTTTTCCCCATTTGCTTTATACACAGAAAGTTTTTCTAATTGTAAAGTAGGATAGATTAACACTGTGTAGTTTTAAAAATTTCTTTTAGTGTTTTTTAAAAAATCTAATATAATTTTGGTACATTTTTATAGTAGGGATCAAATTAATTTATCCAACTAGTCAATCAGTTTTTGTAGCAGACTTTTTTTGACTATTGAGTATTTAATATCCTTTCATTCATTTGTTCCTTAGCCAAGCACAATGCCAACTTCATCATACCTCTATTCACATGTATTTATGATTTTCTTATAATTTATATTACATATGTTTATATATATATATATATATATATATATATATATATATAAAATTTACTCCAGACTGTCTTTTGTGTTCCATTGATATGCCAACCAGTCTATTTTTGATCTTTCACTATATTTTAACAATTATAATTTTATAAGATGTTTTTAATAAGTAGCAAGATTAGTGTAGCCTCATTTTCTCAACTTTCTAAAAACTTTTGAGTCTCAAGTGTTCTAGAAAGACAGGTACTAATAATAGCTAGCTATAATATTCCTTCTTCATTTCCCATAACTAGAATGTATGCCCCTATTTTCTATCTTAGTATATAGTCCAGAACTTCTAGGACAATCTTAAACAATAGCAGGATAGTAGATAGCTCCACCCCTTGATAGAAATAGTTCTAGTAGTTTTCATTCATAAATATGACTGAATACTGGTGCAAGGTAGCCCACCTCATATAAAGAAAATACCCTTCTTTTACAGTTAATCAATAGTGTTTTTAAATCAAAAAACAGGAGATACATTTCATAGAATGCCTTCCCATGATCTGTCTTGATGATTATTCTTTCTTCTCTTTTGACCTACTGCTAGAATGTGTTATATTAAGAAGCTTATTATTAAATTGTCTTCTTGAGCAAATGCTACTAATTTGTGGTGGATTATACATTTACTAAGTTGAATTTTTATAGTTTTTTAAAATCTACATTTCATATGGGATTCTGAAGATTTCTGTGTTAGGTTTTGTTAGGCTTGGGTAATAGATTTGAAACTTCTTTAAGTTTTTCTTTCTTCTATAATTTTTTTTTAGTAGGAATGATCCTTTCCTTGCCAATTTGCAAGAAATAATTAGTAAAATCATCCAGTTCTACATTCTTCCTTTGAAATGATTTTTAAGGATTCTTATGGATTACCTCTTTTAAAACTTTTTTTATAAAATATATTGTGCACATAATGCAATTTCCTTCCTATTGTCAAATAGGAGGACCAGGCCTTTGTGAGGCATCCTTCTCTTGCCAGCTTCTGAGTCCCCGCCCCTCCCAAACAATGAAGTGTATGTAAGAGCCATACAGCTGTCTCCTGGGATCTTTTTATCACCACAACCATGAGTAGATTGTTTTATTTGGGGAGATGCAATTCCCATTTTTCTCCTCCCTGCTTCACACTCCTCTAGAACAATCCTGGACATTTTTCTGAGAGGTCCTGCACCGCATCATATGCAAGAAATGAGACATGGATGAGAACCAGGGCGAGTGTAGGTGTGCAAGGGTGTGGCTTCAAAAGTAGGGCCCCCTGGAGAGGAGCACTTGCCTCAGATTTTCAGTTGGTACATTACTGAGTTGTGCAGTAGGCCATCAGCACCAGAACACATGACACTGGGAGAGTTCAAGGGAAACCCTTGTGGTCATTTATATCATGACAATACCAATTTAATTCTAGTGTTTTAGCCTAAAGGTGATATTCCTATCAAAGACATTTCTAAGGTACTATTTATGAAGTGCTGTGCTATCAGCTCTGACCGACAGGAGATGTTGGGCTTTGAGGGATATGAGCAATAATTTGGGAACAGTTTATCTGGGGAAGTTTATCTCCCCAAAGTAAAGCAATTTGGGCAGGTTGGAAATTCAGCAGATGTATGTGTCATTCACTTATTTTTTTCAAGTCAGAGTCCCTGGTGCCCACATCCAACATTGCTCCAAGTGATCACAGCCTAGTAGATTAGATAAATTAAGATTAGGCTGAGTATGATATGTACCATATGAAATAAACTTCATAAGGGAGGATTAGGGGGTCTTTGAAAGGAAAGTGCCAGTTAAACTGAGCTCATTAAGTGGGAAAAAAAAGTACTATGCCAAGACAGGAAGAATTTTGCCTATACAGAGCATTTTGTGAGCAAAGGCAGAGAAGTCAGAGAACTGGGACTCTGTGGAAGTGCTGGCTATTGTGGTTGAACTTTTCTGTTGCACCTAAAAAGAACAGTCAGAGGTCAGTTTAGAGAGGCTGATGGGACCAAATTGGTGAAGGCTGGAACACTGATCACAGATTCTGGGACTTTATTCTCCTAGCAGTGAAGAAGGAAATGCTGCCAAGAGGCCTATTCATTCCTTATGTGCAGGGCTCACTAGACAGGTGGAGCTAATGCACCAGGGCCTCTCTGGTGACCATTCAGATGGTCAAAGCAGGATGTCCCAGCCTCCAGGAATCCACAGTTGAGGCAACTCCCTTACAGAGGTTCCTATATACATTCTTCTTTAATGAACATCCTTCTACTTTCAGCCTTATTCAGGAAAGATTTTAAGATATCACCTTTATCATATAAGCACTGAACATATTTTAAAACATATGAGCATATATCAAAACATCTGAAGATGTATCCAGTGTTTGCCCAACAGAGATAATTGATTCTGCAATGTGTGCCAAATTATATGAAACATTCTTTTAGCATCTAAAAATAATGTTTGGTGTTTCTTCAGATATATTTTCATTTTTGCTGATATCTGCCTCGGGCCTCACGATCTTCATTCTGTTTTCTGATTTTCAAGATATATACCAGGGAATGGAGGTAAGTATCATTTATTTGCATATCTGACATGATTCATATTCACCATGGAACATATTTACATTGTTATTTGCAGCTCAGTTATTACCATATTCTCTCTGACCACTAAATATGTGAGACTATTTATATTTAGACAAATAGCATTTCTATATCTCACACATATTTTCATATTACTTGTACTATCATTTGGGCACATTTATCCTTTTCATTCAGAAAATATTATGTTTGAATACTTCATTCTGTATATTATACCAATACAATAAAATTAATGCATTAATACAATAATGCTCCAGCTTTAATGTTTTTAAACACATAATAGAAATCTTTTATAATATCATTGTAAGGATAAAAGAATAAGCAAACATGTTTGTCCTATTAGACATTGACTATAAGGAGTTTTTTTTTTTAATCAGTCAACATCATTTGATCCAGGATATATTGGGTTAAAATTAAACTCATAAAGATGTTATTAAACCCATTCTTGGACTGTTGCAGTGAGAGATACTGAAGAAAGAGAAGGATTGGCTCCTGACTTTCAGGCTATAGTTTTGTTGTGAAGATGAGCCACACCTAAGTGAGATGATGACAGGGCCACCTGGTGCCATCCATGCTGAAGAGAGTCTCAAGGTAGCACTGGGAAGAACATAGGAAGCAGCACTCACTTTGGGTTGTAGCTGTCCATGAAGGCTTCACAGAGAGCATGCAGCTTGCTGGGATCCAGAATCAAGCTGGATTTTGCTGGGTTGGAGACAGGGATGTTTCTGACCAAGGAAACATCCTAGACACAAGCAGAGGGAGCTGAAAGGGCCTTCTTCTGTCTTGGAACTGCAAAGAATGTAGGGTAGCAAGAATCAAAGCAAGGCTTGCTTTACAAAGGAGCTAGAGGATTTGCCAAAAGTGCGGCAGTGTGCTATGGATTATGAGGGAAAAGAATAAAGATTAAAGGAAGGCTTGGATGGACAAGGCAGGCAGTGAAGTTTGGACTTATGCCAAGACCAACAGGGAGTCATTGAAGGTTTTGTGGAGGGCATTTAATAGGCAGACTAGTTAGATGATGGCAGGAAGGCTTTATGCAAGAGTAGAGAAGCTGTTGAGGAAGAAGCAGCTAGAAAAAGAAAGCTCATATCATCAGGTCATTCATTCATTTACCAAACATGGTGGAGCTCCAGAGTATGCCTGGTGCAAGGTTTACAAAGATGAGTAAGATGTGGTCACTGCCCTCAAATAGTTTAGAAGCTAGGAGGGAAGGCCATGGTGTAATTAATTCCAAATCAAGTGCCTCCTAGGTCAAAGGTTGGAGAAGAGCCCTTATGGATCAGGGTAGTGGCAGCACTGAGATCCTACTGGGCTGGATTCTCTGTCTACTAGGATCAGAGCCACCTTCTCCAAACAACCTTCTACCCAATGTGTAGCATTTCACAACCCTTTTAAAGGCTGTCTCCACTTGAGGAAAAAAATGACCACATGTTATCTTGAAATAACTCATATCAGGATAGGGATGAGAATTTAAGGTAAGCATTTAGATGCTATGGGGGCTGTGGTTATTGACATCAGGAGAGCTCAGTCCCACACAAAATCATCCATCCAAATTCTAGTCTGTGGGGTCAGAAATGGGGCCACCTAACTACCTTTTCACTGTGGGTAAAACCATGGGAAATGGTGGCTCTTGCATCTACTAAACAAGTGTAGTTGATCAATGGACACATTTTTATCTTTAAAGGGGGTTGGGCGAGATTTTCATAAAGCCATTAAATTTGGAGCCAAGAACACATGTACTTAGTCTGTCAAAATAAGCCTGTATCTCTGTCCCCCTTTAGATTTTATGATGTATCAATTTTACTGAAAAAGAAATGAATTCCAAGTAGATTTTGCTTTGAATTAGAAGAAAATTGGAAAGTAATTAGTAGCTGAAGGAGTCAATCTTATCCCCACTTTCCCATTTCTCAGAGGATAAAAATGAAGACACAGAGGCTCCAAAGTGTCCTCTTTCTCACATCTGCCACCCACGGCATACTTCATCAATAGATACTGTCAGCCGTGGAGGAGGCAGAGGCCAACAGGAGTCCTGCCATTCTCATTTGGACTCTGGCTCTGCTTTTTACTTATTGGCTTTGAGTCAGTGCTTGGGTAAGACTCTGTTTCCAGTTTTCTCATCTGTAGAGTAGAGAAGGAAATGTGCACACACACCCCACCCCCAAGCTCAGACAATTATGATAAATACATAAACTAAGATAATTGATATGTGTATTTTTAAAGTGTAACATAAGCAATGCATTGCATAATGATGGTATTTCTTTTACTACAGTTTATCCCAACCATAACATCATGGAGAGTTTCGATTTTGGTAGCAGCCCTTACCCAGTTCTGTGTTGCCTTCTTTGTAGAGGTAATTTCTGTGTTTCTTATTATTTTTCCAGAGAGATAAACAAATAAAGGGTCTTATTCTCAACAGATGCTCCTTTATTCCCAACTACTTTGGTCCCCCAAACTGTAGTTATTAATTTATTTTTAACACATATTCTCTGTGGGGAAAATTCCCTAGACAGTGATTTAAAATTCTTTGAAGCCTACTAGTATTTTCTGCACAGAAAGTAAAACATCAAATTAATTCTAATTTTGCCTCACATAAAAGCAAGGTATTATACTTTTCGAATGTTATCAATAATCTAGGAGAGCTGAGATGAGGTGACCTTGCATTGCTAAAATTCAATAGGACCTTTTAGAGGGAACAGCTGTCTTCAGGAGGACAGCCCTGATGAAGAGAGATGGGAAGCTGCCTTTGTTCTTATCAATGTCTACCCTTGAAAGTCTTCCCCTCTCACACTGGTCTTCTGCTTGGTGTCACTACATAACTTTACCCACACAGTATGAAGCTCAGGTGCTGCTTTTCAAAGGGAGAGTTAGAAAAATAAATAAATAAGAGTCAGGTAAGTAAGTCCCTTGGGAAAAGGAATCAATAAAACTTTAAAATATGTATCTATATACCTATAATATATAGATATTATTTATATATATATATGTATATGCTACATACCTATAAATACATACTATCTTGCATAAAATAAGAATTAAATTTTTCATATTTTTTAATTCCAATTTTGATACTATATTTTACCCACAAGAATGAGATCCTAATTAGAATAAGATATGTCCTTTGCCTGTATAATTTTGTCAAAATGGTTTCCAGTGTCATGTATAACTAAGAAGAACCAACAAAATAATTTTTTAAAAAAACTGAACAAACAAAAAGGCAGACAAAAACCCCTACATGTATAAAGATACTCATCTCAGTGTATCTACAGTGGCAAAATACAGGACTGAAGCATTGTCAAGTATTTAAATAGTTATACATCAATTTGAAGAAATGCCATACAGTCATTAAAGATGATTATTAAGACTGTAGCTGTATTCTTACTGCAATTATATAAAAACTTTTAAAAAACTATTGTTACTATTTTAAAAGATTATTCATGACATTAAGTCTAGTATAGACAGTGGAATGCAAAATTTGACCAATTTTATTTTTATAAATGTATGAATATTACATAAGAATGAGAAGAAAGAGAAAAGGGAACTCAAAAAAAATGGAAAACAAAAACCCTTTGATAGCTAGAGCTCAACCATTCCTTCAACATGCATTTATTTGGCACCTTGTATGTGGCTGGTAGTAAGTAGCAGGATTAATAGGGGTTTCCCATTTCTATATATTGCTATCATTTCAGTCTGTCAGAAAAGGAATCCTGAGTGAGTCACTAGCCAGGATTTAACCAGAAAATCTGGATAGGTGAAAGGCCGTATGCTTTCGGCAGGTAACTGTGAACAGAAGCAACCATTTACTTCTTAAAGGAAGAATAAGGGGACCTCAGGGAGGAGAAGCAGCAGCAGCAGCAGCCGCCAGGAGCACAACCCAGGGGAAGTGTGGGGAGCTGCCTGGCTGCACGGAGACTGCACAGTGATTTGACTGTTTTTCACATCTAATTTTCCAGGATGCCATCCTTCAGAATCGAGCGTTCTGGCTGTTGATCAAGAAAGTATTTGGATTCTACTCTAAAAGTCAATATAGGACCTGGCAAAAAAAGCTGGCAGAAGACTCTACCTGGCCCCCCATAAATAGGACGGACTATGCAAGTGATGGTAAAAATGGATTCTACATCAACAAAGGCTATGAAAACCATGAACTGGTCCCAAAAGAAAAACTCAAATCAGGGGACCAAATCAAAGAACAGCATTTTTGGACCAGACTCTAATTGGAATTGTTATACGCATTGAGCAGCATCACCCTCCTCCAAACTAAAACATGTGGAAGGTGAAAAGAATGTACCCTTTTCTTTTTGCTGTCCATCTGATCATCTGAAGCACATTTCTCAGTGCACTTAGCCTTGCAACAGAGGACCTTGAATTTATCTATTTTGACTATATCCTTTCCTATTGGGAGAAAAAAATGCATTTCTTGGGTTATCATTTTAATATGCTTTATTCATATTGTATTGTTTAAAATGCACAGCTCTTAGGATAATAAAATTAGAAGTACAAACATCAATAGAATAAAGAAAAGCTAAGGAAACATTTGGTCTTTGAAAGTTTTACCAATATGTTAATTATCACACAAGTTTCTTTAAATCTTACATTCATTTGTATATATATATATATATGTACATATCTTTTTACAAGATAACTAAATTCCTCCTTTTTGCTTCACTGTATGGTTTTAATAGAAATAAGTATTAACATTTACTTCAGAAAATTCAACCCTAACTATGTAGTAAGCCAGAGTCATGTGGAAGTGGAGAACGGCAGAGATTTGTGTTAATTGCATATAATCTTAGCACAGGCATAGCTAATACCTAAGCAAACTCCACCAAAGTTTGACAATTCCCAAAGTATTGAGCTAGAAGGTCCATGGTAGATCCCCAAAATAATGGAAGGCTGTTAAAATGTGCTTTTCACCTCAGAAAGCCTGGTGCTTTGATTTATTACTGACACACCAAAACTTCAAGTAAGTTCTGGGTGAAAAAAAAAAGACAGGCCAAATTCAACATCACTTGTCTTATAAACAACCCTAAGAAAGGGACCCATGAAAATCCTCTGGCTTCCAGATGACCTTATGCTCTACTTCATCTTTTAATTATATAAATCATTCCAAATGCACATGAAAGACAAGAAGGGTACATTCTTTACAAATATATCCTTCGCCCTATCTACTTATATACACATACATAGATAAATGTGCATATATAAAATGTATATTTTTCAGAGGAAGAAATTTATTTCTGGTGAATATTTGAAATAACCTACTAGGTTTTCCTTAGAATAATAAATCTAATTGTGCCAACTGAACAGATTTTCAACAGACCATAGGCAAAGCTAATTGCTGGTTAACTAAAACCAGTTCCATCCCATAATTGTCAAATGTGTGCCTAATATCATGATATATGGATTCAATATGAAATAGCCCTGAGTTTACGATCTGTAATCTTTAGGACTGACAATTTTTTTCAATATTTTAGCAATTTCCTCCTGTAAATAGCATTATAAACTATGTTACTCAACCAGTAGCACAAATAAACCTTCTTACATAAAAATAAACTCAACATTTTGTTGTTGTTTTTTCCTCCTATTAACAGCTCTTTGGAGAGAGATCATTTTCAAAATGTGTCTAATTTATTGCCTAACAACAACATACAAATATTTTTTGAAAAGAGATTTTAGCTTATGATTAGGAAATGTAATGTTAACCTAAATATATGGTAGCCCAGGTTCCTTGAGTTGACATCTATATTTAGTATTTTGACTTTTAGAATGAAAAGATTCAATTGATATCAGTATAACATTTAGAGAGCATAAACATATTTTTTAAAAAATCCTGATTTTCAATACAAGTACAGTCTGGTTTTTTTTTTGTTTGCTTTTTTTCAGTTTTACTAACAATCTATTAGGGATCTGGTGGGTGGTGATCCTTATTTCACATTTCTTTTTTGGAACATGAAAAATTAAACTCCATAACTGACTGCCAAAAATACGTTCAAAGGAAGGTTTAATTATGTTAGGGGAAAAAAAGTTTGATCAAAGCATGATAAGCATGATGACACAGCAAATGATGGCCTTGATGACCTGCAGGAAAACAAGGTAGGTAGCCTCAGGTGGCTTGTCCCCAAGAAGGGACCTTTTTATGGGGAAACCATGATTAATTCTGTGAACTAACTTCTAAGGAGAAGGAACACTGTCACCTCTGACATTATCAATCCATGAATTCAAAAGTGCATTTGTGGCTTTATTCTGCACAGCTAGGACTCTCTTTTGGAGCAGAGACCTCCAGGGTGCTCTAGAAAGATTTGACTTTTGGCCCTCAGGAAATTAACTCCATCCTCTTTCACTCACCAATGTTGTAATTCTGCAAAAGCCAGGTTCCCTTCCTTGGGTTAAGATTGGCCCTGTGTTTTGAACATGTATTCGTCAAATGCTTTTTCTGCATCTATTGAGGTGATCAAATGGTTCATGTCTTTAAATCTATTGATGTGATGAGTTACGTTGATTGATGTCAAATCAACCTTTCAACCCTGGAATAAGCCCCATTTGATTATGGTGCACTATCTTTTTAATGTTTTTGTATTTAATTTGCCAGAATTTTATTGAGAATTTTTATGTCTGTTTATCAGGGATCTTAGTCTCAAGTTTTCTTTCCTTGATGTGTCTTTGTCTGGTTTTGGTATTAGGGTGATACTAGCCTCACAGAATGAGTTTGGAAGGGTTCCCTTCTTTTCTATATCATGAAATAATTTGAGGGGTATTGGTGTTAATTCTTCTTTGAGGGCCTCATAGACCTTGGCTGAGAATCCTTCTGGTCCTAGTCTTTTCTTTGTTGGTAGGCTTTTGATGGCATCTTCTATTTCATTGTTTGAAATTGATCTGTTTAAATTGTGTGTGCCCTCCTGATTCAGTTTGGGTAGAGTATATGTCTCTAGAAATTTGTTAATGTCTTTGAGATTTTCCATTTTACCGGAGTATAAAATTTCAAAATAGTTTCTAAATATCTTCTTATTTCAGTAGTGTCCATTATGATATTTCCTTTTTCATCATGAATTTTAGTAATCTGAATTTTCTCGCTCAATTGCCTTAAATGGGGAAAGGTAACAAGCTGCTGCCAGTCTCACCTTAATTCAATAGCTCTAGAAAGCGTCTATTCATTGACTATTTCTTGGGAGTAGGACATAAAGAAGCAGAAACCTGAATTTAGAATAAAAATTAAAGGGCTTAGCATGGTGGCACACACCTATAATCCCAGCTACTGGGGAATCTGAGGCAGGAGGATCACAAATTCAAGGCAAGTGTGAACAATGTAGTGAGACACTGTCAAAATAAGAAGGGCTTTGGGTATAGATCAATGGTAAAGTGCTTGCCTCACATGAATGAGGCCCTGGTTCAATCCCCAAAACCACCATCAAAAAAAAGGATCTTGTACCTGGTGGAAGACACACATACCTTCTCAGATGATCAGTGGGGGAAGAAAGTTTGGGGGTTGTCTGGAGACAGAGCCAGTGCCATGAGAAACCAAGGGTTACATAAGGAAAAAGGAGGGAAGAAAGATTAGATGTCTGTGGCCAGGACTGCAGTGCACAACCCCTGCTGTTGACATTACTCTTAAGCCTGTGATTAGCTTGTACAGTATTTCTGGACATGAGGTAACATCTAAATCAGTGTAATAGGTCCAAGACTTTCACTGTCTTTTATCTACTTTATCTAATGCCATGCTTTTAAGGATGGAATAAGGAGGTAAAGAGGCAATGTGGTTTATGGGATAAGTTATAGTGTCCACTATCATCTTAGAAAGACCTATGCCTCACCTTTCCTTACCTGCAGTAATGAAGAAGTCTACTCAAATGGTAATAAATTTAAATTCAACAGCTAACCAATAAAATGTAAGAATAAAATCATGACACTCCTTGGCTTATAGTACAAACCTTAAAAAGCAGTACAAGATATTGTTTCCTAATTTTGGCACTTTAAACCAACGTTTGATGACCTCTTGCCAAGGTTCAAATGTCAAACCCCTGAAACATTCAAAATGTAACTGTAGAAATAGCAGCCCATGTCACTCATGGATTGTCATGTGCTCTTGACAAGCAAGTGAATTCCAGAGAAATCACTGGATCTGAAGTTGGGAAGTGAAGAGCTCCTCCCGTGCTCTTCCCACCCGCCTACACCTACAGAGTGTGGGAGTTGGAGGCACACCCTCAAAAGGCTTGTCACTCACAGGTCCTCAAGCTGCCAAACCAGAATTTCCCAGTTTCTTTTCTCACAAGAAAAGGAATATGAATTAACATGTCAACCTAACAATCTGGGGTTCTAACTTTGCTTTCCCCTGGAAATGGTTCTCTATCCCTCTGGCAAAATAGCCACCCTTAAGGAAATGGAAAACAATATTTACAGTAGAAGATAAAATGTGATGTGATTTTCTTAAGATTCTCTGCTGGCTCACTCAGAGGCTACAGCTTTTTGTTCCAGCTGCCACAGCAAATCTATGCTAGTAGGGAAAGAAATTTCCTTGGCTCAATGATAAGATAATATCAGAAAGCAATTTGTTAAAGAGCCTGCTATCCATCATCAGAATTTGGAACAATAATGATGCGTTGAAAGATTCCAGGTTTTTTTTTTTTATTTTCCTCCTCACAAATTCCTTCAGTTCCAATATCTCTTCAATAAACTGTTAATAGTATTTTGCTCTTTGTCTTTTTGAAAACAAGCCCAGGAATGAGAAGGCACCAACAGCAGCTGTCACCCATCCAATGGTACTTACTGCTCGGCTGGCCTAAAAGAAAACAAGAAATAAAAAATACATCTTATTCTATACCCATTTCTGTGTCTTAAATGAAGCTTTGTTTTGTTTCCTAAACTGAATACCCATTTTAATGTACAATGAATAAAGTTCAATGCCAAATTAAAATTCTAGATGAAAATGAAATAAAAGTATAATTTTTATAATTATGTAAATGGTATAAATACACATTGATATGTATTCTTTATATTTTTGAAGCACTTGACAGTATATAGACTAGTTATGAACCCAGTACTACTAATCATCACAGTACACTAGTAAGAGAGATAGAACTATTCCTGTTTTGTAAAACTTAAGAGCTTGTAAGTGATTTGCCCAAGGTCATACTACCAAGATGCTGAGAGATAAGCTGAGTCTTCTGGAACCCCATTGCTCTTCCTCTAGCAGCCCCTACCTCCTGAACATGCACTAGTTTGAGTAAGTCTGTATCAGGGTAGGTACAACGTGTATGGGTGGGCATGTTTCTCTGACTAAAGAATGTCTATCAATAAAATAAGGATATGATCTAAGCTAAATACCTATAAGCTCTAATTTGGTAGATAAAATTTGTAGTCTGGTAAACAGATTTCAAGAAAAGTCAATACTGATGTTAACTATCATGTCAAATTAATTTCTCATATAGACAAAATAAAAATAAACCACTGTCAAGCTCAATTGTCCATAAAGGAGTTCAGACATTTATAGCTTTAATGGTATTAATCATCATCATGATGAGGGATCTAATGAATATTCATGGTTTTAATGACACTCAACGGATATTGCCTTCCATCCACATGGGTTTAAGTGCAATTTCATGACCCAAACAAAGGTCACATTCACACACTTCAGAGTCATCAGGTGTTCTGAAAGCAGCATTTGTACTCTGGGGTGTAAGGATCAGGCAAAACATTTTTCTCAAATGACTTGGGAAACAGTCCAATAGTTGGAAACTTGACCTAGGTCACGTTTGCCTATGCCTTCTGTCTAACCAACAGGATTCCAGCCTGGGCCTGCCACCCATAGACTATTGCAAGGTAGTGCTGCCTTCCTAACTCCTGCTTCCCAGTTGGAAATAACAGGAAGGTCCAGGGCCAGGAAAGAGGCACAGAGTAGGAATATCTGCTCCAAGTATTTGAAGCATGTATTCCCTCAGGCCTCTAATTGTGACTCACTGCCTCTGCTCCAACCTGTAGTTGCTAGGGAGAGTAGTACTACCATCAATTTGCCCTGAGTCCTGAGAAACCCTATTTTAGTTTATAATTTTAGCTTTGTTTATTTGATTATTTATTTTATTTATAATGTTTAAATAATTACTACCTAAATTATTCCCTGTGAGAGAACAAGAAGTCAGAGCACCCCAAGCACATGGGGGTGAGGGGAAAGCAGGAAGATGTAGGATACAGGAAGAATTCCCAAGACAGGGCCACAATGATAATCAGAAAGGAGAAAGGATTGTAAATCAAGCCCAAATCTAGTATAATTCCAGACAGAAGCTGGGATCCCAGGAAGGTCTGGTACAGGGGAATGGAACAGCAATTGACAGATGAAAATGCAATGAATGTTACTGGTATAGCTCTGGAAAAATGACAGGACCTTGTGCATAGGGTAGATCCAGAAAGGTGCAAGCCTAACTGACTAGGTATCTTTTAGCTTCTAGAAACACAGATGTTAAAGAAATCTCATAACTATTAGAGGTTTGTGGAGGGGATAGGTAACCTGATCCCGAGCCAAAATTCATTGAGATTACAGGACAGATTTCATTACAATGAAATCACTTCCAGCAGTACATGCACTTTCCCAGGCCCCAAATTCTCATTCATTCCAAGTCCCATCATAAATAACAAAATCCTATTTGACTGGGACAGTCCCTTGGATTTACAACCAATGGGATCTTGCCTGCACAGGATTTTGACATCTGAGGATATTCTTGGTGAAGCAGCATGCACGGGAGCTCTTTATTTCATGGCTCACTTAGGGTTGTAAGACCACCAAATGTGACTCTGCAGACTTTATCTCTGGAGGCCTCTGTCTGTGGGCCATTAATAAAGGCCTCATTCTGGGGATCCGTGCGTGCCCACTGAAACATTAGCTAATCTGGAGTGGCTGTGTACAGATATCAGCATAGCAGGGTCACAGATGACTATAGGGTATATCAAATGTCTCCATTCTGAGACCTGAAGGCTCCAGTGGTACACTGAAGCACAGGCAGGGTGTCATCATGTGTTGTTGTCATCAGGTTTATTCAAGTATGTGGCTACCTTATACAAAGACAAACACATTTTAACCCATCGTGGCCCACTATCCTATATAGAAATGAATATCTGAGATGTGATGAATTATTAATTTGTTGGGACTATAACATTAAAAATATTGTTTTTTAAATTTTTGGAAAACACAGAAAAAAGCCATAGAATAAGAGAAAACATTTGCATGATAAAATTTGACAAAGGATTGTTATCCAAAATACACAAAGAACTCTTAAAATTCAATTGGAAAATGAACAACCCTATTAGAAAATAGGGAAAAGGCACATCAAGAGACATATCACCAAAGATGATCTGGAATTTCCAAAAAAAAGCATATGAAAAGATATCATACATATCAGTTAGCTACAAATTAAAACAATAATAAAATACCACAATATGCCTATCAAAATAGCTTAAATCCAAAACACTGACAACATCAAATGCTGGTGAGGATGTGGAACAACGGGAGCTCCCATTTATCCTGAAGGGGAATGCAAAATGGTATGACCACCTTGGAAGACAGTTTGGCAGTTTTAAGAAATAAGATATGAGATGTTGATGGTGAAGGAGAATGTACGTTTAAAGAAAGGGGAGAGAACTCAGCTTGATTTCACTGTGATCCTAAAAACTGCTCTAAAAAACTGTCATTTGATTTTTTTTTAAATACAGAAAAACAAAGAAAAAGGAGGATGGGACGACATCCTTCCACCCTTCTTATAATTTTTGTGCATTTTTAACTTTTTAAATTGTAGAATTACATAGCCATTTTCTAAGAAAATGTTTCTAAATTCAAGGCCCCTAAGCCTTAAGGGGATCCAAAAAAGTTAATCTAATACTAGCCATTATTTAGTAATAATATTAGCACTAGCTATTATTTAATAGTAATGATATTAATTATTAATGAGTAATCCAAGTTCTGCAGTTTCTGATGGGGATTTTATTGGATCTAACAAAGATATAAAAAATTCTAAAATAAATGTAATTAAAATATCCATTGTTGGCATGCTGTTCATCAGGATAAATAATGCATAACACAGTATGCTAAGAGACCTCAAAATATGTCCCAGATCTTTTAAAAAAAACCTCATTGTAGAGAGTATAAAATAGATAATGCACCCTAGGTCGCCTAGCTAAGTGGTAAAGATTGGGTTCCTGCTCACATCAGCAGAACACTAGCAGTCAGGGAGGCTCCTAAGGCTGTCACTGCACCACTGTCATTAGAACATACAGGAGCCAAGACCTACCACTGACTGAGGAGCAGTTTGTTTTTCATGGGTATTAAGTCTGGGTATGAAAGATGAAAAGATGATGGGTTACAAGTTTGAATCAAAGCAATAACATGATTTTAACTACTTTTTATTTAATGTCACTTTTTACCTTATTGAAGTATGATCAATATGCAAAAAGTCTACAGACACAAATATCCACAAACAAAATGTATACAAGTAGATACGTTTGGAAAGAAGTATACACCCAGGAAATCATCATCACAATCAATGCCATAAGCTTATCCATTACCTCCAAGTTTCTCCCATTACCTTTGCTGGACTTTATTGTATTGTTTTGTTCTTTGTTGTATTTGGGTGGTTTTTCTCCAAATACATCTTAACATAAGATGTATCATCTTAGCAAAATTTTGAGTATACAACAAACACAGTACTGTTAATCATTTGCACTTTGTTGTATAATATATCTCTGAACTAATTTACATATAACTGAAATTTGTGCCCTGTGACTAATACCTCCCCATTTCTAAAGATTCAAAAAATAAATAAATAAAAATCACTTGCTAAGTGCAGTGAACAACTTTATCATTAACAAAAATGAGGAATGGAAATTGTTTCCTATCTATACTCATTTTCAATGCAAAAGGTGAAGAGGAATTTGTGTGTGTCCTCTGTGTTCTGGCTCAAAAGCAATTGATCATTCCATGTGAATAGAACATTAATTATGTTAATGTACTTCCTAATGAGAATGAATTTCCAATTATATTATTTTCTAATGAAAACAAATGCATCCTTTCATTATGTTCTATCTCCAACTTTTCCAAGCTTTTGTGAGAAGAATTAAACCTCATTTCTTTGAAGTTTATATAATTGATCCACTATTTTAAAATACTAGAAGCCTTTAATAAATTTGAGTTCTTAGAATATTATTGAAATTGTACAGAGTTATTATTTGAACTTTTAGTCTTCTTTTTAAAGTTTTTACAGGTGACAACTCCCTAGAGTTTAACAGGTATGAAGCTATTTTTGTTATTTTAATTTAAGAAATGAACACTTTTATATGTATTTTGGGTGAAGAGGACTTCCTCTTGTAACAGTTTTATGTATTCATTCTCTTTTATCACCTTAATAAATCTTTGGGCTAAAACATCAACTATGAAACTGAACTGGCAGCAGAGCAAGTAGGGAAAGGGCAACTAAAGTAACCATGTGATTAGCTGGGGGTTGGCTATACTATACAATAGTGATGATGACTGCCAAAATTACAAAGTACTTAAAGTTAATCTGTTAAAGGACTTGAAAGGCTTGATGATTCAAAGGATCTATTTAAAAAGCACAAAATTGCATTGAAAACTAACAAAAAAGAATGCAAGGAAACAGAAAACATTTATAAACCCATTAAGGCATGTTATCAGTTGGCCTCTACAGGCCACTGGAGAAGAATCTCAGCATGACCATCTCTGTTTGTGGCAGATGCAGCCAGCAAAGCCAGCATTGTTTTCAGTATAGTCTCTTTAGCACATGAGTTTATTGATTTGAGACAGCTGCATGGTGGGGTAATAAGGAAAGTGTGGAGAACAGAAGGCAGGAAGACTAACAGAAAGATATGGTCTCCATTCTACTTTAAGTCCCTTCCAGCTCAAAATTCATGATGTCCCCCTTCTAGTCTCAGCTTGATCATTGACTTGCTTACATGACCCTGGACAACTCAATTTCCTTCTCTGTCCTTCAGTATTTTCATATTTTTCCCTTCTCTCTGTTGCCTGAGACTTTTATCATAGCAAACAGTTACTATGTTCTCAAGGTAAGAAACTTCTTGTGTCCCCTAAAGAAAACTCACCTGCTCTGAAACCCCTTCTCCATAGCGAAGCAAAGTCACAAAATGCTCACAGTTGTTGACCAGTAAGTCATATGCCACCTCTTGTCCAATAACAAACTCTGACCGCTGCATGACTTCATCCACAGGGAGAGGGGGGTGCATTTCATCATATTTATTGTTTATTCGGTATTTGTCATTTCCTACCACATCCTTCAAGAGCTGCATCTTCACCAGGGCCTTTGTGCTGAACACAGACTTGGCACTTGTAAATGCCGAAGGAATGCCATCTATAAGGACAATTCTGGTTAGCAAGGTTTAGTGACCCAGTCTACTGAACTCCACTGCCATTTAAAGACTTTGGAAATGCTAGAATGCTTAGACCTAGCTGTGCTCCTTACATACCATTAAATAATAGCCCATTTAATCTTAGACATAGCTCTCTCTGTGTGTTATCAATAATGCTCATACCATATGACTAGGAATGCATGAAAATTTTTCTGAGATCTTGATTTTTTTCCCATAGAACAAATTGGGTGAGAGCATCCTATCTATTTTTGGGAAATAAGTTCTCTATAGATTGGTGTTATTAAACATCTTGGTTATGTGTTTCTAACACAGTACAAATAAGATTATTGCTCACCTTTTCTATCACGCAGTTTCTTTCTCAGCATCTAAACCCTTAAGCCAACTAATTGAGGCTTAGCAGTAGTGCACTGTGATTAGGAGGCTTGTCTTTAGCACCTAAGCTGCCTTCCTTACGGGATCACCTCTTCATGTTTGTTCCTTAAACTAAACTTCAATATGGGGCCCTATTTCCTGTTTTGAAACCTGTATGGTAACCCAGTCCTGTGAGAGACAACTTGGATCAGGATTAGGCCCTGCTTTTCTCTTTCCAATTCCTTTGGCCAAGAAACTAAGTTCTGAAACTAAAACTAACCTCAGTAGATACAATACCCCAGACCTGGCCCCTGTGGAGTCCTATCCTATGTTACAGGATCTGTGCCCTGCCTCTCCACCACAGCTGCCTCTCTTAGTAAGCACACACACAGAGGCTGCCAGGAATCTTTGTGTTCAGACCTATCACTATGAGTTCTTGTGGCTGGACAGGCATTTCCTCAGGGCCAAGGTCTAATGGCAGGCTCTGGTCTCTCTCAAACTGCCTATGACTACTATGCCTGGCCATGTCCAGGTGACTCATGAGAGGAAAGGTCTCCATATAATCTGAATTTAGAAAATTTCTCCCTTATTAATAATTAAAAGCAAACTTTCTTTTCCATTATCCTCTGTCTATCCTCCTTCCCAATAGAGTAGTACTCTAACTTTATACACTGAAAGTTTTACACATTAGAAGCATATTTATCATAGTTAAAATTACTAAATTTTTTACTAGCCTGATGCAAAAAATCAGGAAATTGAAGCTCAGAGAGATAAACTGACTCAGAAAATATCACAGTAGTTAATAAGTGAAATAGAAATTAAATTTTACTCTACAGGATCAAATCTCACTACTTGAACCATGTTAATATGGACCTTAAAGTGAAAACATTAATATGGAATTTCATAGTGGAAAATAAGAAAACAGCTCACATTATTTTCCAATGTGAAAACTGTAGAGATAATGTAGATGTGTGAGGCTACTTAGTGTTAATCACCAGACTTTGGAAATTAGCAGCTGTGAATTGTAAATGTCATTTTATTTGCTATTTCCACTTACAATACTTTGGAACAAAAAGAAAGTAACTCAAAATGTTGTAAAAAACATTTCATTAAAATTCTCAGAACTTCCCGTGATAGTTAGACTCAGGCCTACACACACTTATCTTTAAAGATATCTTTTAAAAAAGTATTCCATATTATTTGCATATATTATTCCTAATAAATTTGTGCTCATTAACTGTTTAGAAAATACAGAAAAACAAAGCATTAAGTTTTAAATAGAAATTACTCATCCCATCACCTAGAAATAACAACCAGTATCACTTTGATGTACCTATATGAATGTCTCTTACTAACACATGTATAGGTACATGCATATGTATGTATTTATACAAGTTATTCTTTTGAAAACCAAGTATTATATTGTTTATTGCATTTTAATCTTCATTTTTCAAATAAATATTTTATCAATACTGTTTCCCATGCAGTTAAACAGGTCCAGGTTATTATTATTATTTTTTTAATGACTGTTATATTGGCTATTGTTTTTAATCTACCCAGCTCCTTGTCCCATCACTGCCTGTTTCTTATTGGATGATTCTGTTTGAGCTAACCATAGTATCCTGTTGTTCTGGGCAAGGTGATGGTCCAGGCATAGGTATGGGACCATTTAGAATTACAACAGGCAGGGCTCTTTCCTGTTAAGTTATAGACTTTATAAAATGAGAGCCTCAGGCTGCTCTTCATCCTCAGTTTGTTAGAGAGACAAAGCCTGGGAGAATGAAGGCATAGGAAAAAGAATGCAGATATGAGTCCAAGAGTCCTAATTGTGTTCACATCCTACATTAGACACCTCTGAGACCAGCATCACCTCTATCCTTTGTGCAGTTCCTTTCAGTGAAGCAATGGCTTTGCCTTTTTACCTTTTTACTTAAGCTAATTCTAGTTTTGTTACATGCAAATAAATAATTCTGAAATACAGATACTAAACACTCTGTAGCTAAATAATAATTTGTATAACTGTTCCCCTATTGAACATTAAGCCAGTGTCGATTTTTTTAAACCATTATAAATGAGGGATAAGTGAAGGCCCTAACGCAGAAGTATTTGTACATATTTCTAAATAGTTCCCCAGACTCCTGGAAGTACAATTAGAGTCAGAGAATATGAACTCTTAAGACTTAATTCGTACTAAATTGCTTCTGTGACTGACACTATCAGTTTACATTTCCATCAACAATATCTTTGTGTTCATTTCGCTATTCCCTTATCAACACTGATTGCTATCACTTTTTATCCTTTGCTACTGAAACAGGCATGCAATCTGTCTTTGTTCTATTTTACAATTTGTAGATGACTACAAAGTTGAAATTTTTAAAAATGTGTGTTAGTTTTTGCTCTTCTTTTACAAACTGTTCACAATTCTTCGTCCATTTGTTTGTTGGGATTTGGGAGTTTGCTATCCTCTCAGCCTAGATTATCATTTCCCCAGATAGAATCTGACTTGTTTTCTCACCTCCTTCAAGTTTTTCCTCAAACAGTACTTTCTTATGAATTTTTCCTGACCCCTTTATTTAAAATCACAACACCTCACCTCCATCTCCCTCCCTGCCTTTGGCACTTCTTATTCCACCTATTTGACTGATTTTTTTCTATATCACTTATCTCCCTTCTAACATTTACTACTGTAATTTGTTTTGGGGGTTTCTCTCAGTCTCTCTCTCTCTCTCTCTCTCTCTCTCTCTCTCTCAAAATATAAGCTTTACCATGCAGGGAGATGTCTACATATCTAACAGTATTCAGCACATACTAAATAATCTATGAATAGGTGTTGAATCATCTACTTGTGTTATATAAATATTCTGTAGCTAAATAATAATTTGTACTATTTTCTATAGTAATGCTTTCCTCATCCTGATCAATTTTAGAAACTCAAATTTTTTTTAATTCTCCCCTTAAATCCACAAATTCATGAATAATATAAATTACTTATATGCAAAATAAAAAATATTAAGTATTAAAATATGTTATAAGGATATTGAACTTAGTCATGTTTGAGCATGACTAATAAATAACCATCCCCAGATGGTTATTTATTCTTTAATTGTCATTTTTTTTAGTATAGAGGCTTTACATTTTAACATTAATTGGCTTTTGTGATTTCTTCAATGACAATGTGCTTCCCTTAGAATGTCCTTCCTAAATCTAGATTAGCTTGATTTATTTACTTTCTACATTATATCTGTTTTATGATTTTGTTTATGATTTCTTCTTATTATAAGAAAACTAAAAAACTCTAGGAGCTACTAGAAATAAACCTTACCTACAGGTGCTATGTTGATGACATAACCATCACCCAAGTACAGCGCCCAGTGCTGATAGCCAGGACGGAACACTTCAATCAAGTCCCCTGGGTGGGGGTTGCCATGGTAGTCCAAACTGAAGCACCCATTAAGCGCCATCTGAAAGCATAGTCACAAGGATGATCTAGCTGATAAAAATTGCCAAAAGAGAATCAGTTCATGACTTTAACAGAAATGGAGAGCACAGAATTTATCAAGACTGTATTCCTTATTAAAGACTTAGACCCATGCCACTGTGCTTCTCTTGAAATGACACCAACACTAAATTATATGTGCAAGTTGTGAACAAATTTTTCTGCTCTTATTTTCTATAGTAATGCTTTTCTCATCCTGATCAATTTCAGCAACTCAATTTTTTTTTATAATTCTCTCCTTAAATTCATGAATAATATAAATTACTTATATGCAAAATAAAAAATATTAAGTATTAAAATATGTTTTATTTGGAAGAGAAAGGAGGAATAGAAAGTAAATGCTGCATATATTTGTTTTACTGTATAAATGCTCAATCTATGAGTACACTAAAAACTACTACAAAATTTCTATATGCTGGCACTTAGCATGAAAAGTCAGGATTCCTGAGCATAAGATCAGAAGTCTTTTAGCCTTTTGTATTCAGCAAAGTAAAATCAAGGAGAAGAGGAAGCAGAGCAAGGTGGTTCTCAGTACAAGCAGGACAACTTAGAAGGTTGGGTGGTTTATCATATGGATGAATCAGTCTGAAAATTTCCAAGTTGGTGAGGTTTTTATCTCCTTCTAAGTCAATACTCTTTGAAAAAAAACCATATAAGTCTCTGACAGCTGATTTTTATGAAGGATACATTTTCTATGTATGGCATAGAAGTAGAATAACACAGCAAAAGAAAGTTACATCCATCCATCCACAATCAGAGGAAGATTTAATGTTGTATGCATGTTGAATTTCTAATTGTCAACAGAGTATTCCTCATCATCTCACTCTAATGCAGACATGTACACTCATTTACAAAATAAATTCAAGTGCCAGAAATGGAAACTTCCAAATCATCTAGATTATGATTATAATAGCATAGGCTAAGGACTTGGGAATGCAGACTTTCTTTCTTTCTTTCTTTCTTTTTTCTTTTTGGCACTCTAAAAGTCTTTTATACAGCAATTAATATTGGAAGGGTGTTTTCCCAAGTATTTGTGTGCCATCTGTTGCAAACTTCAATCATCACACTGTTACAGAAACGTGGCCAAATATAAGCTGTCCATCTGTTAAAAAATAACTATTAAAACCCCTTTATAGAAACCGTTAAGTCTATCCACCATCACAAATATGTCTGAGTCTTATTAATATGACAGTTCACAATTTGGCCACGTGGGGAATAAAAGGAAAATAGATAATATACCATGACATAAACAAACACATTTCCCATGAATAGGAATCAACAAGCACACACAGCTGCCTACTGGAATTTGGGACCTATTATAGCTGAACTTATAATAATAACCACCATTTGAACAGGGAGCACTTTGTAATACAACTTCCTTTTTTAAGTGCACCATCTCAATTAACCCTAATTAAATGAAAAAAAAATCCTCACAACTATTTATCATATTATTACCCAATTTTACAGATAAAAGGTACCATAGCAAATGCCAACTTTGGAAAATACCCATTGAGACACTTATATTATAAAATAGAAAGGGGAAATAACTGGGCTAGGCATTAATAATGTGAGCTTTTCTTTCCATCTTCTACTTGTTCTTTGTCAGTTCTATAATTTTGGGCAGGTTACTCAGACCCATTCTCAGTTTCCTCATTTTGAAGATAGGCATAAGAATATAGAGCTGACTAACTTATCTCAAATATCTGTTGGAAGAAACTAACTCTTGGTGAGCTGGTTAAAAGTGGAGACAAATGCTTTATGAAAACTGGCAAGAGCTGGATAGGTGACGGTAAGGGAGAGGTGGTTATCTGCAAAGCTTGAGATTGGCTCATGACTGATATGTGATTTTGGTTCCTTTTCTCCTCTTCTAACCACAATTGATAATTCTATGAGATAGACAATTCTACCACAAAATTTTAATCTATTTAACACATTTTCCATTTCTGATTTATGAAGTGTAAGTTAACTGATTACACAAAGTCTATCATATTTATAAAAAGAGATAACAAGGAAAACATTTCACACAAGATATTCCTCCAGAAAACAAAGGGAGGAGCCTGAAGGGTAATGTGCAAGGGGATAAGTGGGTTTTGACACTCTTCTCTTAGAATTACAAGTTATTGCAAAATGAGACTTCAGATTCCATCAAATCCAATGGTCTCCCAACTTGTTTTAGCAGCAGGGACCTTATATCCAACCAAATATCAGACCCACAAAAATGTAAAATGTAAAAAGAAACAGTGTCTGTGTGTAATCAGAAAGAGTGCAACTACCCCTTCCTCAGTTGCTATTGCTACTGAGGTTTCCTGGGATCCCAGTGCTATGAGGGAATAGAATGACATATTCCAAGGACTGAAAGAAAATAACTACAATCATATCCAACTGAGGCTTTACCTCAGAAATTCAGGAGAAATAAAGACCTTCTAAGATAAGCATAAACTGAGGGAATTTGTGACCACCAGACCAGCCTTATAGAAGATGTTTAAGGGAGTCCTACATCCAAAAAAGAAAGACACCTACCATCATGAACATATGAGAAAGAATAAATCCTACTAAAAGACTGAATATGCAAAAGATAAAGAGAAAGGAATCAAACATTATCAATGCAATAAATTACCAAATCATAGAAATGAACTAAAGGAAGGAAAAAAACAAAGAATAAATAAAATACCTAGAAGAAAATCAGCAAAATGATATATCAATCCTTATCCACCAAAAATAACCTTAAATATAAATGGATGAAATTCTCCAATAAAATATATAGGCTTGCTGAATTGTTAAAAAAAAATGTCCAACAATATGCTGCCTACAAAAAAATATTCCTGACCAGCAAGGATACACAGACTGAAAGTGAAAGTGTAGAAAACTATATTCCAAACAAAGGGAAGCCTAAAATGGGCAAGAGTAGCTATACTTATATCTGACAAAATAAACTTTAAGACACAAGCTGTAAGATGAGACAAAGGAGATCACAATATAATGTTCGCCGAGTCAATTTAATAAGAGTAAGATAAAACAATTATAAATTAATACACACCTAATTTTGGAGCACCCATTTTATAAAACAAACACTGATAGACCTAAAAGGAGCATTCATCTGTAATACAACAATAGTGGGAGAGTTCAACACTCTGCTTTCATCAATGGTCTGCTCACACAGACCAAAAAACAAACAAAAAAATCAACAATGAAACATCAGTTAAAGTACACCACAAATCAAATGGGCAGGCACTTAATCTAACAGCTGCAGAATACACAATTTTACAGTTTATAGAACCTTCTCTAGACTATACCATATATTAGGTTACAAAACAAACATTAACAAATTTTTTAAATGCAATCATATTGTGTATCTTTTTTAATCACAACTGAACATAACTAGAAGTCAAAAACAAAAGAAATTTTAGAAATTATATAAGTGCATGGAGACTGAACAATAAACTTTTGAACAAACAGTTGGCCATTGAGGAAGTTAGAGAACAATTTTAAAATTTTCTCAAAACAAAAATGGCACAACAAAGCCAAACTTGTGGGTGGTAGCAAAAGCAGTACTATGAGAGAAGTTTATAGCAATGAGTGTCTGCTTCAAAAAATTGAAAGATTTCACATAAGCACCCTAATGAAGTATCTCAAGGACTTAAAAAAACAACAACAAACCAAACCCAAAATTAGTATAAGAAAATAAATAACAAAGATCAGAGTAGAAATAAATTAAATAGAGACTAAAAAAAGTCCAAAAGATCAATAAATGAGAGGGTTCTTTGAAAAGATAAACAAAATTGCTAAACCTTTGGCTTGACTAACCAACAAAAATCTGTTTCCACTCTCACCTCTATTATTCAATATAGTAATAGTTATAAAACAATTAGGCCAGAGAAAGAAATAAAAGGCATACAAATACGAAGGAAACCAAATTATCCTTGTTTGTGTTATTTACATATTTACATATATAAATACATATTTAAATATTATACACACACACCTTTAAAAACAACTAGAAGACTATTAGAATTGACCAAAAAAATTAAGGAAAGTAGCAGGATCCAAAATCAACATACGAAAATTTGTGTTTTTTCTATACACTGATAACAAACTTAAAAAGAATGAAAACATGAAAGAAATAACCACAAAAAGCACTTAGGAATAGACTTAATTAAGGAAGTGAAAGACCCCTACAATGAAAATTACAAAACACTGATGAAAGAAATTGAAGACACAAAAAGATGGAAAGACCTTCCATGTACATTGAAAGACCTTCCATGTTCATTGAAAGAATTAATATTATTAAAATACCCATACAACCCAAAGTGATCTACAGACTCAATGCAATACCATCAAAATACTAATGACATTCTTCAAAGAACTAGAGAAAACCATCTTTAAATTTATATGCAAGCACAAAAGACCGTCAACAGCCAATGCAATCTTTAGAATACAGATCAAGGCATCACAATAGCTGTTATGGTTTTTTTTTTTTTTTTTGTTAACACCACCAGATTTCAAGAAATACTACAGAGTATGATATTGACATAAAAAGAGAAGTACAAGTACAGATCAATGATATTGACATAAAAAGTATGATATTGACATAAAAAGAGAAGTACAAGTACAGATCAATGGACCAGAACAGAAATCCCAGAAATAAACCCATACATCTGCAGCCAAATGATTATCAACAAAGGTGTCAAAAACACACATTTGAGAAAGAACAGTCTCTTTCATAAATGGTGTTTGAAAAATTGGTTATCCATAAGCATAAGACTGAAACTTGATACCTATCTCCCACCCTATACAAAAATCAGTTACAAATGGAACAAAGACCTAAATGTGTAAGACCTGAAATCGTGAAACTACTAGGAAGAAATAGGGAAAATACTTTAAGGCATTGGTGCAGGCAATGATTTTCTGACTGGAACCACCAAAGCGTAGGAAACAAAAGCAAAAATAGACAAATGGGATTAAATCAACTAACAAGCTTCCTCACAGCAAATGAAACAATCAACATTGTGGAGAAACAACCTACGGCATGGGAAAAAATATTGCAAACTATACATCTGACAAGGGGTTGATAGCCAGAATATATATAAGGAAGTCAAAAAACTCAACAAAGAGGAGGAGGAGTTAGAAGTTGGGGAGGGGGGAGGGAGGAGGAGGAGGGGGAGGAGGAGGAGGAGGAGGAGGAGGAGGAGAAAAATAATAAGCCAGGCACAAAAAGATAAGTACCACATTTTCTCTAAAATGTGGGAGGAAAGAAAAAAAAAGTTAATTTGAAAGTAGAATAGTAATTAATAGAGATTAGGAAGAAGAAGGTGAGGAGGGTAAAAAAGGGTGGTGTACATTACATGCATGTGTTTATATTCCATATGTATAGATGGAATATTAAACTGAACCTCAATAATATGTACAATTAGTATGTGTCAACACAAAAAGATAACTGTGCTGAAGGTATAGTATGAAATAAAATGCAACATTTCTTTTTTTCAGTGCTAAGGATTGAAACCAGGGCCTTCAATATACCAGGTAAGCATTCCAACATTGAGCCACATCCCAGCTCTCCATAACCTGTAACAATTATTGATATATGCAAAATCTGAATGAATCTCCAGAGAAGTATGCTGAATGGGGGGCATACTTCATAATCTCCCCAGTATATAACAACCTTGAAATGCCAAAGTTATAAAAATAGAGAATGGATCATGGTTGTCAGCGGCTATGGAAGTGATGGAAGAACATGGTGTGGCTATAAAAAAGTAAAAAGGGAGAATTATAGTGGTGACTTGTTAACAATTGTGAACTGATTATTATGATCACTATTTTACAGATGAGGAAACAAATGGAGACTCTAATGAGTTAAGTGCCAGACCTAATGTCACACAGGTAGAAAGTGACAAAACTAGAATTTAATTTTAGATCTTCATACTTCAGACTTCATACTCCTTTTTTTATACCATTGATTAATATCATTAATCAAAGGAATAACTGAAGAACATTTCATCTTTTCCCTTCTTTCAAACACCTATTAGATGGAGAAGCTGTAAAAGCACATAAATATGTATTTCACATAAACATTTATATGCAGAACCAATGAGTAATGGGAAGTGGAGTCTTGCTAGGGAATTCCTGCATCTCTCCTGCCCAGGAAGTGTCAAGGTGGGGCAAGAAGCATCTATAAAGTTCCCAGACTCAAACCTTAGGCAAATGGCTATAACCTGTATGCTTGTCTAATGTGATTTACCTGGACCACATCTATCAATTTCATTCAGGCACACATGTGTAATATGGTACTTTATAAGTTTGAGATAACACAGAACCAATTAAAGATGCATTTAAAAAGTCCCCTACTACAATCTCTGTGTCAACTTTAAGGTAAAGATGTTTCAATTTAACAGTTCACTTGCACAGAACTGCATGACTTGGTTATAATATAGTGGTATGAGGGCAAGACTTTCATCTTTGTAGCAGAAATTTCCCATTTCAATTGCCAAAACAGGCTGCTCTGTTTATAGCTCCATCTTGGTCCCTGGGGATGCATCAAAAGAAATAAGTGTTTCCTGTATAGTCAGGGACAGAGTGGAACTCTCAGCCTCCTGTTGTGATTTGGACCCTTTCCCATTTCAGCTGAATTCTCTATAATACTGCTACACTGAAGTGCTTCCTTGAAGCCCTTTGCTACCAGACTGGCGCATCTCAGACCCTCACAACTACATGGATCCTTGGTCCAATAATCTCTCTCTACTGCTGAGTTCCACTCCAGGGTAAATTAACTATCCTCAGCAACAGCACCACCAACATGTTCTGCTTGGAATCTTCCAAAGCTCCCCATCACTGACTCCCAGTTTTGCTTTCTTCATAATTTTGGCCTCTACGCATCCTATATTCTAAATAAATCAAACCATTTTCCCCCACATACATCTGAAGGTGATGGCTGCTGTTTGTGATGCTGGATTTGTTTGGGGGTTTTGTTTGTTGTTTTGCTAACATTTAACCTTTTACCCGAAATTCCCACTTCCAAATGTCCCCAAGCAAAGATCCAGATCAGATGCCACCTCTTCCCTTAGGTCTTTCTCCAATCAGCCAGAAAGATATCTCCTTTTGATTTTCCATATAGCATTCTCTCCAACGGCCCATCCCACTTCCTACACCTGTGTCAGTAACTGGTGTCTGGGGAATTTTCTCTTCTGCCTCATATGGAAGGCTGGTTCTTGTTCATCTCTAGACTTTCAATTCGTGGCAGAGTGTTTGACACAAATAACTACCAAGCCAATGTTTCATGAATGGAAGAATAAGAAACTGAAGCTCAGGGAGGTCACAAGTGGCTGAATTTTCCCATTACATGAGTCATATTCATAATCCTGAATGCCAAATAGCACCATCAAATGCTAAGATAATCTTGACCCCTAATACTACTATTCATATTCATTTCAGTGAAGGATAGTAGGTGTAAAAAGCCTTGATAAGCAGACTGCTTCTAGTCCCAGTTCTGCCACTTCATAGCCTCCTCAGTGGAGGAAGCAAGTCTCTTTTTTCGCCCCCCCCCCCCCCCGTGGACTCAGTGCCTTCATTTGGGGGAGGGGGCGGGGATGAATTAGATCAGATGCTCTCTAACCCTAGGAGCTTTTGTGAAAGAGGTTCCCGGGCATCTAGAGGTCCTCCTTCCCTTCGCCAGCACACCTCACTCTCAAGCCCGGGGTCTCCCCTCACCCGGCAGCAGGTGCTGATGTCCCGGGTTCTCCCTGGCTCGCAGTTGCGGACCCTCCTCCTAGAGAATCCGGGACGACTCCATCAGTACCCGGAAGAGGCCAAGCCGTAGCGGTGGACCCCCACTGGCCTGCCACCAGCGCCAACGCCAGCCCAAGGGCTCGAAGACCGCCCCTCCGCGGGCGCTAGGAGCTCAAGGCACTGCGTTCGGCACGCAGCAGCGCACGCGCCCCACGCTTCTGCTCAAGGCTGTCTGCTCCGCCCCCAGGTCGGGGCACTGCAGCCAGAGGTCCGGTCCGCCCCGCCCCGCTCCGAGCCCCAGCCCTCTGGCCTGCCGGTTCATCTTAGTTTGACCCTTTATTTATACCCACCTCCATACACAAGCTGCACACGCTGCACTCGCTGCACCCGCTGCACCCGCCTCCACCCAGAAGCACAGACATAGCACGCCCCATGCACAAAGAAGCACACGAATCCAGCGCTCAGAGCGCAACCTCGAACAGTTATATCCCGGCCAGCCGCTTGAATCTTTCTGCAACTAACTTTCATGATACCAGGCGCTGTGCTAGGCGCTGCGGTTATAAAGTAACCCATCTAGTTGAACCTAGACACGTTAGTATACCCTCATCAGCAATTCATATTACACCCTGTTCTAGCTCTACATGAATTCCTCCAAGGAGGAAGAGATCCTGGTCCCTGCACTCCAAGAAAGCATCCAGGAGCGAGGATACACAAAAGCCAATTCCTTTTGGATTTCTCCCTGTCACCATTCCCAGGCCCAAGGTTTACAGAGTCAGAGTAGGGAGAAGCAAGAAGATCGATGGAAAAAGCATGAGTAGCCCCCCGCTGGGCCTCTAGTGGGAAATTTACATGGCTCTGGATAAGATGGGTTCTTTATTAAAGACCAAATTCTCTCAAGAAGCTCATTCCCCTCCCTGCCTACCCTGCCCTGCCTTGTCCTGTCCCTGAAAAGGATCCTAGTTCTAGACAGATGAGCAGAGCAAGTCCCTTATTCAGCGTGATTCAGATTCATGTGACAAAGCAGGGCCTAACTGACTCTTCCAAGCCAGGTAGGCCAGCAGAGGTCTCCAGGAATATAGCCCTGTAAGTTTAAAAATAAAGCTGGGCGTGGAGAGTATCCTTTTACTCACTGCTTAGAACAACAACAACAACAAAAGAAATTCCACTATGAAGACGACAAAGACAGGCCAGAAATACTAACCAGCTAAGTAAGGAAGCCTTGGCAGAGTCTTAAGTGGACCTTTTGGAGCACTGCAGAGCTCTTTTTCTTTAACTACTTCCTCACCTGAACTGTTGCATCCCTCCCAGCCACTTGAACCAACTAACCTTCATGATACCATGTGCTAGGCACCATGGTTGCAAAGATTACCTATCTTGTTGCACCTAGAAATGTTAGAATACACTCATCAGGAATACACAGTACACTATGTTTTAGCTCTAGGTTTTTATTCAGATGTAAATGGAATTTCAGTTAAGAGGATTTCCCCCCTACTGATTCAAAAGCTAATATAGCGAGCTGATTTTATGTGTTATTCATAATAAGAACTACCTAAATATGCAGCTGAGTTTTTTTTTTTTTTTTAAGGAATTGGGTTCAATTAAGAAAATCATGGGTAAACTTGCATGATCTGAAACTTGAGGTCTGTTTTTGGCACCTTTGGAAACACAGAGTGCCCAGAAAGTCATGGAAAGTATTTGAAATCTAGATATCACTGGCAAACAAAATTTTGGCAAAGTAGAAACTAGAATGTTTGGGAGGTCATAACTTTGTTATTTTTATGTGCTAACATTTTTCTTCAGGTTTCTTATTTAATATATAGTTAGAGTTATAAACTGAATCTTATATGCCTTTCAATACCTTGTTAATGTCTCAAAGAGAAAGCCATAAACATGCATTTATTTTATTATGCTCCTCAACTACTTCAATTGAGTCATCACTGAAGGAAGTGGTTCATGATTTTATACAGGAGAGTTACTATGAGCATTTATAAAGCCATCCTGCTTATGAGCTAAATTTATTATGTTTGCCAGGTTAATCTGTTTTCTCTAATCGGACACTTAATCATCCAGTCTCCTCCCTGCATTATGGATTCATGAATGTGAACTGAGGAGAGTTGCTCAGTCAGGGCAAGATGATAAATTATCTTTTCATTTTGGGGTTATTTGTGATTAAATGCCTCATAATAGAATTAAAATGAAATAAATCTTGTGATTTTAGTTCTAGATTCCTGCCAGGTATATATAAAATGCATTCAATGTCTGAATGGAGTTTATAGGAGAAACACAGCTCTGTAGTACAGGAGGGCCGAGTCTCCCCTCATATCTATTGGTGGAAGAGATGGTTGATCTCTGGTGGTACTCTATTGGATCAGCAGCTCAGAATTAACATTTCCATTCATAAATGAGGCATTAGTCTTGGGGCAGAAATAGGCAAAGTTTGAATCTAAAGCTATAATCTTGGGATCTAGAGAGCTGTGCATGGTACACAGTAGGAGCAGATGTCAGATTACAGCCAAATTACTAGTTCCCCATTATTTTGGCTATTAAATGGACAGCACTTTCAGTTGCTGCCTGGTTGGGTTTAAACATATTGAAATAACCATAATGGAGATGATTTAGTCAAGTTTGTTATTAAATAAATAGTCCACATTCTAGCAAAAGGTCTGTGAGGGAACAAGTCATTATTTGTGTTTTTAACACATGGAGACTAAAATCAATTGGCATTGCTGGCATTGTGTGATACTAATGGAGGCCTCAAAACGAGCCTGTATATATTTCTGTGTATTTAGATATCTTCTAGGTAGTAAGGCACTTTCATATCTTTTGTGCATTTGATGCTGACAGCAAACCTGTGACTGTTCAGCTCCTGGCAGTTACTGTGAGACCTGAGACATGGAGCTGTGGACAGAGGGTAGAACTGAAGCCAGGTCTTAGTCAAAAGCCTTCCTCTATCCAAACACCTCTTTCATTAGACAGCAAAAGCAAAGTATTGCATTTATTTATTTGTTTATTGTGTGGTGCTGGGGATGGAACCCAGGGCCTTGTGCATGCTAAATACACAATGTATCATTGAGCTACACCTGCAGCCCTAAAGCCTTATTTTTAGATTTAAAAAGAGCACAGGTTAGGGGCTGGGATTGTGGCTCAGCGGTAGAGCACTCGCCTAGCACGGGCGGGACGCGGCGTTCGATTCTCAGCACCACATAAAAATAAAGGCATTGTGTTGTGTCCATCTACCAAAAAAAAGATTTTCTTTCTCTTGGGGCTGTGGCTCAAGTGGTAGCGTGCTCACTTGGCATGCGTGGGGCGCTGGGTTCTATCCTCAGCACCACATAAAAATAAAATAAAGATGTTGTATCCGCCAAAAAAAAAAAATAAATATTAAGAAAATTCCCTCTCTCTCTATCTTAAAAAAAAAAAAAAGATTTTCTCTCTTAAAAAAAAGAGTACAGGTTAACAATATTGTATTAAACATTTCAAAATAGCTAAAAAACACCCTCCACACCCTCCATAAATATATACAATTATTATCTGCCAATTCAAAACAAAAGTAAGAAAAGAAGTGTATATAAATTCAAGTATCTTAATAATTAAAGATAAAATAAATAAACATTGTCTACATGCTGTTAAAAAAATAAGACCCACAAAAATAAAAGATCTGTACAATACAAGCTGAATAAGACCTGGTATGAAGATGGTCTTTTGAAGATCTCCTGGCCTTAAAGGAGATATCTGAAGAGATGATACATTGGCTACATTAGCACCATGAGAGTTGAGACGTTGTTCCCATAGCTCCAACACTGGCCCTCAGATTCCATGCTATTAAAGTAAAAGCTTTTTCTTTGACTTGAAAGTGCAGACAAGTGCTCAGATTGTATTATTTTTTGTACAAATTTCTCAGGCTCCTCTTTCACTCTGCTTTGTGCTTTCTTACTCAATATGCTTAAAACTTAAAAATTCATTTTCTTGTAGATTCCTCAAGTCATGCACATCCAAGATAAGAGTGGCCTCTGTGATTGCTGCTTTCCAATGCTGATGTTCATTTGAAACAACTAAGTTGGTAAATTTAGCAGACTCAAATCTCTGGGGACAGTTAAAAGAATGGATAGAGAAAGGAATGATTCAATGGAGTCTAGGACAGAGGCACAGAAACCTGTCAGTAAATGGATACGCCTTCTGTAGAAGTAGCCTGTGTTCTTCCCAAGAAAAAGACAATGTAAAAGCCTCAGGAAGGGAGACAGGAGTCTTGGGTTCCAGTCTCAGCTCAACCCCTTGCTAGCAGTATTACATGGGGCATGGTCCTTACACACTTTCTGAGCCTCTGCTTATACATGTATGAAATGGGAAAAATCTGTGACTGTGACCGTGGCAGTCCACAGTCACAGATTTTCACTATATAAAAAAGCTTAATGGATATAAGAAAGAATAATTTAAACTTAAGTTTATTAATAAATATGACAGAAAGAAATCTTTAAAAATCACCCTTAAATTTCACCATATTTAGGAAGAAAAATGGTTAAATATATGCATAGTATTCCTATAATTGCTTTCCTGAGTTATCACTTTTCACATTTAAATTCAGAGCAGTTGCCTTATTTATTAATTGTAATATTTTCATACTATAAATATGTCACTTGAAAGTGATCCTGCCATGTAGTTAAGCCTTTTATTTTGGTTTTTATTTTAGTTATGTCTTTTATTTGTCTAATAAATAAAAATACATCACTAAAAGGAGGCCAGAGATATAAATGATTTCAGGGCCTTGGCCCTACAGGAAAATCATGCAATGTATTTGGAAAAAAGTTAATTCTGACTTTTCCTCTATAAAATGCTAAAATTCTGCACAAAATCTTAAAGCACAAGTGTTTACAGGACTCTTGGTGACAAGAAAAGCAATAGTAAATGTGCTTTAGCACTAAAATTCACGTATCCATGGAAACCTGTGAAGTTCCGTAAACCAAACGCAGCATACAGCCTGCAGTATTTATGGAAGGGCTGAGGCGGTGATCAGTGGGTTACAGCACTGTGAGCAGCTGACAGATTGCAGAGAGCTGCTCCGCACAGACCTGGATCAGGTTGTTTTCCTCTGCTAAATGTAATTATAGAGGAATTCAGAGATCTCAGACATTACTGAGGGAAAAAAGAAACAAAACATGTTTATTTACGTGTATTTATATCTCTCTGAATATGGTGT